AGCGCGAATACCTAGCTCGATAATAGTATTAGTAGTCTACTCGCGGTACTCGCGGTACTCGCTAAGCTCTTACTTAAGCTTCTTAATCTCCCTACTTTAATACTTAATATACCGAATAACTTTATTTTACTCCTTATAGGTCGGTATATAGGAGAGAGTTTCTAGGGCTAGTATATTAGGCTCTAAATTAACCTCCTATAGAGTACTAAATAAGGTACTCGTATCTATAGCTACTATAGCTAGTATAGTCGCTTTAGTATTACGAGTACTATCTATAGTATCCTACGTATCCTCTATATCTATATCTTTGTCTATAGTCTTTTAAATATACCTACTAGTACTCGCTATATAGCTACTATACTAGTAGAACTTATAGCGAGTATATACTACGACCTCTACTTTAAATATTATATATACGTAGCCTCCGTTAGTATACGCTTAATAGGCGTAAGTAGCGTAAGTACTCTTATCTATCTCTTTAATACGACTAGTATAATCGTACTTTTTAAGCCTCTAATTAAGGTTACGCTTTACTTAGGCGGCCGCCTACGAGTACTATACGACGAGGATATTAAAGTCGTCTTTAGTAATCGAGTAGTACTCGCCTTTAGTCGTAGAGCGGTAGTATCTATATAGATTATTAGTAACGGCTTTACGAATACTTTAGGCGAGTATATACTATATTTAAGTCGCTATACTTGCTATTATCGCTATTATCTTTAGATTACGAGTAGTGCAAGTAGTTTAAAGCGAGTACGAAGGTAGCGGTATATAAAGTTATACTAGAGCGATAATAGGCGTTTAAATAGTACTGTTTTTAGTAAAAAAGAGGTTTAAGTAAAGCGAGAAGTGAAGTAAGGTCTATCTAATAACAAGGATTAAGGGTTAATCGAGCACCTGCCTAGGTCATGTAGGTTGAGATATTGTTAGGTGCGGCCTGCCGTCAAACCTAGGAAATGTTCTCACGGATAAACTATAGGAACGAATACGAACCTTGTCCTTCGATTCTCTGGGCGCGCTAGCAGCGCAGCGACTACCTCATCAAGGACAAAATTATCTTGGCGGACTCGTGGCGATCCTCTAACTACCAATCATAGCGATGATGCTTGCGCTGCCATGTTTGGCTTTGTAAATCACATGTGGAGCGCACGTCGGATGCGGACATTCTTCTTTGTGGATAACAAAGTATGCTGGGACGAGTGAATGGACCTTGGTGCGGATGACCCATCCTTCTGTCATCAGTCAATGGTGGAATTGGTCGAGCGGACAAATTTGGCATCTGTCAATGAAGCGGAACTATTTCACAACTCGAATTGCGACCGCTGATCGTTTATGTTCAGCAGATATTGTTAGAGGAGACCAATCCACCTTGGCTGTGCTTGGCTTCCTTCGTGGATGTTGCCCTACCGTCTGTTCATGATCATGACGTCGCGTTGCTAATTATGCAGCTTCGGCTAGGACTTCACCGATGCTACGGTGTTATATGTAATCGATCATTGTCTTGATACGAGCCATTTGCTACCGCTTTCAACGACGCTCAGCTAGGACAGTCCCTCCACCTTTACCGACACTGACACAAGACCATTTCTCTTTGCAATGGCAGTTACAGCACCGCAAGTTGCTCTCGCTGTGATGGTGAGCATGGCAATGCTCGTACAAGCGCAGCAGCCATCTTCAAACATCACCTGGGGGGGATTGTGGAGAGGCTCTCAACGCTAATGCTACTGCCCCGGTTACATGTGCAGCTTTCCCGGTCCCACTGGATCACACAGCGCCGAACTCGACCGAGACATTGAATCTGACTGTGGTGAAAGTGCCTGCTGTGAAAGAGCCACGATTAGGCAGTGTCTTGACCAATTTTGGGGGGCCTGGTGTTGAGAGTGGATTGTATTTGGCGAGCGTGGCAGCACAGATGCTTGTGTAAGATTCTTCAGGTCTTCTCCAAGTAGTCCGATGCTAATATATAGGTTTAAGCACAACGGGAGGACAGTACGATGTGATCGGGTTCGATCCCAGGTATGAATTGCCCCACCCTCTATGGTAGCATTACACACCGCTCATAGTCACAAAGAGGGACAGGGGCCACACTACCCATCAATTGCTACGCCACTGAAGCGGACTTTGTCCGCTACGATGCTCTTGCACCGGTCGGCACCAATGTATCCGACACTGCACTGGGCAACATATGGGCGTTGAACCAGAACATCGCTCAGGCTTGTGCGGAGAACAACCCTGAGATAATTCAATTGATGGGCACGGCATTCCTGGCGAGAGACATCATGCAAGTCGTTGATTCACTGGAGGAAGACGGCTTGTTGAGATACTTTGGTTAGCCGCATTGCCCTTGCCTGGTGGTTTAAAATTGCTGACCGAGTGTTGCACAGGTCATTCATACGGTACCTCGGTTGGTCAGACTTTGGCCGCAATGTTTCCCAATAGAGTTGAAAGAATGGTCCTGGACGGCGTCCTCAATCCATTTGAGTACGCTGCTGGCTGGTAGGTCGTAAACTTGTACGGCGTCACTCCGGCACTTGCCAACTAACATTTTCAAAGGGAGTACCAAGCGCTTGAAGGCAGTGATCCCGCCATCGAACAATGGATAGCCTCCTGTATCGAAGCTGGCTACCCGGCTTGCGACCTCGCTGCCGACGGAGCCACGCAAGAGTCTCTCCACGAGAAGATTTATGCTCTACTCGACGAAGTCAAGTATAACCCAGTCAACCTCGGTGGCAACATAACCTCCGATATTGTCGGCCCCCGTCAAGTCTTTCTTCCCTTCGACACAATGCTGCGCCAAGCCCTGGTATATTCTCCGCTCTTCGCACCTTACCTTCAATCCATCATGGACCGAAACGTCACGCGCTATCGCCAACTCTACCCTTTTCTCAACTCTGTCGTTGATCCAAGCAATTCCTTCGCAATTCACTGTGGAGACACTCTACACCGCACGGACAGTCTTGAAGACATCAAGCCTCGCGTGGATCAGATGCGGGAGAAGAATGAATATTGGGGTCAGATCTTCGCTCCGGCATACATCGCCTGCTCCGTCTGGAAAGCTGAATCCAAAGGCCGATACGAGGGAGACTGGAAGGCGGCGACGAAAAATCCTGCGCTGTTAATCGGAAGCCCTTTCGACTCGAGAACGCCACTTTCAGGAGCCAGGATAGCGGCTACGGTGCTAGAGCGAAGTGTGGTGTTGCAACATAATGGCCAAGGTGTAAGCCTCTCCGAACGGCTTGCAATGCGCTGAACAAGAACGCTAATATGTGTCGTTTCACTCTAGCACGTTGTCCTCAACAGCCCCGGCCAGTGCGCCATAAAAGCGATGCAAGCCTACTTTACTAACGGGACTTTGCCCGAGTTGAACACCGTGTGTGAGCAGGACTTTAATATCTTTTCCGGTCAATCGCCTCTAGACTCTTATAACTTGGAGTCTTTAGTAGCTTCTAATTAGATGTAGAAATTTGTTGTTTATAGAGTCGATCTACATTCTAGCTAATACACCGATAGAACACGACATGTAAGTCGCAGTGGGCCAAGATGTCCGTTGCTGGATCACACAGATCGGCAATGGACTCAAATACCTCGATAGGTACTCGGAGGATAGAATTGTCGTGGGTTTCGGATATGATTGTGGCTTCAGAAACTTTGAGCTTGGGCTGTTCTCGTTGGTGCAGCCGATTGAGGCAAGTGTGAGGTTGCTAGTGAAATAGGCCTGGGCTCTCTACTCTTATGTTCACAGAGCCCACAATTGATTGCTTTTACTGTACTACTATAAGCATGTGCTGCACTGAGAGCACGCTGTTGCCAATGCTTGCTGCACCAAAGGCGTACGTGTCTGGTCAGGGGCGAGGGCCAGGAGGACAGCAAGCTGACCTCAGGGAGAATGACGGTGGCCCATGTACGGTCCGGCGCTCTGGTTTGAATACCGCACATGAACACAAAGCCCCAACTAACTTGTTCCTCCTGGATTGTCTCTGGTCGTGCTATTTGCTGCATGCCCTCATCATACGAGATGTTCTGCTCGCTGACCGTTGTAGTTATTGCGAACCCTTGTTGCGTTTCCCGAACAAGTGGTATCTCGTATGATGCGTCGCGTGACTGGGTTGTTTCTGTCTCTGAGATGTGGGAGCAAACATCTTCGTGGAATAGTTATAAAATAGCATAGAGTTTGGTGTCAAGACTCATGAATCATGATCAAGAGGCCTGTTTGTATCAATGGGGCAATCGAAAAAAGTCAACCGTTGAGAAGTATGCCTCTAACGGCGCCTCACTCGACACTAGCAAGTCGTGAAACTTGGGTAACTAGGATTTCACTTCACCGAGACATGAAGTTACGAAGATGATAATTGGGACCTGCATCATAGTTTTCGAAGGAATGATTGATAACATCTCTATGGAACTCGCGGCCCCGCGGCCCAGCGCCCAAAGTGCAACCCCTCTACCGTAGCCTTGGACCTTACGGTATCAGGCTAGAAAGCACTGAAAGGGGTTGAGGTCTACTGCTACAGCTATATAGTAGGCCCCTTTCAATATTGAGGTCCAAAAATTTCTTTGGGTCCACCCCTTCAATTTCGTACATTGACGCTCGTTGCTCGTCGAAACTAATCTCCGGTACGATGAACATGATGAAGCGTCCTGTGCCGCGATGTCTGACACTAAGCTGATTGATGCAAAGGTTCTGGAGGGCTCGGAACCTTCTGAGCGCTTGGAATACGTCAAGCCACACCTCCCCGCCTTCGTGTAGACAGAGATCCGTAACATCGATCTCCTGTAGCGTATCAGGGCATCGATCAAAGAGTTCCAACAAAGTCTTCTGTCGTGTTCGCAGACATATCAGGCTCACACTTCGCAAGACCGACAGGGCCGGCCCTGAAAGCAGCTCTTGTGTTACTGCCACAAGTGACTCATTCAGAGGTGCCATCCACGGCGTGACCTCAAATTCGAAATGCTGAAGCTGGTGAGCGTGATTGTTTACGGCTCGCACGATATTGCGTTGCTGCATGATCTTGGGACACCGAAGGTCTTCTTCCTCGTGTGGCTTCAAAATGTAGGCGAAAGCTTTCAAATTTTGCATCGTCGGGTTGGTGTTGCCAAGCGGTAGAAACTCCAGGTAGTCAACTTCGAACCTATCTGACATGTAGAGACCAGTCACTGGGCAGGACGATGATCGAGCTAAGTCGAGTGTTTCACGCAGCAAAGTGGACGCTTGGGGGGCTGGTCGAATTGTTACTGGAGTGCATCGCTACCAAGCAAAGTCCAGTATAATCGAGGCATTGGGCTGTCTTCCAAGAGACCTAACAGTTTCTGTGACTAAAGCCCAGGTTGCACTGCTTACTGCTATTGAGCCGCAGTGGCATTGCTCGCTCACTGAGCCGCAGGATCCCCCATGGATACGGTGCGTGGCGATATCCTCCCTCATCGTGAGTGAAAGGGTCCGAGTTTTTGTCCGGAGATGCGTCCGTCCGATGATGTTGTATACCCGTTTCACGCTGTTGTGATCCAGCATCGAGCATCTCATATGAACAATGTATTCGTGGACGAATGCCCGAAACGCCGCAGTAGCAAGCGTTTGACATGTGAGCCTCAGAGCCAAAGTATCGGTCTCAGGGTCACAAAGGGATGTGATTTCTTCCAGTAGCTCGATAGGGAGTGTGAGAATGTGATCATTCTCAGACTTCAGTATGTTGGAATGCTCCATTGGTTGATTTTGCATGGTTCGGAGCTTTGTGAGCAGAGGCTTGCTAGTGGACAGCTTGGAATATAAAGGTAGGCGGAGAGATACGTAGCTTTAAACATAGAACAAAAAACATCTCGAATGTTTGCTCAACGCTTACTCCGGTGACTGACCACTTGAGTGCTGTGATCTACCCTTCATACAACCTGTCCGTGACAATTCTGATGAGGTGGCAAGACTGACAAGCAGCATTATGATCTATTGTTCACGCTTCATCCGAGACCGCCGTGAGTGGGCAGGCTACGGGCATGGCCTCCAGATACAATCAATGTAGGCGTTTGTGGCTTCTCCTCCTGCACGGGCTATCGTGCCACCCCAAAACCACCATTTGCTCCTCCCACTTTGACGAACACCCGAGATTATTGCCCGGTACTTGAGGCTCTCGCATGATTAGACCCTTCTCAAACAAGCAGGTGGCCTTGCATGCGGTCCGAATTCTTGATCTGCCGCAGGAGCCGCATGATTTCTGCGACGCTTGCCAACAGCAAGCACCGAGTGGCAGCAATACCGGCTGATATGGCTGTCAGATTGCTTCGATGCAATGCTTGCAGGCCTGGCTGCCATAGTCACTACGCCCAGGCGAGCGGACCAGGTGCCATTTGTTCGGTCGGTAGGGATAAGCTGTCGGTAGGGTGTTAGATGACTTTGTTGCAAGAGAGGGTGACGTGGCTGAGGGGTCATGAGTGCTATTGACATGAAGTTAGCGTCGGGCGCCGTTCAATCAGGAGTATGATGAAGGAAGCAACGCCAGGACGAAGATGCAAATACATCCGCTATCCTCAAGCCTTGGACCCCGTAACAATCTGCTCACGATTCCGCAAGGCCAGATCCTGTGGCAAAATGAAACGCTTCCTCCCTGACACCACCCAATCTGCCACTGCGATAATGGCCACAGCCAAGACAAGAGGACCAGCGTAGTTCATATTGTTCGACGTAACAGGAAGAATGATCGGCAGGGCCACGAAGCTGAGCACGTATAGAATATACATGACGCTGAGTGCATTCACCAGGATGCCCCAGCGGCCGAGATTGAAAGGGCCCATTTCTGGTGCTCGGCCACGAAGCTTTCGAATGAGTAGGAAGAGGGTGGGGATACCGTAGCTAATGTAGAGAGCGATCAGTGGAAGAGAGATCAGGGCATTGAATGCTGTGATGCTGCCGATGTTGATGATCGAAAGTAGGCAGCAGATGATGGCGACCAGGATCATGGCACGCACAGGCATGTGCCAGCGTTTAGAGACCTAGAAAGAAGTATCAATCGTTGTCCGGTCACGAAGCCTGGGTGACTCACATGGGCGAAGAACTTCGAAAATGGCAGCCCGTTGTTCTGACTGAAAGCCCAAGTCAAGCGAGCGACCGAGGCGAAAATGTTGAACAGCGATATGAAGAGGATAAGGATCTGGAAGACCACAAAGACAGTTGTGACCGCCTTCGAGTTGGTTGCGTTCTTGTAGATTCCGACGATGGCCATGCCACCTGGGGCGTTGGCGACGGTCTTCGGATCGCCGAATCGATACATCACCACCACGAGCCAGAAAAACTGCATGATGCTGTTCAAGACCACGGCGAAGACCATTGCTCGCGGTACATTTCGCTTTGGCCAATTGACTTCCTTGCCTATAGGATATCAGTATGTCTCAAAGCAAGTTCACATAGTATGGACATACTCATGTGTAAGAAGCCATCGAAAGAAGTGATTGGGAATGCAATAGGCAAAAGCCCAATGCCAAAGGCGATGGCAGGCTTCGTCCAGCCTGAAACATCGTTGGTCAGGGTTTGCCACACGAAGGCATTGGAGCTTCGAGCCCCAGCAACTCCGAGAAGTATGATTGAAGCAATCCAGAACGCACCATGGCCGATCGCAACGACAGTCTCCATTGGATTGAGAATTGACCTGAACCACAGGTTGGCCAGGACTGGGGGCAAAACAAAAGCGCACATCAACAATGTAGTGTGCCAGGCATGCGGCACGTAGCTCTCATTGTTCCGAGCAATGAGAGCCTGTACACCTTGTGCCAGATACGCGGGTGAAGCAGCAGCGCATGTGATCCAGGCGAAAACTGTCATCCAGCCTTGGAAGAGACCCCAAAATCTTGGCCACATTGGGGCGAATGTGGCACTCCAGCGAAATTGAGCTCCTACCACAGGATCGCTACAACTCTGTCAGCACGCAGTGGTAACGGGAGGCGATGAGTGAGCTAACATAGATGCCATCTCTGCCAGCGACAGAGCAATTAGGCACGATCCAGCACCGGCCAACAGACTTCCATAGACCAATGACGCTGGACCGCCATTAAGCAGGCTGAATTGAAGCGAGAGGCCAGATGCCTCCCAAGCGGCCTGCAACGTGAAGCCGAAGTTGAGAATAGCTAGCAGCTCGATGTATCCCTGTGAAGTTCAGAGACGAGGGCCGGCCCTAGACTTGAACATGATGTCTCACCTCAATCAAGCCTCCGCCATCTCCTCCGGCTTGTTTGATTAAGATTTCGTCGACTGGCTCATCCTTGCCACTGTTGCATGCCTCACTGCCCTCGATGACGATGGTATCTACTTCTTTCGACTCGCTTGCCATCGCGAATAGCCAGCCTGCGGTTCCAAGTGTGCCCCCGCCGCTATATGCGATATGAATATCCGTACAAAGGTCTACCAACTGTGAAGACGAGAGAGCTAATGAGCTGCAGCATGCCATGCAACACGACAGCTTGTTGTGACTGCAGGAGCTTGCAAGCCCCCCACGTCAGGCTGCTCGTCACATCGTAATGGGGCACAGGTGTCGTGCGACCGCCATGCCGCCGATGTGATAAAAAGGTGAGAAAAAGCTGTTGAGCATGCTGCAGCTCGCTCTGTTGAAGGCGAGAGACTCCCAGCATAAGCGCGACTGAAGGTCTCTTCATCACAGTCTAAACCACAGCGGTTGCTGCTCCGGAGAAAGTTGGTCGAGATGTCGATGCCAGCTCGCCGAGGCGTGCTTGGATCTTTAGCGCAGCAACATTGGACTCACTTCTGAGGGTCCTTGAGGAATGCCAGTGCCTGTGGTCGCAAGCAAGAAGATCGGTTCGCATTCCTCTATACCGGCGTAAGACGTCAAGAAGTATGCCGTACGGTTGCAAGGCTGGCTCATGTCCACCACCACACTTCGTCGCGAAGCAGACGTTTTTGTGCTTCATCGGTTTCAGCCCCCACGCACCGCAAATTGCTGGTGACTTGAAGAACATTGGTTAGCCTCGTGGACCAAGCACAGCTCATTGTTAAAAGCATCGAAGCCAGCTCTTGCACGGCATTTCCGCAGACAACGACTTCGTCTACCTGAGCCATTCGAGCATTCCTTGCGAGGCCAGCATGTACTCGATCTTGTGTTTAGTCGTGCTCGTGGTTCTCCCAGGTCGAAACAAGCACGGACCCAGACGAGCTCGTCATTTCGGCGCCTCTCGGTGGCCGCGGGGCTTATGCGCATATAACTTCAGAACCTTTCGGGCTCCCGGGCAAAACTTCGTTGGCGAATCCCTTGCGATCCTGTCCATTCTCAGAGTGCGAGATGCGGGTGCTAATGAATATGCACAGAGGATCGTTAGACAGTCGGGGATGCAACACAGCTTGCGTCCCGTACGCTCCCGGGCAGAATCGAAATAATATACATATACTAGCGGATGACATGACGCCGACTCGGCTTGGAGAAGTTGAATGACTTACATGTAAGGCGGTGGCCTGTACGACAGGTGAGTGGTTGGGATTTAGGGTTAGGGTTAGAAAGCAGGTCATTCAAATCTTGGAAAGTAGAGCAACGTGATCACGTTCCAACAGAATGTTGGTAGTTCCATTCTGGAAGTAAATATCGGCTGTCCCTCAATGCTAACAATGGTTGTTCAGCTTTTGGAAGTGTTACATCTTTGTAAACCAGGAATATGGCAGGCCAGGACTTCAAAAAATGGGAGAAGTTCTTCGAGAACCGCACCGTGGAGCGACACGCAGAACAGCTCCTCCCATATATCAAATCCGACTCCAAAATCATTGATGTCGGCTGCGGTACTGGTTCCATAACCTTGGACTTCGCGAGAAGAGCTCCTCAAGGTCACGTCGTTGGCATCGACTATATCGAGAGTACGAGGAGATGTCTCATCGTGCCGTACCTTGAACCCAGCACATGCTGACCATGGGTCAATTAGAGAGCATCGCTACTGCCAAATTCGCGGCTGAGCAAGCCGGTCTCAAGAATATCGAGTTCCTTGTCGGCAACGCAGAAGACCTGAGCCAGTACCAGGACAACACATTCGAGTAAGACGCTATCCCCTTTTCGAATGTCATGGATCTGGCCCGTCTGCTGACAATGCTTGCTTTCTCGTAGTATCGCACACGGCCATCAGGTTATGCTGCACTTGCCGAACCCAGTAGCTTCGTTACAACACATGCATCGGATTGTAAAGCCAGGTGGGCCCGTCGCCGTGCGCGATCTGGCGACGTACGAGCAATGCGAATCGACAGCCTTGATCACCGAAAACACACAAAAGTTTTGGGAAGGTTCCAGAGCACGAGGTGCAGAGGGTCTAGGTGCCGGCAAGGTTAACCACGTTTGGCTACATGAAGCTGGGTTTGCCTGGAAGGATATTCGCAAGGGCGTAGTTGCATTTGAACGTAAGTGGAAGATCTCATTGACCCGGATGCAAATCGTACGGACTGGGCTGTTTACTGATAGTGTTGGTGAAGTTGACATGGACCAATATCCCGCATTGCTCGAAGGACAGCTCGGTTGGGCCAGGGACCGAGGCGAGACGGAAGAGTATTTAAGCACATTGAAGGAAGAGCTTGACACCTGGGCGGCGAATCCAGCGGCCAGACTTGTCTGGATGGTTGGCTGGGCTTTGGCGACCAAAGAGTAGACAAAGAATCCCCAATCAGAGTCTGTCTCTTGAGCTGTATGGAGCGGATTCCCGGACACTTTCAGAATCTCCTTTGCGCGGGACTAGACGAACCCACAGAGGCTGCTTTTGCCATAGAAGATAAGAATCTTGATTCTCCATCCAACCCTCACTCGAAGCCGATATCTCCATTTCAAAGTCCCAAATGACACGAGCAAGGATGAGTCGCAGCTCGGCATACGCCAGACTAAATCTTGGTCAGCCAATGTCCACGGTACGAGATTTCTCAATTCACAAACTTCATGCCTATGCAGTTCCGCGGTCCGTAAGAGAACGGATGGAAGCATTCTCGACGATCGCCGGCGAACTCTTCGCTCCTGGTCGGGTCTAGCCATCGTTCCGGAATAAATTCAGTTGGGCGGGTGAAGTTGGATTCGCTCAAGTACATTGCACGGTGTGGGATGCCAAGAATTGTCTGAGCGAAGAATTGGTCATCAGCAGCGGCAAGTGCGATGTGGTATACAATGGGCAACCTACATTGCCTGGGATGTATTTTCCAAGGATGGTATTCCCCTTGGGCGGCGTGATGCGAGGCTGAGCGTTTGGGCCAGGAGGGTATAGGCGCAAGCACTCTTCTGTGACGGCGCCGAGATAAGGAAGCGTTGCCACATTCATGAGATCCATGTCCTCTGCTTCGCTGAAGCGACTGCGCAACTCTTCCAATATTCTCCTTTCAACCCTCCGGTCCTTCATGATGAGATATGTCGCTCCTGCCAGAGACGTCGCAGTGGTTTCTGAGCCTGCGAGGGTCAAGATGACTGAGTTATTGACAAGCTCGTCACGGGACATGGTCTGCATGCCACGAAGGCATTCTGTGTTAGTCCAGAGCAGGAGGATACAGCGACACGCACGACCTACCTGACCAGCTTTGCCAGTAATCATGTCCTGCACAAAGTCCGCTCGACTGTCTTTGAATTCTAGTCGCTTCGCCACCTTTTCTCTCGATATCTGTTGATGTTCTCGAAACTGCTTCACGAGCTTGTATGACACGAAGAACGGTAGCAGTGCCAGCAGAACTGGGATCCGTTTGAAAACCAGGATAAACGCAGTGAGTCGAATATTCGCGAAGATCAAAGAGATCCACGGGTGCATAGCGGCCTCGTCGAGGCATCCGAAGCTTTCTCCAAATGTGAGATCTCCAATAATGTCAAACGTACAGTAATTGTACCAAGCATGAATGTCGATGAGGTCGTCTTGAGCAGCACTTATGTGCAATCTTCCGATCAAGAGATCAACATAACTTTTGATGATTTGCTGCTGCTGCTGCATGGCGGCAGTGGAGAACCCACCAGCCATCAGTCTGCGCATACGGGTATGGTCGTCATGTAGCGCTCCAATGATGTCCTTGCTCGATGGACTGAGATACCATGGCGCTTTTGGGTTTTCCTGGCGGATTCCGGGTTTCGAACGGCCCATGATATCATTCCAAGCCTCAGGAACAGTGAACGAAAGCTCGTTGGGACCTAGGCGCACTGTTCTGCCGTACCTGTCGTGAAGCTCGCGCAACCGACGGTGAGATTGACCTGACAGGAACATGCAGGCCCATGGTAGTACCGACGCAGCCCACAGCCTAGGCCCAGGATATTCTCGAAGGGGATGAAGAAAGAAATTGTAGAGAGGCCGGAGCACGATGAAGTGCAGTAGAGCGAATGCGGAACAAAACCGTAGGATGATTGAGATCTGGGGACCCCATGCTGCCGTTAGCTGGTCGAAACTGATGAGATCGAACATGTTTTAGCCGTTGAGACGCAGGACTGCGTTATGTATGAGGAGCTGCGTGCGCGGTAAAACAAACAGTGTGTCCAGATTTTCCTAGTCGCCCGGTGTTGGGTTGCCTTTTTTCAATCACCGACTCAGCCGGGCAGACTTGACTAGTGCTCGCCTCTTGATCCCCCCTTTGAAAATCGCCGACAAAGCCCGAGTGGCATGTGGGAATCGCTCCCGAATGTGGGCTGAGGCATATGCGGGTAAGATTCCCTGGCTGTAGGTGGTCATTCACCTCAAGAAGCCTGATTGCTCGCCTGCCTCTAGCGCGAACTCTTAGCGTGCAGAGACCTCTGCCCCAGAAGTTTATTCGACGTCACGAATGCCCGCAACGAGTGTGATATACTTCGCCGGCATTAGAGATTTAGCTCAGTTCAATCCATGATGATTCATTGCCATCTCTATATCTGAATGTACAACTCTGATATTCCAAAACTCGAAGACTGTGCTTGCCGTAGTAGAGCTAAAGCTATTAGTGATGTGAACCGAATGAGGTACTTATCAGATCCTGTCAAGAAAATTTAGATCCATCTCCACTCCAACATAGACGCAACTTTCGCGGCAAATTGCTCAAGCAAGTGAAGCCGTTTGATACGTCGCAATCAACCCTTTTCTCAAGTCCTAGCCTTCAGGAGCGTGGGATAGGGGGGCGACCCCGCGTGGTCAATGGTCTCGATGAGCGTAGCCACTGCTGGATGCATCCCAGCAGCAATCACCCTTTCCATCCACTCTTTGATCGAGACGACATCGTACGGTCGCCCCTCTTGCTTCTCCAGACCGAGCTCGTCGAGCTGGTCCATAGGAATGGTGAGATCGCCAACGTTGTTCACATACGTCACTCCGCCGGCCGATTGAGGCCTTTTGTTCAGCAGTCCTTGCACAATGTCGGTACACACGCTGTGTACATTAACAAGATCAAAACGACCTCGCATATGCACAATGCGAGGGACAGCGCGGATCTTGTGGGAATAGAAAATCAGAGTATTCACCCAGTCGAACTCCGCGCGCTCCGTAGTGGCGTCGTCGCCTTCGCGGATAATCGTCGAAGGGCGATGGATCCATACTTGGAGGCCGTACAGGGCGTTTGTCTTTTCAAGCATGTACTCCGATACCCACTTGCCGCACATATAGCCATGGGAACCGTCGGCGGAGGGAAGATGGCCGCTCGATGTCACAGATACTTCTGGGAAGGCGTCAAGGTCCGCGAAGAGCGCTACGCCAGCGGAAGAGACGTAGTGGAGCGGTATCATGCGAGTCAGGCAGTGACGAGCGAGCAGACGCGTAGATTCGACGTTCGATTTGCGGACGGCGGAGTAGTATTTCAGATGCGAAGTGTCGGAGCCGTTGTGGATGACCGCATCGACCTCGGAGAAGATGGCCACTAGCTGTGTCTCGGAGAGGTTGAAGCTGCTGTGACTGAGATCTCCCTCGTAGTACACAATGCGATCACTAGGAGGGGGAATTTCATTTGATCTCAAGCGCTCTGCGAGTCTGCGCACGGCAATACAGATGACCTTGGTGATGGATGGTTCGTTCAGCAGAGTCTGCAAGAGGTGATGGCCCAAAAGACCGCTGACGCCGGTAAGCAGGACGACGCTAGGCTGAGTTCGAGGTGGAGACGCTGAAGGCAAGATAGTGATATTTCGCGGCGGCTCGCATTCGGCATTCCAATAGACTTTGCCTGACGGAGCCTCGTCCTGCGACGACGGCATTTCGGCTGGAGTAGTAGCGGCAGATGTGTTGTCCGTGGTGTCAACTCTGTCACTCGAGAGGTTGCTCGACGACTCGTCCTGGCTGGACGACGAGCCGTGGCCAATGTTGGGCACCAGTTGTGATGGGATACCTTCGACCGCAAGCTCCACCAGGGTGGCCATTTGCACATCGTCGTTCATGATCTTCAGCACAGGGATGTTGACCTGGAAATTCTTGAGAAACCAGGCTCGGATGTCGACAGAAATCAGCGAGTCCAAGCCAAGGTACGAGGTGTCGCTGTTCATGAGCTCGTCGTCACCAGTCGTTTGCTGGAGCAGCTTGCGTAGCTTGATACCGAAACTGCATTTGATCACGTCGAATACATCCTCGACGGTGCCGCACGCTTGTAGTTGGTCATGGATGGAAGCTGCATTGCTCTGATCCGCGCCACTGTCCTCGGTCGATGTCTGATGAACGATGAAGCGCGCAAACTTGGGGTTTGAGTACCACTGCGGAATGTATTGCGCATCTGGCGTGATGTCGAGCAATCCCTAGGGTGCAAAGTCAGCTCATTGTCACATGGCTGCTGCTGTACAGTTCTCTCCGTCCTTCTGACCACGACTTACCGTAGAGATCTCTGGTCCGTTGCCAGAGTCAACGTAGCCCGCTTCCAGCGCTTCGGCGAAAATTTGGTGAAAGTCTTCTTCAGAGAGATGCATCATGGCCATCTTGGCGACAGTCAAGTCCAGCTGTCGATCAGACTGCGTAATGTAGCCGGCGCCGATGACTGCGCCTACGTTGACGCACGTTGCATTCAAGCCCCGTTTTCGACGCTGTCCAGCGACGCCGCACATTCCCATGTTGGCGGCCGCGTAGTTCGCTTGCCCAACATTGCCAATAACACAGTTGATGGACGACATGAGCACAAAGAAGTCAAGGTCAACTTGGTCGAAGATACGGTCAAGGTGAATGCTGCCGAGAACTTTGGGTCGGATGACATCCTGCACGTGTCCGATCTCCATGTTCCGGACGGATACGTCTCGAAGGACCATGGCGCCGTTGAGTACACCGACTATGGGCGGCAATGCAGCAACTATGTTCTTATGAACGGCGCGCAGTGCCGATTCATTGGTCACATCGCTACGCGGCTGTTAGCAACTCTCCCTGTACGCGGTTGTGGAGCCTGCAAGTTACTCACCAGGACATGATTTCGACTCTCGCCCCATTTCGCCTGTGACTCTCGATCCATGCCGGTTCTACTTTGGGATTGCGGCTGGTAAGCACGAGATACCTACACCCGCGGTCGATCATCCAATCGCACAGGCTGACACCCAGCGCTCCCGACATGCCGCAGAGCCAGTATGTCTTGTCTGGTTTGAACATGGGCTCAACGTCGAAACGAGCGAATCGGCCGTTGATGCATGGAAGAGTTGACGCCGCAGTCCAGTCGATGACAGTCTGTGGATCGATTGGTCGCTCTCCGCTCGTGAGGTCGTCAAGGCCTACGACATTTACCACATGCCCCACATCAGTCTTGTCCAGACTCTGAACGTTTGCAACGGCTGTACTTAGCATGCCATGGAATGAATCGGAAGCCTCTCTACCGTCCTCGGTGGCTGCAACAGGGAACCAAAGATTCGTGGCTGTTTCCGTGCGACAATGCGGTGGCAGACTGGCGAGAATCCCTCTCTCGTTCTCTGAGTCGACCCATTCGAGCCCAGCAAAGCAGGCTGTGCGCTGAGAAACGAGATGGCTCAGTTCAGAGCGTCCTGAGAGAGGCGGCACTTTGATCCACGAACTTGGAACTGGCTCCGTCAACTTGTCTGTTACGAACGTTGCCGTGACTTGCTTTCCGCAGGCAGCTGCACTGATGGATCTGGCAATGGCCACAGGAGGGTTATGGAGGACAATTTCTTGCCCCGTGGTCAGGGGGTCGAGAATGGCCATGGTGATCAGCTCCACGGCGTTCAGCGCAAGGAAGTCCTCCTCGGAGCGCCCGACGATCTTGACAGGAACCGCCGATTGCGCAGCGATCCTGAACCGGGACATCAGAGTAGAAACAAGAGCAAGATATCGCTTTCCGTCAGCATCGACACCGAGCACAAGGTACTTGGGACCTCGAGGTGTCTTCAGCGCAGACATGGTGGTGCATACAGTCTCGAGCTCAATAGAGCCTTCAACGATCTCTGCAAAATCCTCGAATCTCGACACCTGCCTGACGCTGTAGTCATTGGCGTCCATTTGTAGCTCAATCCTCGACGTTGCAAGGTCTATCTTGTGCTCTATTGGGCGCTGGATGGAGTTGTATCGACTGTTCGCGGCGGATATTGGAATCATTCGAGGCACCAGAGGTTGGCCCCGAGCATTGATGATGATCTCGGGCTCGCTGGTGTAGAGAATGCTCTTCTCTTCAAGTCCCTGAGCATGGTAGCGCACGAGGCTTTCAGCAATGGCTTGCGCCTGCGTCGAGTTGATTTTGGCAATGTCAATGAATTGAAGGCGTAGTTCCTCGAGCTCATGCACTGCGGACCGGCCGAATCCGACCACCATATTGCTGTATGGTTGGTCTTGGAGTCGACCACTGGTGACCCACACTAATGTGCGCTCCACTTCGAACAGCTTCCGGAAAGCAAGCCATCGTCCCTCAGTGATATCCTGGAAGACTGGCTGATCCAGGTCCGATAAGCTGAGCACCGTGGTATCCGAGTCACAGACGCCGAAGTCTACATCTTCCAAGGTCTCAAAGCGAATAATCTGCGCGGCGGCACCAGAGAGAGTACGCTCAACCTCTGTACAAAGACGCTCAACTGGATCCTTCGCTCCGCCGATGATAGCTAGTCTGGGCATCGACACGGCAGTCGTGTGGGTCAAGGGCTCTCGTATGAACTCTACGCGATCGTCGACTGCCTGGGAGACGAAGAGGATAACACCAAACGTCTCCAGAAAGTTTGCAGGAGCCATAGTGTCCAATCCCGAGAATCCCGTCCGCTTCAGACATGCATCCCACTGCGGAACTGTAACAAACGGGGACAGATTGCGGCCTTCGTCCACACCCAGCCACCAGCCGGGAAGGGCGCCGAAGATGAAGCCGTCTCCAGACTGTAGAGGTCCGTCGCTGCTCCCTTCACCGATGACCAGGAATCCTCCAGGCTTGAGGAGGCGGCGCAGATTGCGCATCGTCTTGTCCAGCTGAGCCGTAGCATGGACCACGAGGGAGGCGACGACGACGTCGTACCCACCTTCTTCAAACCCTTGAGTCAGAGGGTCCTTCTCTGCGTCCAACACCTTGAAAACCATTCGCTCTCTCCAGCTTGAGAAGATTTCGGCAGCGTTTTCAAAGAAGGACGATGATACATCGGTAAAGGTAAGTCGGTCGAACGACTGGTCGATGGCTTTCAAAATATTCTTGGTAGCGCCACCAGTGCCTGCACCCACCTCGAGGATGCTTAAGTGTGGGTGTCGATCGGTAATCTGCTTCACGGTTTGTGCCAACCAGCGCGACGACTGCATCGTTCCAAAGCCGTGAGCGTAGTACTGGTCTAGCAGACCCGATGAGCGGAAGTGCTCAAGCATGGTCGTCTCGCCCGTGAAGACGCGTGGCATGGTGTTGCCGACCAGCAGCATAATTTGAACATCGGAATTGTCCTCGAACCTAGAGAAAAATAGTCAGCGAGAGACGCAAAACCATCTAGCGGATGTCTTTACCCATTTGATGTGACGTCTCGCAGCACGTCCTCGATCGTGTCCTGCATCCACTCCTGTTTTCCGTACTGATGCTTGCCAGTGCCCAAAAGCTGGGTCATGTGTCTGGCGTAACGCAAGTAGTGGCAAAGCGGCGCCTCTGACCTTGCTGGCGAGTCCTCGGGTACATCTGAGTCGAACTGTCGCAGGAAGTAGGAAGCAATGCGGCTGAGAGTCCACAGCAACTTGACGTCGCGGTCAGTCACAGGGATGCCCTCGGCCGCTTGATGTCCATCAGGGGCAGCGAGCGTCCAGTCCATCTTGTAAAAGACATTGCGATCATGAGCAGCCGAGGCGCCCAGGGGCTTGAAATGCACGCGATCGGCTTGAACGGCAGCATTCGTACACTCGTTGGTGTATATGTTCACTGATCCAGAGAAGCCATTGCCAGGCGTAGCACGATCTAGCCGCCCACATGTCGAATCGACCGCATCGTGAGTCTGAACAGAGGGACAGGATTGGGCGAAAATGGATGGGTTGACTCGGATCTTGGCGACGCCGGTGGGGAGGTGCAAATTCCGAAGTTGGTCGTCGCCTGGATAACTGTACGCGAGCAGGACAGATTGGAAAGCTGCGTCGAGGGTGACGGGATGAATCAAAAAGGAGTCGACATCATCCACATCCGGTCTGACAGCCATACACTGCGCCTTCCCCAACTTCCTGCTCAAGCCGTCTAGGGAGCGGAATGGACCAGTAAAGTTGTACCCCATGGACTCCATGAAGCCGTACAAGCGACTCTGCTCTACGGGGATCAAGTGGGGAGGCGTCGGTTCGCGCTCGGGGAGCGCAGAGGACGAGGCATCACCTAAAAATACCTTTACCTCCGCCTGGGCAGCCAGCACAAAGTCGGCGTTCTGACCTCCACTTGCAGCGGAATACAGAAAATTGGCCACGATCTCGTCTTTTTGCGGTCGATGGACGTGAGAAAGCTCAATCAAAACTTCAACAGGGGCATCCTCACTTTCAAATACGACGGCCTGGTGTATTTGAAAGTCGGCAAGCTCGATCAGTCGAAGGCTGCTGGTGTCGTCGACAAGCCGTCTGGCCGCTTCAATGGCCGTGCATGCATATCCGGCCGCAGGGAAAACCGTTTGTGTCTGAACTTGGTGTCCGGGCAGCCATGAGATCTCGCTTGGCTTCAGGATGTTCTTCCAGCGAAGATGATGGGGCGCACTGTCTGGACTGGTATGGCCTAGCAAGGGATGGAAAGGCGCCTGGCGCAAGCGCATCTTGCGAGAGCGGCGCGATTCATGCCAGTACGAGCCCTCGTGGTTCCAGCGATACGAGGGTAGATCCTGGAGGACGGTATACCGCTGCGGCTGCTGAGATGCCAACATGGCTGTTTCGCAGGCGGCTAGATGGATGGAAGCCTTGTCCAGATGCGTCCACAAAAATCCCAAAGAAGCAGAGAAGGCTTCAACGGCGTTGTTGCCACGCACCAACGTCCCTTGATACTGCAATGACTTCTGTAGCACTTCCTCCATGACTTGCATCGCAGGCGCTTGCAGAGCTGCGTGGCTCCCTACCTCTAACGCCACGTCAAATGTGATGTCGCTCGACAGGGCGGCGGTGAGCGCCTGGGAGAAAAGTACAGGACGTCCCATGTTCTCCGCCCAGTACTGTCCACCGAGTTGAAAGGTTTGATCGACACGTTCCCCGCTACGTACCGAAGAAAACCAAGCACACTGCTGCTTAGGGGGGGTCTGCCCTGTGACGCGAACGGCCTTGAGCGAAGCCACGTACTCCTCCAAGCACGGCTGCATATGCGTCGAATGGTAGGCTTGGTCTACTCGGAGGCGACGGTGGAACTTGCCCTCGTCTTCCAAGATCAGCTGCATCTCCTCAATAGCGTCCACGTCGCCGGACAGAGTGAGGCTGGAGGAGGAATTGACCGCGGCGATGTCCACGCGACCGGCAAAATCCTCCGAACGGCAGAGCTCCAGTGCATCTTCCCACGACGTTCCCACGGCGAACATGGCCCCGGCGATATCCCCGTTTGGGGAGCGAGCGCGGGCACAGTGTAGACCGCGGTAGTAAGCGATGTACATAGCATCCTTGGCTGTCAAGAAGCCTGCAGCATATGCAGCAGCAATTTCTCCAGATGAATGGCCGACCACGGCGTGGAAGCGTACATTCGCTTCTTGGAGAAGGTCGACCAACATGATCTGCACCGCCGTGCACAGCGGTTGAGAAATGGCTGCCTCGCCAATCCGAGACTGCGACGCAGGTGCGAGCAACTCGCTCACCAACGACCAACTTGGCCGATCTGATGACGGGAGCAGCTTCAAGTACGCCTCGATCTCGTCGATAATCGCTCGAGCGCGGGGAGACGCATGCAGAAGCTCCGACCCCATCGCCGCGTATTGGGCACCCTGACCAGTGAAAATGCCCAGGATGCGGGACGTGTGTCCAGCTCGTAATAGATTGCGGTGGCCGACACCAGATTCGGAAGCTTCCAATCGTCCTAGTATCCGCTCACGCAATATTTCCGGTGACGAGGTTGCGGGAAAGCTGATGCGGTGACTGAATATCGATCTGCGTTGGCGAAGGGTGTATGCAAGGTCACTCATGCTCAAATCGGGATGAAGAGCCAGGTACTCAGCAAAGGCGTTCAGGTTGGCCACTAGGCTTTTCCCCGAGCCAGCTGAGAAGACGAAGGGTGTCAGAGGCCCGCCTGACTGTTTCCCTCCTGTAACAGTATCAGTTTGGTAGCTCTCTAGGATGGCGTGGGCATTGGTGCCGCCGAAGCCGAAGCTGTTCACTGAGGCCCGTCGGGGTTCGTGCGCAGGCAGCGTGGGCCATGCAGAGGCAGTAGTGGGGATCTGCAGCGAATCGTAAAAGGGGGCGATTTTAGGATTCAGCTTCTCGAACAGCAAGTTGGGAGGAACGATCGAGTGCTGAATAGCCAATGCTGCTTTCATAACAGCAGCAATCCCAGCAGTGCCCTCGGTATGGCCCAGTACGGTCTTGAGAGAGCCCACATATAGTGGCTTGCCGTCGTAGCTGGTCTGGCCGTTGCCGAAGGTGCTGCTAATGGCCTCTGCCTCTATGGGATCACCAGCCGGGGTGCCAGTGCCGTGCGCCTCGAAATACTGCGGGCGGTCTGCTGCATTTTCCAAATCGAGGCCTGCCTTGGCGTAGGTCTTTTGCATCAGCGAGCGCTGGGCTGTGGCACTGGGCATAGTGATGCCACCAGTAGCACCATCTTGGTTCACGGCCGTTTCGCGGATGACACATAAGATGTTGTCTCCGTCCTCTACGGCGCTACTCAGCGTTTTGAGCACCAATGCCCCGACGCCGTCTCCTCTGGCATCTGATCGTCTGTCAGCGTCAAGTAGATTAATGGCGTGATGTTATCCCATGCAGACGTACATCCATTTGCATCCTGATCCCACATCCTACTCAAGCCATCCGGAGACAGCATTCGCACCTTGCTCTCGATGATGTAGCTCTCTGGTCCTAGGATGAGATTCGCTCCGCAGGCGATCGCCACCCTCGAGTCTCCTGCACGCAGCGTCTGCACTGCTTGATGCACAGCAACGAGACTGGACGAACAGGCGGTGTCAATCGTCATGGAAGCCCCATGCCAGTTGAAGAAGTACGAAATACGATTCGACAGGATAGCCCGCGACGTTCCAACTGCGAAATACGTTGGGGCCAGGTCCAAATCGCGGAGGAGCATTGCTTCGTAGTCGCCGCCCATTACACCGGCATAGACGGCAGTGTCACTGTCACGCAAGGCATCAATGCTGATTCCCCCATTTTCCAGAGACTCGTAGACCGTCTCGAGCAGAAGGCGCTGTTGTGGATCCATGGCTTGACTTTCCATTGCGTTGATGCTGAAAAACTCTGCGTCGAAGGCGCTAACATCTTGGTCCAGTAGATACGAGTGCGCAACGTTACTGTGGCCATGATGGGCGTGGTTTTGATGGTAGAAGCCATCGGCACTGAAGCGTGAGGCCGGGATTCTGCGTCGAACATCGCGTGGCTCGCGTATGAGTTGCCAGAGCTTGGATGGGGAGGTTGCGTCGCCAGCGAAACGACAGGCGCTGCCGACAATGGCAATAGGCTCGTTTCTTGTCGCCATCATGCTTAATTCCGCATCATACGCGGGAGCTTCATCACAGACACCTAAATATGCTCCAAGGCGTTTGAAGGCTCACCGATACACCCCAAATCTCACTCCAATATTAATGTCTGTCAGCATCTGGCGTGCCGACTTGGGTCGCCAAACGATCCTCATCAAGCCTTGGTGTCGAAGCGAGGATTCCCGATATCGTTGCATATGCAACGTGGAAGTAAGGGAAGACAGACCCCCGGGCACCGAGGGTTATGCAAAAGCCGCAAGAGCTCCCCCATTAGGTACGAAGGAGTTGCCTGCTCACGCACCTGGAACAACACGGAGGGCAAAAGTGTCAGCCCGGTTCCGACCCACAGTTCAGCCTCACCCGGCTTTGTGGAGTAAGGCTGCATCCGTGCTTCACCAAAGGGGCCTGACTTGGGAGACAGAGATGGGATTGCTTTTGCAGATGCGATTGACTGGATGAATAGCTAAATCACAGATCCAAATCACACACTGCACAGTCGCGCTCAGTATTGCAACAGACGCGCCACGAGCTTTTTGCCTGCGAACTCTCCACGCCGCATCATTTCTACCGCCTTGACTAACCCCCCAAGCCCCCCTTCGACTTCGTGGACAAGTTGTGGCTTGATTATCTTGTTGTCTAGGAGCCACTGAACTTCTCGAGCCCAGGTAATCCCCACCGCATGTAATGATGCGTTCGCAGCGCGTGCATAGGATGCATGGCCCAAGTCTACGTCGTGTCCCAACATCTCAAAGCCCATGACAATCTTGACTTTCACCGCCTTCCGCGTTCTCCACGCCTCTGGCAAGTCTTCCAGACATGCATATCGAGCGCCGGTTCTCGAGAGGACGGAGAAGCACGTGGCTGCGGAGATGTCGTCGGTGATGCAATCCAATGCGTGCTTGATCGGAAAGCCGTTGGCGAGCGTCTTGATCTGCTCGGTGCAGTTTGGTGAAGTGTAGTCGGCAGTGCCGATGGCCCCATATTCCTTGACCCGCGCAGCGGATGCTTGCGAGCAGACAGCAATAGGGTGGTAGCCAGACCTGGTGAGTGAAATCAGCCACAGAGAACATAACGGCGACTGCGGTCGTGACTTACGACTTCAACATCTGGATGGCAATGACGCCCGTGGCGGTTGCACCGCCATATACAAGCACGTAGACCGGCTTCTCGCTCACCACTGGACGTGTTGGTGTTCCAGACAGATTCAAGGCGTCTGAGTCTCCCAGCGCCATGGCCACCGTACCCCAGCCGATAGCACCAAGGGCAGCTGCCTGACATTCGTTCATACCGTCGGGCAGTGCAAGCATCTGTCTCGAATCTGCGACAACCCATTGCGCGAATGCTCCGTTTTGGGGATTGTTCTTATCCACGCGGTAAGGAAACACTGCTCCGCATATCTTCGTGCCAGGAGTGTGGATGGCCTCGGACCCTGCTTCCACGACGACTCCGCAAAAGTCGCAACCAATGACATTTCCTTCCATGTAGAAGTGTGTGATCATCTTCCAGTCTGTTGGATTGCCGCTCGCTGCGACCACGCGAACCAGGACATCGTGGGGAGACGAGATCTTTGGGACAGAGACATCGTCGCGAACCAATATTGGGAGGTCTGACTTTGAAGACGAATCATCTTTCCACTGAACCACAGCGCTTTGCCTGCTGGGCGCTGGCATGGTAGGCGAGCAACTCAAGTACTGTCAGTGCGACGGCCAACAACATCAAGCGCGAGATCTGTCAAGCGGCAATCTCACCTCTCTCTGACCGCTTCCAGTGAATAAATCGGAAGTCAGGCCCTCACTCGACTTCAGTACCAAATGTGAGTCGAAACTATTCTTGTCAGCCCGTCGCCGAAGGAATCGTCACCTACGTCCAGATCATGTTCGCGATGATTTAATTAGCCGATATTACAGTAAATAGAAACTCTCAATATAGAATAAACATATTTAACGGGACTTCTAACTTTAGTAGCTGCAATCAAGGCCGCCCGTAGCGTTGTAGGGTTGTAGGGCTGTACTGCTACAGAGTTTGGGATAAACACCGCGCTGACCGAAACTTAACGAACTTGCAGAGCATCCTCTGCATCTGTGCGATACCCCCATCTGTGCTAGGCTTACTTCTGAACGCCGAATACAGCCCTGCTCCTCCGTCCTACATATGCAGATGATTCTCTTTATCATCGCATCCTCGCTCATCAGCATGAAGGCACTCATGCAGTCTAGAACATCCTTCTCGGAAGATAATCCCAGGGCAAATGTCATATAACGCAGACGACAGTAAATTTTACGATGGATTGATTGAATTCGCACTCTCTTCCTCTACGGCAACCACCATCTGCAAAGCGATGAATGATCACGTCAACACTGCTGCGGTCATACCAACCTTGCCTGAATTTCAAACGCTCGCTTCATGCACAGGGGGACATACTGCCGCATGTCCGAGATTGATGCGCCTTTGAAACACATGCTCTGCACACGCACTCACCGTGCCGAGGTGAACATGGACAGAATTACGTGTACTTAGCGACCTGCTCTTCTGACCAAGCCCAAAACTTGGCGGAGTGGCCATTTCCACCTTCTGCTTCCGATTTCCTCGCCGCTTCCAAGTCAGGCCTCAGGCGATAGAAGCGTCCCCACGGCACCACTTGATGAGAATGTCAATCAGGTCTCTTTTCAAGCCTAGAAATGCAGTGCAACTTACCCCAATCGCCAGTCTGCTCTATTGTGATCTTGCTGGAGAGTGCGGAGAAAAGCTCAGTATAGGCGCCGTAGCGCGGCGGGTACAAGACTAGAGTGTTGAGGACACGCTTGAAGAGGGCGCCGCCGTCGCGGTAGAGCTCCGAGCTCAGATGACCCGGATTGCACGGTACGCTCACGACGCCGTCGTTTCTGTGCCGCTTGGCAAATTCCACCGCGTAGAGCCAGTTGCCTGCCTTGCTGAGGCCATAACGCTCGAGCGGCTTCAAAGAAGGCCAGTAGTCGACGTATTTGGTGGTAATGCCGTAGTCCTGCTCCCCGATCATCTCGAGTCCGAGGGATGAAACCCATACGACCCGTACGGTATTTGCAGGCTCGGCCTTCGCCGTCGCTACAAGCTTGGGCGTCAGAAGCTTGGTAAAGAGGAACTGGCCGAGGACATTGACACCGAGATGGATTTCATGACCTTGTGCTGTAGTGTTGTTGGGTGACTGCGCCGCGAGCGCCTGCACAGCAGCGTTGTTGATCAGACCGTGGAGCTTCGTGTCCGTAAATTGATTCACTGAAGCCTTGACAGTCGACAAATCCGCCAGGTCCAGCTTTTGATAGACGAGTTCGCCGTCAGATTGAGGCCACGACTTCTTGATATCCGCTATGGCATCCGTCGTCTTGTCTTCTGAGCGGGCAGCGAGATAGACTTTGGCATTTTTTGAATATAGCAGCGAGGCCACCTCTTTACCGACGCCTGATCCGCTCTTTCTGGTCAGTTGCGTGGGAAAAGTACTAGTGAAGGGTTGCGTGCTCTCGCCCACCTGTGTTGGCCCCGGTGACAATGTACACTCTGCCAGTGAGGTCTGGCATCTCTTTCTCCGTGTACTGCGGCGCAGGGGGGTACATCTGGGCCAAAAAACTGCGAATTCCCGGGCCTGTGGGCCTTGCAGGTTTCGACGTACTGGCCATATCTCTGCGTTTTCGTCGGAGCGCTCGAAGGAATCTGGACTGGGATACTTGGATAAAATGTGATGGAGCAAGGAGATGGTTTTTCTCGATGTGTTGTCGAGAGGAACAGAGAACAACGTGCGGCTCCCACAAAAGTTACGGGGTCGTCGGGTTTTCAAAGGGAGCTGCAGAGCTGCAGAGCTGCAGAGCTGACGTTGAATCCCGCCGCTAAAGATCAGTGATAAGGCTGACACCTACTGCTTGTCCATCTCTGAGACAACGACTTCCACATTTGTTGGTACATCATAATTACGCTGGCGCATCATACTTCACAACGCGAATTGTCCATCGTGAAGCATGGCGTCCTCCGCCTTGCCAAAGGCGCAGGTGATTCCCTTGCATTTCTGGGATGACACGGCCACCTTTCGCGCGGTAGTCATGTACTTTATGATGCGCTTCAACGCTCCACTCTGCCCTTTGAAATTGCAGGCGGCGCTTGCGAAGCTTCTAGCGCGCGACGGATGGCGCAAACTGGGAGCACGCCTGCGCCTGAACGTACTGCGCCTGGCCCCATTCATGTGAAGATTACTGACTGTGACTTAGAAGGCAGGCCATCTCGAATATCATGTGCTCATCGAAACGGATGACCAGAGGCGGGTGCTGCGGTTTCACCATGAAAAGTACGAAATGGCCATCGCTCAGCACCCACTAGCATCGAGACTTCCCAAAGCCTCGTCGCAGCCTGAGATCGTTGGTCGTGCTGAGGACTTTCTCTCGCTCATGCGTCAACCGCACGACCCGGAGAAGCTGGCAGACTACCTCTCCGAAGACGAGCCCATTCTCGGCCTTCACGTCGTTTCCTTCTCTGATGCCACCATTGTGACGCTCAGCTGGCCGCATGTCGCGCTGGACGGTATGGGACGCAAGGCTCTCCTTGACGCTTGGTCGCTTGTGCTGCAGGGCCGAGAAGATGAGGTCTCTGAATTCCATGGCTTCGACGAGGATCCGTTAGCGACGCTGGGGACCAATCCGACTGAGGCGTATGTGCATGAGAGAAAGGCATTTCGCTGGTGGGACATGCTCGTTTTTACGTTCCGTTATCTGGTTGATCAGATTTTCTGGCAACCCAAGGACGAGAGTCGAGTCATCTGTCTTCCAAAGTCCTTTGTCCAGACCTTAAAAGCGCAGGCAGCAGCCGACATTGCTGCAGAGCAACCTAGCGCATATGTTAGCGAAGGGGACGTCATCAGTGTTTGGTGGACGCGGCGAATTGTCTCATGTACCCCAGTGCGGCCATTTCAGACTGTTGCGCTCAATGTTGCATTTGGACTGCGATGGCTGCTTGCCAAAGACCTCCTTCCCGCTGCCAAGGCCTACGTCTCAAATGCAGTGACCTTCGTGCCAACTTTTATGCCGGCCAAGGACGTTTTGAACAAATCTCTGGGGCAAGTGGCGCTCGCTGTGCGCCAGTCTCTCATCTCTCTGGGCACACGAGAACAAGTGGAGGCTCGCCTGGCCATTGATCGAGCTGCACAAGAGAAGACGGGGGGCGGGGCTCTATTTGGAGACCCCTGGATGCACATGGTGGTCTGCACAAATTGGATGAAGGGCAGTTTCTACGACGTAGACCTTTCTGCCGCTGTGATCGGGGATTCTTGCAGCGGAGACAAGGAAAGACAGCAGGGACGACCATCCTACATTCAGCTCCACTCATTTGCTCGTGGTTTCTCCCTGATCAATGGATTTTCGATTACTGGCAAGGACACTGCAGGAAATGTATGGCTGCACTCAGTCCTGCGAAGGGAGTACTGGCAGCGGATCGAACAGGATCTAAGAAGCATCCGCGACGAAGCCAGGAGACACTCTTGATTCGGAGTCGCTCGAAGCTGGTGTTGTACGAACTATTCCTTCTGTTGCTCGAAGCAGGCGCACATACTTGGGAAATCGGTTGCAGCTACCAGTGATGTCTTGATGCAGAGGGGTTACTCAACTATCTTGAGTAAGCTTACGCTGTTGTGGTCCCGCCGATGAAACTCCCATCAAGCGTTAAAGGTTTTTGGCGTTCGTGTCGCCGTACCGACGAACGCTAAGGGCACTAGACAGGCCGTTTTCAGTTTCAAGGCTGAAAACGAATACAACCATGTGATAGGGAGATCTACGTCACTGCTTCCAAGATCGGTCGCTCGCTTTACTAGTCTCAATCATCATAGCCCTGATGACCTGCAATCCTACTGTAACCTACGTCTGACCACCATCGATAGTCGCGCAAGACCGAAGATTGGTACTGAGCGAGGACTAAGGTACAGATGCAGAGTAGATCTTCATTTTCCGACTCTGCAAATGCGCTCAATCCAGCATCTGTAAGCCTGTTGCGTCCGCGATTGCGTCTTTGCTGTACGAGGAACAGTGCCCATTTTGCGAGGGTAATACGGACCATTTGCAAATGGATTCGAGTGGTGATACGTCGGGCACTTCATCGTTTGGAACGCCGAATAGACCCGCGGGCACCGACGAGGCCCGAAGGTTGTCACATTGTTTACACGCATCAGTCGTTTGGGGTACCCAACAACGTCGACATGATCTGCAGGATGCACTAACCTTCTACGTTTTCACAGCTCTCCTTCCTTCGCTTTCATTGCTGGCCGATTAGATGGCGCCGTGTCGTTCGACTCACGCGGCGAGGCCTATTGGAGGATCGCCACGCTTTCGCAAGCAGGGTCATGCAACTTCTTTGGGTCTCAGACCCCTAATACGTGGCAAACACGTGTCGACCAAAGTTTGGTTTAATAAGTTTTGGGCTAGGGGGTTCAGTGGTCTCGCTGCAGTTTGAACAGCAACACGAAACTCAACAATGGCACGACTTAGGTGTTTCGTCTACCTATCGTTACTATCATGTCTCTGCTCTGCTGCACCGGCGGCGACGCAGCACTGCAAAGTCCTGCCTGGCGACGCAGCTTGGCCGTCTTTCACCGCCTGGGAACAATTGAACCGCACAGTAGAAGGTCGTCTGATTGCCACTGTGCCTGAAGCAGCCGTCTGTCATAGAGGCGGCTACGCATTCGCAGCGTACAATGAATCGAGTTGCTCTGCGCTCCAGGTAACTTGGAATGCTCCAGAGACATAGTAAGGCAGTGAGTGCTCAAGAGTCGCATTGCAATCAACTGACCTTCACCTGCTAGTGAGCCCGTTGCCGGAGCCATCATGAACCCATATTATCAAAACCAGACATGCGTACCCTTCACTCCCTTCAACCAGACCTGTACGCTCGGCAACCTCGTCAGCTACTCTATCAATGTAGCATGTGCGGAAGATGTCGCCGCTGGAATTCGATTTGCAGGGGAACACAACATCCGTCTGGTTATCAAAAACACGGGTCACGAGTAAGTTGCCATTGCCCGTGGTCATCCCCGTCACAGGCTTTGTGCGCTTCAGCTGACACAGCATTGCAGCTTTACGGGCGGATCCACGGGAGAGGGTGCACTCGCACTCTGGATGTGGAATTTGAAGTCTAGCACCTTTGTCGATAATTACACTGGTATCGGCGACTATCACGGCCCAGCAATCACGCTTGGCGCTGGGATGGCCGGGTACGAGGCGTACTATGCAGTAAACGCTCGGGGATATCGCATTGTTGGCGGTGATTGTCCTACAGTCGGCATCACGGGAGGTTACGCGCAGGGTGGCGGCCACTCGCTGCTGACCGGCACTTACGGCATGGCATCAGACCAGGTGCTGGAATGGGAGGTTGTCACTGCCAATGGGAGCCATCTTGTTGCCACTCCTTTCCAGAATGCCGATCTGTACTGGGCGATGAGCGGCGGTGGAGGAGGGACCTATGCTGTTGCGCTGAGCATGACGTACAAGATCTATCCCGAAAGCATTGTGGGAAGCGCGACGTTGAGCTTCAACGCCACCGCAAACAGCAACGCAACCTTCACCAAGGCGCTGGAGGCGTGGTGGAAAGCTACACCCAGCATCGTCGATGGGGGCGCCTCCGTCTTGTGGGGGGTCGAAGAGGGAATCTTTCTCCTCGAGGGTACTACCGCCCCAGGTCTGACTGCAGAAGAAGTGGGTCAACTGTTTGCGCCATTCCGACAGACTCTTGGGAACCTCAGTGTCCAATATACTTTCGCAGCCACCCAGTCCCCATCTTATTTCGACCACTTCAGCGCTCAGGTGGGCGGCCTGCCGTACGGGGAGTATACGGGAACGTATCTCGAACACAGCTGGCTAGTTCCTCGGGAGATTCTCGACAACCCCGACAGAGTGTCCAACTTGAGCCAGACGATGATTAACGTGGTGACGGAGGCCAATCCTCAGGCAGGCGATCACATTGGCTGCCAAAGCATGAGTCTCAAGAACGTGCCACCGCAGTACGACAACGCCGTATTCCCCTCTTGGCGCGACACAATCGCCATCTGCCTCGTGAATGCGCTATGGAACTGGACTATCCCGTACTCGGAGATGTTAGAGCGCAAAGCGTACATTGCCCATGTGATAGCCCCGGCCATGCAGGCTGCCACCCCGGGCGGGGGTAGCTACAGGAACGAGGTGGATTCATGGGCTTTCCCGCAGGCTGATACGGCAAAATGGCAGCATGGTTTGTTTGGGGTAAATTACCACCGCCTGAGGGAAATCAAGAGAAAGTGGGACCCAGCATCGCTATTCTACGCAAACATAGCCGTTGGCAGTGAAGATTGGGTTGTAGCTGCCGATGGTCGCTTATGCAGAGCGTAGAAAATTGTCTTTTTAGGGGGTTGATCATATCATCCATATGTTGATGCGTATGACACTGTATACACCATCCTGAAAGCTTCAAGTAAGCAAGGCAAAGGTTTTACCGGATGACTATTCAACTTAGTGCCTAACCAAAGGCTTCCACAGCACCGGTATCGAACGGATCAAGTCCTATCGCACAATGATAAATAGTTTTCCAGTCTATTCGCATCATTCATCATCCCACCTTACAACACATCTTGTCTCTATGCTGGTCCTGTTTGGCATCTGAGCATCTTGGTCGGCCAGCTCAAACGCCGTATGAGGACACCGTCGTGCCCTACCATCCTTCTCCGAGTCGTATATTCTAATCAACAAAGCCTCCTCTGGTGTCATCTTGCTCTTATAATACCACCGATGCTCATCGTTATAATAGACATGCCAAGACTCATTCGCCTTCATGTTCTTCGGCGTGTTGGTAAAATTCTCATTCACAGCATCGGCAGGTCGCCTGATCGCAAGGGGGTACAAGTCCTCTTCTCTAACACTCGAGGCATCGCAGACGGCCAGGGGGTCACGCTCTACCGTCTTGAGAGGGTACCAGACATTGACAATACCCCATCGGCCCTTGCTCCACTTCTCAGCCTCTTCGCTGCCGACAAAGCCTTCCAGGAACCCGTAAGAGCCGTCGTAGCTGTTGTCGACGTGAATGACACGAAACGGCACCATCTTTGTGACTGTGTCGTGATCCGCCATTGTAGCTGCATCTGCCAAGGCCGACTCAACAGTCTCGTTCCGGACGAAGTGCAGTAACGGCTTGGCGTCCGCTGCTCCAAGACTATTGTTCAAACAATGAGTTGGGGCACTCATCTCAGGAGCAAAGCGCAAGATCGCGACTCACTGTTTCTTTAGCAGCTCGATAACCTCGGGGTACCAGTGCTGCGCGGTCTGCTCCTTATTGTCGAATTCGTTGAACTTTCCTTCGCGGGGGACGAATTTGAAGCCATGCTTATCAATATCGAAGGTGTCGTTCACGCTTCGAACATCGGTAATGGGAACTTCACGAACGTCAAATTTTCGGCGAAGATTGCTTGCTGTCCCAGGATAGAAGCCATCCGCATCGGCTCCACCGCCCGGCAAGAGGTAGTTCAAGTTCGCCCGCACCACGGACGGGTTCGCAATCGCTGCGGCCATGTTTATATGTAGCGGAATCTTTCAACAACTCTAGGGAAGCTGGCATCAAATGAAGCAGCAGACAATGTGGACGTTTAAGGGCCTAAGTAAACATTCCACAGCCTGTCCGCGCTGACAAGGCTGATTAGCTCTTCGGGCCTAACCGAACGAAATCCTTTGTACGGTACCAGGAAACAGGAAGGATTTCGGCCACCGCGGAGTCCGGATGTGGTTGCCTGACCTACATGGTCATAGACATTGAATATCTTTACCAAGTACAACAGCCTGGCTCTCTATATGCAGAGGACACTCTACGTCACCCTTTAGCCGGGGTAAAATAAGGAGCCAACGCCTCCATCTACTGGTAGAGAAGCGGACTTTCCAATGCAGTGCTGATTCGCAACCTGTTTAGCATGGCTGATCATCGCAGAACTGTAGCCCTAGGCTCAAGATGAGGCCGCATGTGACCATGACCCCTGTTCGTAAGCGTCTTGTGCAGGCGGCTCTCGCGCTTTCGACGCATAGCCATGCTTTGAAGCTGTCTGAACCGGAGGTTGAGTCCGACGGCGTCATGCACATATCTTTCCACGTAATCCAGTGGGCCCCGAGACGCCGAGACAGCTCTCGAATACATGGTATAACCAGCTGACCAACTCGACGTCAGCCCGCAGGATATGCACTTGTGCAGTCTCGGTGCGCTCTTCTCTGACACGAAGATGTGCGTCTCTTCGATACCTGACTACTGCGATGTCTCAAGATTCCGAGTGACTACATTTTCATCGGGCCCACCAGCAGCGTGCAGCGCCTCATGACCTCGAGAAGCTGCAATTGGTAGTGAACCTGGCCGCGGGGAAATGAACCAACAGCGTCCAACGCGGGATGGGCGATTCCGTCTCGTTCATGGTCGGTCTTCTGAGCGACGCCATCTCAACAATCAACAACTTCCCAACAACGCCGTGGATTCGTGCAACATCGTAGAGTGGGAGGGTGACGATGACCCGGCCTGTCCTCTGAACTGGCCGACATCTCGGAAAGCTGTCAACGTTACAATGGTCTCGGTGTGGACGCTTGTTACTCCTCTCGCTTCGTCGATGATTGCGCCGGCAATACCGCTGATACTGGACGAATTCAAAATCACCAACTCCACTTTGGGGACTTTCGTCGTGTCCATCTTTGTTCTGGGGTACGCCCTCGGCCCCATGGTGCTCGCTCCTCTGTCAGAAATGTATGGAAGACTGCCGGTCTACCATGTGTGCAATTTTCTGTTCGTGATATGGACGCTGGCGTGCGCATTTGCACCCAACATTGGGGCGCTCTTGGCCTTCCGCTTTCTGCAGGGCGTCGCAGGTGTCTGTCCTCTCACCATTGGCAGTGGGACCATTGCAGATCTGATCCGCCCTGAACATCTTGGTCTCGTTATGTCAATCTACTCCACGGGGCCCTTGATGGGGCCTGTCGCTGGGCCGATTGCAGGATCATTCCTGAGCGAAGCCGCGGGATGGCGGTGGGTGTTCAGAACACTGGCCATCGCAGTGAGTATATCTGAGGAAATCCTGCTGTCCGAGCACAGTCTTGACTAATGACTGGAAATGTTACAGGCTGGAGTCTTGAACGTAATTTCTACCTTCACGATGCAGGAGACGAGTCACGCGACCTTGCTATGGCAGAAGACGCGGCGATTACGTCGCGAGACGGGCAACGATGCGCTGTGTAGTAAGCTACACTCTGGTCTGAACAGCGCCGAGAGGTTCAAACGTGCCATCGTACGGCCAACGAAGATGCTTCTTTTCTCTCCGATCGTGCTTTTCCTGAGCATGTACATTGCCGTTGTGTATGGCTATCTCTACCTGCTCTTCACCACCACGACGGACGTCTACGAACAACAGTATCATTTCAGCTCGGGCATCGCCTCCTTGACCTACTTGGGCATTGGCGTTGCGGAGTTTCTCGCACTGTTTGCTTTTGCCATGACCTCAGATCGCCTAACCGCCAGGTTAGCCAACAAGAAGCAGACGGTCAAGAGGCCGGAGTATCGTCTGCCAGTACTGGCCGTGGGAGCGCTATTGACGCCTATTGGATTGTTCTGGTACGGCTGGTCGGCCCAGAAGAAGCTGCCTTGGATTATGCCCGTGATCGGGTCCGGATGGCTTGCGGCTGGGTTGATATTGACCTTCATGCCCGTCTGCACTTACCTTGTGGAAGCTTTTCCCATTTACGCAGCCAGTGCGATGGCCGCCAACACGATTCTCAGGTCTCTAGTCGGGGCTTTCTTGCCGCTGGCTGGGCCCTCTCTGTACCGCTCGCTCGGCCTGGGATGGGGCAATTCGCTTCTCGGCTTCATCTCCCTCGCTATGTGGCCTGTTAGTCTGGTGTTCTATCGCTATGGAGAGAGAATCCGTAAGAGCAGCGATTTAGTACTTTAACAGTCCGAGGCTTCGACTTTGAGTAGAATATAGATTAAAGCCAGAAGCTGCGTATAATAACCACATTAACAAGTAAGCTACCAGTCAGAGTTCGCCACGAGCGAAAAGGATGTGATTTGCTGTATCACATGCCGCAGAATTTGGGACTGGAATAAGAGTATCAAGCGGGACGCGGGGGGATTGCAAAAGGCATAAAGAGAAGTGATTCCATACTTGTGATCTATATCTGTCAGTCTACTGATCATTTTTCAACAGAACCAGCACCCCAATGCCACCATAAGGAAGTAATGAAGTTTACACATGCCCTGATACACGCAACCCCTTCATCGTTGACTGTCTTTGATCGCGCAAAGCATTCGATACGCAGTGAGCCTCGCTCGTTCGAAGTCTCGTTACTTTCATCATACCGCTACTGCGAGCTTGGGCCCAGAGATAGAACACCTCGCACAAACAAACATGATACTACCCGCCAACATGACGACGCCACACCAAATTTGCATGTCACTATATCCGCCATTGTCCAAACTGATGAAGGCTCCACCGATGGGATTAGCGACAAGAGAGGGGATCGACAAAGATGCAAACTGCAACCCAATCCGCAACCCAATCTCCTTGACGTCGGAAATCTGAGCGACCAAAGCGGGAATGATGGATACGAATGCTCCACAGGAGAAGCCTGCCATCGTTGGTCAATTAGTGAACCGATTGAAACATGAGCCGACAACTCTTACGCACCGTAGAGGGCCGAGAAGACAATCAATGGAGCATTGCCTCTGGCGGGTAGCCACAATGCAAGGCAGAGGATTCCCGACAAGAAGCCCATTGCTGAAATTGTGTTGAAGCGACCTACTCTGTCGCTCACCCAACCCGGCAGAATGCGGCCAAAGAGGCTAGCAAGCCTCAGCATATGGTCTCAAAACTTGGCCACAACATCGTAACGTACCTTGCTGCGTTCAAAATCGGAATCAAATACTGGACCAAGTTCGGATCCATGTGGAACTCGGTGGAAGCCTGGACGGCGATGTAGTTGATCGGTAGGAAGAGGCCGAAGTAGAAGAGACATCCCGCAATTGTGGTCAGAAGATACGGTACCTCCTTGAAAGGTCGTATATACGCCATCAAGGACAGTGGCTGAGGATAAGGCGGCATCCGAGACTTGGTGACCGCACAGCCAAAGGCGAGCATGGCTAGGATCAGAAAGGCGCATATTCGTATCGACCAGGGGAAGCCGACTTCCGTGAGGAGATGCGAGAACATGATTGGAAATATAACGCCTGCCAGGGTCAGTAAGCTACATTGACAGCAGACACGACAGATCATTTACCCCCAAGTGAGCTACCGGCAGCCACGACGCCAATGGCATAGCCACGATTCCTCAAGAACCAAGTATTAGGACAGCTCATTGCTGTCGAAGCTATCAGCCAAGCTCACACACTGTAATTACTGGCAACTGACCTGGCGTGAATATCAAACTGATGCCAATTGGGCTACAGATGCCCTGGGACAAGATGATCTGATAATACTTGGTCGACAAGGACAGCATCATGAGCCCAAACACATGAATCAAGCTGCCGAATACGAAGGGCCATCGTGGTCCATAGTTGTCCACCACTCTCCCAACAATGATGCCTCCGAAGAGCATGACGAATATCTCGAGTGACGCGATCCAGGCGATGTCCGACGGCGAGTAGTTCGAGAGGTAATTTTGCTGGTAGAAGTCTTGGAAAATGCCAATACAGTTAATCCATCCTATGTATGAACATGTGTCAGTCCAACTTTCAATAGAAAAGTCCCAACGCGGAGCGATCTGTCGGACATACCGAAGCTGCAAAAGACGAAGCAGAATGATCCTGCGACTACCAGCCAGGCCTGGAGCCCTCCATCAGGGAACTGACTTGGATGCCATGGGTTTGCCGCTTGCGGCGGAGGGGGAGGAGCAGCTGGCGACGGTGTATCTCTTTCTGGGAAGTCCTCACGAGATCCCTTTTCCCGCTCATTGGTATCTGAAAAGTCGTCTTTGTTGACGTGCTCCTCAGCTGTCGTTGAGGACATGCTTGCGAGAATAATCGGTAAAGCAAGTGAATGTGCTGAGCAAGTTTGGAGAAGATTGAAGCAGCCTTGTAATGTAGGAAAGAAAGTACGAAATTGGTTCGAACAGCCAAGCCGCAAGACGGCTGCCCCTGAAGGCTGGACCCTTGCACGTGGCCACCACACGTCAACCCATGTGAACTAAGAGGGAATGAAGATTGGTCAATGTGCGGCGGTGACCAAAGACGCACAGAAGTCTCGCTCTCCACCGCCCAAGACCTGTCCGAGCCCTTCGGGCCTTGACCGGGCTTCCCGGATCCTCGGGGATCTGCTCAGGTCAACCAACCCAACGCTCTTCGGTACCAAGCGATTCGGCGAGAAGGTTGAAACTACGCATGGACTATCAGAAGAATTTATAAAGCTGAATATGATGATGCTCTCTACCCGACCGCTTGCGATTCTGCATTGTAGACATCATGGATTCTATGGACGAATCGAGCACTTCGGTGCCCCCAAAACCCTTCGCCCCTGCCGTAGAGGCTACTGTGGATGTTGGCGACCCGAATAAAATCATCATTATCGGCGCTGGACCGACTGGCTTGGCACTTGCACAAGGCTTGAAAAAGGTATGTGCGAAACAGATTGTTCGTCTGTCACGCAATATCGCTCATGCTCGTGGATCTAGGCGAGCATTCCATATGTGGTATATGAAAGGAATGAGAACGAGAATATCAAGCGTAATTGGTCAATGGGCGTGCGTGAGTCAACCAAGTTTCGACGCCAAGCGAGCCAGATGGACCTGACTCTTCGTCTTTAGATTGGGCGATTCCTTGTTTGAAAGAGCTCCTCCCAGAAGAGGTTTTCGCCACGATTGAGCGTACTCAGGTCGATCCGCATCGTTCAACAAGTGACACAGACCGCCTCACACTCCTCAACGGAGCCACCGGCGAGCTGATCAAATCTGTCGACTCTTCGAAGTTCTATCGCCTTCGTCGGGACAAGTTCCGCAAGATGCTTCTCACTGGACTCGAAATCCGTTGGGGCAAGACACTTGACCAGATTACTTATTCAGACGACGGGCTTGCCGCAACAACGCACTTCGCAGACGGGACGCGAGATACTGGTAGCATCATTGTTGGCACAGATGGCCCACACTCTCGCGTGCGTACTTTGTTGGTTGGCGAAGAGAAGGCGAAGGTGGAGCCTACCGACTTTGCTACGACAATGTGCTTTACCAAGCATACGAGAGAACATGCTCTGTTCCTTCGAGCGCCGCCACATCACCCGTTGTATCAGACTGCTGCTCATCCAATGGGAATGTTCTCTTGGCTTTCTCTCCACGATGGCGAAGACCCAGATCATCCAGAAGATTGGACATTCTACCATTACGTCAGTTTCAAAGAGCCTCGAGACTACGAGAATAAAATGACCAATGCGGAACTCGTAGCCCGTCAGAAAGAATTGGCGAAACATTTCGTGGATCCTTGGAAGAGTGTTTTCGAGTGGATGCCAGATGATCATCCAGTTTGGTACGGAAAACTACGACACTGGGACCCGCGAGACCCAGGACACCAATGGGACAACCAGGCCGGCAGAGTCACAATCGCAGGTGACGCTGCCCATCCCATGACCTTTCAGCGTGGACAAGGCCTGAACCACGCCTTGAAGGATTCTCTGGAGTTGTGCAAAGCTGTTCAAAAGTACTGGAACGACGGGGCAGTCTCAGTCCAGGACCGCAAAGAAGCACTCGATGCTTATGAGGAGGAAATGATCCAGCGCGGAGGAGAGGAAGTCCGTCTGAGTGAAGGCAACAGCAAAACTATGCACAACTTTGAGAAGGTGATGGAGAGCGCCACAGTGAAGGCAGGCATGCATCTGACGAGGCAAGGCATTGTGCAGCCCCCGGCTGAGACGAGGCCCCAGGCAGTTGAGTCATGCTTAACGACTGTTGGTTGATTCGGTGCCGACCGGTTCCGTGCAATTGCGACAATTAGTCTAAAGTTAAAGATCAGTATCATCTTGTTGAGGCCACATAGTTGAATCCTGCTTGTGTTCGTTGAGCTTGTATGTTGAGATACCTAGCTGGGAAATCGCAGGATCTGATGCTGAGAGCCCGATTACCCCGGCGGGCTCCAACGACGCGCCGACATTGATTTGGCACTGTGAAAACGGCAGAAAGTATTTGTTGCTGTGATCCTTGGCCATTACTCATTCACAAGGAACGTGTCCGACACCAGAGGCATTCGCACGTGTATGTGCAAAAGAGGTCTGATTTGACCAGGCCGCGATGAACACGAAGCTACTTGATGTAAACCAATGTCTCGTAATCAACGCAAGTCCCGGCAGGGTAGAGCTGAAGACCCTGAGAAAACTGTGTGCTCCACAAGGCTGTCAAATTGCAAGCGAGCGGAACGTTGTTCGCGATGCCATCGACGGACTGTTGATCTTCAGGACTCAGGGGATGGGAGACCATTTACCTGGATGGAGAAAGACCCGTTTTGGAATCAAGCCTTCTTCGCCAGTCATGCTGGGTTCCGGCATGGTGAACGCTTGCGTTAGCTCTAATGCCTGAAGAGACGTCGGGAAATCGTGTAATCCCTGAGCAGCAGTCTCGCTTGCCCCGAAACCTTGTATCTCTCGTAAGAATGCCACTTTCGGTGATCGCGGGTCACGAGCACTTTATGGCTACGGCTGAGGGCGAGGTTTGTTTCCCAGTCAAATCGTTGATCGAAAAAACAGCCGAACGAATCACCGTATCATTGTGAAGCCGTCCCCATCGAGTCGATTATCGCGCGATCGCCTTCGTACAACCAATTGCCCCTCCCACACGCTCTTCGTACGAAGTTGTAGTTGCCGAACACCTAGTTATAAAGCCAGAGTACTGGTGTTGACGACAGCCTCATAGTCATAACCGTGCGTGTACTTTTCCACAAGCATTTCGAGCAAGTACAATGGGTTCAATTCAACCAAAGCGCCTCCTCTGCTGGACCATGGGCGTCTACAAGAAGCCTGGCATGGAAGAAGCCGAGTTCCACGACTACATTAGCAATGTGCATGCACCACTCGTGAAAGGCTTCATGACTAAGTACGGAATAGAGTCGTACACTATTATCCGTACGAGGGCGCTCTTCATGCTTGGCAAGGGCATGGCTCGCTAAACGTCGCAGATAACGAGACCTCGCTCAAACCGTTGATGGGCCGCATTGTCCACCCATCCTTCGACCACTTTCTCGACTATGATTGCGTGGTCACCATAACCTTCCCAGATGTGGAAACGGTGGAGAGAATGAAGCAAGACCCAGAATATCTGGAGAAAGTCATGCCAGATCATGACAACTTTGCTGACATGAAAACTTCAAGGTGAGCAACAATCTTCCAGAAGTGTAGTCGACTGGACCTGATAGCGATTAGGTTGAGTATAGGGTGGCTAGAGCCCCAGATTGCCAGTGGAAAAGACGTAGCTTGAAGATATTGGGTCACCCAAAGAAGGGGAATTGAGCGCTCCTCATTGCTTATCGCCTGGGGACGTTGTCGAATTATTGGACGCGAGATGTAGCGTTGCAGTTGTCCATAGTCTAACACAAATTGCATTCGCTTGAGGAGCGTCCGGTTGCGCGTATGCCGCAACACTCATTTCCCACGCCAGCCCGGGTGCCGTAAGAAGCCTCGCTCGTGAGGGTCTACCCAAGCTCTCCGATTGACACGCGCAAGAGTCTCAACAGCGCCGCCATTCCTCCAGACTGCCGTGAGAACCAACGAGTGCTGATCGTAGATCAATCCGGACAGTTGAAGGATGCTGCGAAGACGCAGACATTCCTCCCGCGGGTCGGCTTAGGCCCTTGTCAGAATCTTTCACGCAACGACTATCCTTCGGGGCCCGTCGGTGGTTGTATTGAACCTTGTCACCGTGGTATTGCACCCTGCAGATCATGCCAGCCGTGCCTTTCGCATTGCGGTTCAGCTGACGGAATGGCAGAAGCGTGGATGCCAAGGGTCCGTGGTCTGACATGCGTGGCGCACGTTCGCCGCACGTTGACCCATGTGAGAGGACCCCACTCTGGCTATGCAACATGCACTTCAACCTTAAGTCGCCGCCATGACCCTGTCTCCGATTCTCGAGTACTCAGTCCTCATCAGCCAGTTCAACATGGACGCAGGTGACCTTCTCTTTATCTTTGGCGATTCAACGCATCGCTATGAGGACACATTGAAAAGCCTTTTGCTTGTCCACGACAATGCCACACTGCAAAGATTCTTCACTCGGATCGCTTCAGAACTCCGGAAAGCAATTGGAAGTCTACCGGCCGCTCAACAAGCCCGGTTCCCGCGCTTCTCAAACACCATCGAGTTGCTCGGCGAGAGAAAACGACAGCAAGGAGTATTCGTTCCCAGCCTGGAACTCGCGCTCTTATCTGCGGCCCATATTGGAAGTTTTATAAAGTACCGTACCCCTGGCAGTCCTTAGAAGTCTGAGAGGTCACTGACGAGGTCCATCAGATATCACACAGAGGGTCGGACACAGTACCAAACCAACGCTTCATGTCTCGGGCTTTGTACCGGTTCGCTGGCAGCGGCGAGTGTAGCAGCCAGCGGTAGTGTTGCAGAGCTCATCGAAGCCGGAATCGAAGCAGTTCTGGTGGCGTTTCGGATCGGTCTTCGAGTAGCCAAGGCCAGTCAGGATGTCGAGCCTTGTTCTCGAGAGGAGGCTTGGACTCTCGTGGTGGGATCGCCCCAGGAGGTGGTGCGGAGCGCAGTCGAGTCTTTCGGCAATGACACAGGGCTCCCGACACACCTACAGCCTTACATCAGCTCCGTGACAGCAGGCAATGTGGCTGTCAGCGGGCCGCCGTCAGTTCTGGCGAGATTGCTGGATGAATCGCTCAGCCGTGCGCAGACTGCTTGGCTATCGATCTACGGCCCCTTCCACGCGCCACATCTCTACAGCCAGTCGGACGTGGATGCCATTTTGGCACCGTGCGATCCTTGCATCCTCGAGAGGACACCATCGAACGCCATGATATCCGCCCGTGATGGAGAGCGGGTTGACGCTGCTTCGGGTCGAGACTTGTTCGAGCGGGCCGTCCAGGACATGCTGGTTTCACCGTTGAGATGGGACCGCGTGCTACAAGCCAGTACATCGTTGTTCTCCGGGCATGTCGTCGTGCAGCCCATTCTGGCTCCCTCGCAGAGTCTGTCCTCGACCTTGACCAACGCTGGCCGACGATGTGAAGTCAGGACTGCCGACGCCCGAGCGGCCGGGACCGCTGGAACTAAGCCCAAGTTGGCGATTAGTAAGCATTGTTTTGATCTCCACGCGACGGGCCCTTTTAACGCTGACCGCGTCTTCGTAGTCGGGTATTCGGGACGATTCCCCTCAGCAGCGTCCGCAGACGAGCTCTGGGAGAATGTGCTCCTCCCAGGCCTCGATGTCCACCGGGAGATTCCTGCGGACCGATTCGATGTTGACGCCCACTTCGACGCCTCAGGCAAGACCAAAAATACATCAAAGGTAAGGGATGGGAGGACGTCGCCGCTGTATGCCTCACAAACTGAATTACTGGTAGATCCGCCATGGCTGCTTCATTGACGAGCCGGTAAGTTCCTTACTATCTTGTCAGTCTATGGCGATGAATTGACGTCTGTCAGGGTCTCTTCGACCCTCGATTCTTCAACATGTCGCCTCGTGAGGCGGCCAACTCGGATCCCGGCCAGCGACTTGCTCTCGCCACAGCATACGAAGCCCTGGAGATGGGAGGCTTTATATCGAACCGCACCCCCTTTTCGCAAGCGAACCGTGTTGGTGTCTTTTACGGTATGACAAGCGACGACTGGCGTGAGGTCAATAGCGGCCAAAACATCGATACGTATTTCATACCTGGCGGCAATCGAGCGTAAGTATCGGACGACCGTATGAATTTGACGATACTAACAACGTGGAGATTTACGCCAGGCCGCATCAACTATCACTTCAAATTCAGCGGACCCAGCTACAGCGTGGATACGGCGTGTTCGTCGTCTTTTGCCGCCATACACACTGCTTGCAATTCGTTATGGATGAACGACGTAGACGTTGCTATCGCTGGTGGCACGAAGTATATTGAGGCTAGAAGCATTCCCACGGCCATAGCTGACGACAACACAGCGTCCTCACGAATCCGGACAACTTTGCTGGCCTTGACCGCGGCCACTTCCTCTCTACGACCGGAAACTGTACGTCGTATTCTTCGAGAGCCATAGAAACGCTAGAGGCTAATTCACACAAGGCAACACGTTCGACGACGGTGCAAATGGCTACTGTCGTGCAGACGCTGTTGGGACCATTGTCATAAAGAGACTTGAAGACGCCATTGCTGACCATGATCCTATCAAGGCGGTGATTCTAGGCGCATATACAAATCACTCTGCGGAGGCCGACTCGTAAGACCAGTTGGTTTTTTGTCATCAACTGCCGCGCCTACTGACAACTTCCCGTTCTTAGTATCACAAGACCACATGTGGGAGCACAAGCATCGATATTCAATAAAGTCTTGGCTGAAGCTGCGATCGATCCCCTGGACGTCAGCTATGTGGAAATGCACGGCACTGGGACTCAAGCAGGTGATGCAGTGGAGATGGCTTCCGTCCTCGACGTTTTTGCTTCGCGCCCCCGCGATCCAGCGCATACGCTCCACCTCGGAAGCGTCAAGGCCAATGTTGGACATGCAGAATCGGCTTCTGGTGTTACATCATTGATCAAAGTTCTCAAAATGATGGAGAAGGTAGGTAACGTAACGGCTACTAGGTGCTTAAGATCAATGCACTCTGTTGACTCGCTCTTCTTAGAACGAGATACCGGCCAACTGTGGCATCAAGACTCATATCAATCGCAAGTTCCCCACAGATCTGCAAGCTCGGAACGTACACATACCTCTGAAGCGAACAGCATGGAGACAACCGTCTGATGGTCGCCCGAGGCGAGCATTCCTCAACAACTTTTCCGCGGCTGGCGGCAACACGGCTATCCTAATCGAAGACGCCCCACATAAGCAGCTTCACCAAGAACATTCACTGGAGCCACGCTCTTGTTTCCCGGTTACCGTGTCTGGGAAAAGCAGGACGTCACTTCGACAAAACATCATTCAGCTTGTGGAATTCCTCGTGAAAAATCCCCAGACGTCCCTCCCATCCCTAAGCTATACGACAACAGCTCGGCGTCTCCATCACAACTTTCGGACTGTCGTTAGCGGCAAAAACGTTCGCGACGTGATCGACGCGTTGGAGAAACAATTGGGCGGCTGCGAAGCCTCGAAGCCCATTCCAACCTCAGCCCGTATCCCGAAAGTCAATTTCGTGTTTACAGGTCAGGGCGCTCTTTATACGGGACTGGCTCGATCTCTGTTCAAAAGCAACAGCGCTTTCCGGGAGACAATTAATCGATACGACGGAATCTGTCAGAAGCAAGGCTTTCCATCCTTCATCGGCTTGATGAACGGTTCGGTTGAAAGCTTAGATGTGGCGGGTCCCCTGCTGTCTCAGCTGGCACAAACTTGCTGTCAGATGGCTTTAGCACACCTTTGGAGGTCATGGGGTGTTCAACCTTCTGCAGTCATCGGCCATAGCGTTGGTGAGTATGCCGCCTTGCACATGGCCGGCGTCTTGTCAGCCAGCGACGTCATTCACCTTGTCGGCACAAGAGCTCGATTGCTGCTCAGCCACTGCACCGTCGACACCCACTGCATGCTTGCTGTGAAAGCTGCTTTGAGGGAATTAGCCCCCTATCTGGAAGACAACAGCTGCGAAGTGGCCTGCATCAATGGCCCGAATGATATAGTCCTCAGCGGACCCCTTGCGAATGTCGAAGCCAAGAAACAGCTTCTCGATGCAAATGGCCTGAAGAGCACGAAGCTGTCCCTGCCGTTTGCTTTTCACTCATCACAAGTGGAAGCCATCGTTGAAGAGTTCGGGCAGGCTGCAAGTACGGTCACATTTCAACGACCAGACATACCCTATCTATCTCCTCTGCTTGGCAGTGTCATCACTCACGACAGTCTGGAGAAGATCGATGTCTCTTACCTCACCCGAGCCTGTCGTGAAACCGTAAACTGGCAACAGGCTTTGTTGGCTGGCAAGCAAGACAATGCCATTTCCGAGCATGATATCTGGCTGGAGATTGGACCGCACCCGATCTGCAACAACATGGTCAAATCCGTATTAGGCTCACAGACAGTCACTGCTGCATCCCTTCGACGTCAATGGGACGATTACGAAGTCTTGAACGAGGCTGTCTCTCTTTTCTTCCTGGCGGGACTGGAATTGAACTGGGGCGAGATATGCGATCGGCCTGCTGAAGTGCTTCAGCTGCCAGCTTACCAATGGGACAACCAAAATCTTTGGATACAGTATAGGAACAACTTTTGCTTGACCAAGGGCGACGATGTGGTGGCCTCACCTGCCACACTGCCGGAGCAAAGCCAACATTCTCTAAGAACCGCAGCAGTGCAGACCATTGTATCCGAACAGAGCGATGGTAATGGCAAGCGTGTCAGCATCAGCATGGTATCTGACATGCGACATCCTGCGCTGCACGAGATTGTTGAGGGTCATAAAGTCAATGGCGTCGCACTGTGTTCGTCTTCAATCTGGGCAGACATTGCACTGACTCTGTCTGAGTATCTCGTACGTGCAGGCGGCGATGGCAAGAACTTTGGCTTCAATGTGAGCAGAATGAACATCAAGAAGCCCCTTGTTGTCCAGTCTGGTCCTACTATGCTTGGTGCCACTGCCACTGCCGACTGGAATTCTGGCCAGGTGCAGGTAGAGCTGTACAGCATGTCGAACGGGAAAAGAACGCTGTCTCATGCAGACTGCACAGTGAAGCTCGAGACAAAATCCGTCTGGACAAAAGACTGGAAGCGAATGGCCTACCTCATCCGAGGAAGAATGGACTCACTCGTTCTTCAAGCCAGCCTTGGCCAAAACCAAGTCAATAAAGTGAAGCAAAAACTGGCATATAAGCTCTTCGGGGCCATTGTGGACTACGGGGATTGTTGGCAGGGCATGCAAGAAGTGATCTTGGACAGCGCACAACTCGAAGCGACCGCCACTGTTCGTTTTCAAACCACGGCTGCTGAGGAAGACCATTTTATCAGCCCCTGCTGGATGGATAGTCTGGGTGGCATCGCTGGGTTCATCATGAATGCTAACGATAACAGAGAATTCGATTTGAGGAAGCAAGCCTTCATAAACCACGGATGGAGCGCGATGCGGTGCAGTGCTACATTCTCACGCGAAAAGACTTATCGCACCTACAACCGCATGCAACACGTCGAAGGAACTCTTTATGCTGGGGACACTTACATCTTCGACGGCGATGAGATTGTTGCTGTCTTTGAAGGAGTCAAGGTGCGAAATTTTGATATGGCCATCGGCGCTGACTCGCTGACATTCTGCAGTTCCAAGGAGTTCCTCGGCAAGTCCTGGACGGCTTGTCCCCAAATAAGAGACCACAGACCCAACCTACAAGTTCGGCAGCGAAGTCAACTACGACACCAGCACCAAGGAAGCCCTCTCTGGCCAGGACCACGAGCCTACCAGCCATACCAGCTCCCTCGACTGTCTCCACTGTAATAACGACAGCGTTGGAGATCATTGCGGATGAGACGGGTTTGACGCCCTCTGAGCTTGGGCCTTCTACTGCATTCGCGGATGTTGGCGTGGACTCTTTGCTATCGTTGAATATTGTCGGTCGATTCCGAGAATCACTTGGGCTCGAAATTGAATCGTCGCTATTCTCTGAATGTCTGACGGTCGGCGAGCTCTCGATCCGTCTTTCAGGGACCAGCACGCCTGCTTCTACAGCTCTGTCGACACCACCTCAGGTTGAGTCTGAAAGTGACTCTGACTCTGGAGATTCCGACCTTACAATTCCTGACGGCGGGAATCTGATTGAAGTTCTACGACGTACTCTGGCCACAGAAGTGGGCGTGTCAGAAAAAGAAATTACCGACGATGTGGATCTTAGCGAACTAGGAGTCGACTCATTACTGTCACTGAGCATTTTGAGCATCCTGCGCGATACGACCGATGTTGAACTGCCTTCTTCGCTTTTTGCGGACAATAAATCACTCCGAGAAATTGCACAGGCGCTCGGCTTAGACGCAAAGCCTAGTCCCTCGAATGTCGCCGCCAGTAACGAGAAGGAAGACAAGAAACATCAACCTGCCTCATCGGTCGTGTTACAGGGAAATCCAAAGACTGCAAAGAAGCTGCTTTTCCTCTTCCCTGACGGATCGGGGTCGTCCTCATCGTACGCTCCAATTCCGTCTGTATCGAACGACATTGCCATCATAGGACTGAATTGCCCCTACCTGAAGAACGCAGAAGAGCTGGCAAAATGCAATCTTGCGGACCTGACACCCTCATATGTTCAAGAGCTCCGGAAGCGCCAACCTCACGGTCCGTACTATGTTGGAGGATGGTCAGCTGGCGGAATCTGTGCTCTCGACGCAGCACAGGCTTTGGTCAAAGATGGCGAGACCGTTGCGCGGCTGGTGCTCATCGACTCTCCCAACCCCATCGGTCTCGAAAAGCTGCCGCCACGTTTGTACGACTACTTCAATCGCATCCAATTGTTTGGCACAGCGAAACCGCCTTCGTGGCTCTTGCCGCACTTTCTCGCCTTCATCGAAGCCTTGGATCGATACAGACCGAAGCCGTTCATTCCTGGGACCGAACCGCAAACCCACATCGTCTGGGCGGAAGACGGAGTTCTCAAGAGCGCCAGTGAACGGTTAGAGATACAACAAAATGATCCTAGAGAGCTGAAGTGGCTACTAACCGACCGCACGAACTTTGGGGGCAATGGATGGGAAAGGTTGGTGGACGAAATCCGGATCACCAGGATCGCAGGCGCGAATCACTTCAGCATGATGGCGGGAGAGAAAGTCAAAGAAGTTGCGGACTTTCTGAAAAAAGCCATGGCATAGGTTGATAGATCATACTTCATCTAAGTTACAATAGAGGGTGTTTGGCGTTACTTAGTCTAAGAATAACCCTCGTTCTCTGTCACTGTTGCCCTGCTATGCCTTCTCGTTGACGCACGCTTTTGGTTCATGAGGTTCAAGCCATTCTCTCACCAGCAGACAACGGACTCGTGATGTCTTTCGCCAAAGCGTGCCTTGAGCCGGAATGTTCATACCAACACCGCTGTCGCCATCCATGTCGATCGTCGATCCTTCGACTTTTCAGCCTGGCTGAGCGGTCCATAAAACCCGGCTGTACCCTGCGTTCAACTTCAAAGCCAGCTGATGAGCCCCGATGACCCGCGGCTGCCGAAAAGTTCGTTGGAACGACAAGATGAGCGTTGTGTTTCTCGGTCCCGAGTATTCACTGGCTTCACCATCAAGGCTCTCTTCGCCGATCAGTGGCGAAACTACTCGCAGGAAGCTGTTGGTGCGTCCGCAGTGCAACAATCGTGTTCGCACGCAAGCTTCTCGCCGCAGGATACTCTAGCAAACAGTTTCCAGCATGGGCAGCGTAGGAGATGCAGGAGTCCCTCAGGATGAGTCTCGATCCAACGTGATGGAAGTCGACGTTTTGATCGTGGGCGCTGGGCCATCTGGAGCATCGTTGGCATGTTTTCTCGCATCTCACGGTATTGTCGGTGGGACATCATGAGCGTGGCAATGCAAGCTAATTCAGGGTAGGCATCAAGGGCCTGATGATCTCAAATTGGCCGTCGACTTCGCACATCCCAAAAGCGAACTACACCAACATGGCTGCTTTTGGTCGGTAAAGCTGTACTAAGGCAGAGAAACAGTACTCACTCTTATCATTAGAGTGTCTCCGAGCCATTGGACTGGAAGAAGATGCAAAGAAAGTAGCCTACCCGATCTCTCAGTTTTCGACATACCACAGAATCTGCAAAAGCCTTGCTGGCGAAGAGATATATCGAGCATATGCGTTTGGCAACGATCCGCATCGACATGTTGGCTACCAGGGTCTCTTAATGGCGGAAAGGGAACGCTGACCGATTGCAGGGTGACTACTCCGATGCTAGCCCTTGTGAGATCATGAGCCTCCCACAGCGAGAGCTGGAGCCAATTCTCATTCGTTATGCGACACAGAACGGATTCGTATGTCGGTTTGATACCGAGCTCGCTGCGTTTCAGCAGCATGAAGACCATGTGGAGAGCACAATCATCGACCTAGTCACTGGCAATCAGACCTTAGTCCGATCCAAGTACCTTTGCGGCGCCGATGGAGCTTCTAGTAAAGTTGTTCGAGAATTGGATTTGCCTATGAACGATCGGAAAGGGGGAGGATTATCGATAAATTTACTTGTAGAAGCAGACCTTGTAAGTAGGGCACGAACGATCCCCGAACACAGCTGACTATCAAGACTCATCTCGTCAAAGACTCTCCTGGTCTGCTGCATGTCATGACGAGACCCGATTTGCCTCAGCCGTACTACGGAATATTGGGCATGGCACGATTCATCAAGCCTTGGACGGAATGGGTCATCGTTCTGATCTGTCGCCCCGGGACTACGAAAATCACAGCCACAACCGAAGAAATTATGACCAGAGCAAGAGAGCTGCTCGGAGACGACAACGTCGACATTAAGTTGAAAAACATGTCTATCTGGAGGACAAACGAATGCTATGCAGAGCAGTACAGTAAAGGCCGTGTGCATTGTCTGGGCGATGCTGTACATCGACACCCACCACAGAATGGCCTTGGCTCAAATACTTGCATCCAAGATGCCTTCAACCTTAGCTGGAAGATGGCGTATGTCCTGAAAGGTCTCGCTAACCCATCGCTACTTAAAACTTACAACGATGAGCGGCAGCCGATTGGGAAGTACATCGTCGGTCGGGCGAATGACACTGGACGCCTGCACTTCGCACTTTTCAAAACGCTGGGCTTGACCGAAACCGATCCTTCGCGCAAGTCTGAAATCGCGGCTCAATTCGAGCAGGACTCTCCGGAGGCCCAAGTTAGACGCAATGCGTTTCGTCGGGCTGTCAAAGGCTTGGATGAAGAGCGACATGCTCTCGGTGCTGAGATGAACCAGGCGTACGAATCCCTTGCAGTCTACTTAGACGATGAGACCCCGGAGTCCAGAGCCACGTTGCCTGTCGATGAGCATTTATACTGCTTGAATCATATCTCAAGCTCCACCCCGGGTTTCCGAGTGCCGCATGCGTGGCTTCAGGAAGTCGGAAGAGCAAAGATGGTGTCAACGAAGGACTTGTGCGGCCATGGACGTTTCACGATACTCACTGGTATTGGTGGGAAGAATAAATGGCAGACAGCAGTCGCAAAAACAAAGGAGACCACTGGAGTTGGTATCAGCATTGCTACGATTGGCTGGGGCCAAGAGTATCAAGACACCTTTTTCCAGTGGTTCGAGAAGCGACAGATCGAGGAGGATGGTGCCATACTGGTCAGACCCGACCTTGTGGTCGCATGGCGCTGTAAGCAAGCTCCTACGGAGGAACGTGTGCGCCAGGACAAGCTTCTGCAGGTAATGAGACGTATCCTCGGATTTCAGGGGTAGATATAGCTGCAATGGCTGCTCTGTTACACTGAAAGCAATGACAGCTACGTTCGTTGATCGTTTCCATATCAAAATTTGGAAGTTCTCAAGATAATTTGCTTTACGGGATGGAGTGAAAAGGTTCATAACCACTCTGAATGGATATGTCCAAAACGTGTGGAAGGAATCCAACGTCTTTGGAGGAACAGAGAAAATTTTATTCCAAATTCTTCCCCTGCGGTTGCATGATTGTTGATACCAGCAAATCATGAGACCTCCCGTTTATGACCAAAATCATCCTCAATTCATTCTTGCTGACTGTCTACTCTACTCGTACGACCTCTTGCATTTACGAGTGGCCGTTAGTTGAAACCGAATCATCCCTCACGACCTCCAACACGGACATCATAGATCCAGACGGCTGATGTGTGCTTCGAAGTTGGAGTCTGCTGTCTGCAGCTTTGAGAAGCGCCTCCCATTCCTCCAGTTCACGTTCCTTGCTGTTATGAGTCTCAAGCATGGCCAGGTCACGAACTCGAAGAGCTGCTTCAACAGAGCGTGGACCGCTACCAGGAGCGGGCAGCACTGTATCCATGATAATGATTCTGCCCCCAGGTTTCAATGAACCCGCAATGTTGCGAAGGATTTCGATGCTTTCTGCATCAGGCCAATCGTGAATTATCATTCTGAGCAGGAAAGCGTCGACGTTCTGGCGAGGTTCGGGAGTGAAGAAATTATGACCCTCGTATGTAATTCGATCTTTGAGGTCGAAGGAGTCCATGTTTGGACGAGACTTTTCGATCGTCTCAGCGAGGTCCTGAACGATGAACTGCAGGTTAGGAAAGTGCCGAGCCAGAGCGATGGAAGCATGGCCGTTGGAGCCACCGAGCTGAAAAATTAGCTCAAGATCGAGACAGACATCATATGAACATAGTCTTACATCAATCACGGTAGCATTCCCCAGTGAGTCCCAATCGTATCCAGTGAGGAGATGCTCGATGCTCGTCCCCTTTGCAGATGTCACATTCTTCATATAGCTCGCGAACTGACGTGTACGTTCTTGATCCAGTTGGAGATGATCAAAAAATGGAAGGTCAGTATGCTGCCAGACATTGTACGCTGTCTCACACTTCGACTTTGTTTCGCCGTACTTCTGAGTGGCCTCAACGAGATTTGTAGCAACCATGGCGGAGGTTGAAGCCATGAAGACTGCCCAATCATTGAAAGACGGAACATTAACAAACGCAGCCGAGATGGAGCTATGTGCCAATTGCCCTGGCTCAGGCTCCTGCAGGAAGTTTCTTGTTATCGCCATGCGCGCAGCCGACTTCAGTTGCCTGACAGGAACTTTGGTAGCCGCAGCTACAGCTTCGTAAGACATGGATGTACTCAGAGGTACTTGCTCAGGTATCTTGAAATGGCATAGCCACCTCAAGCAAGCCAGTTGTTGATACTGTGCCCGTCCATCAGATCCTTAACAGAACGCTTGTTTTGCTAGACTAACCTCAACTTGGAACGAGTTCAAGAACTCTCGTGGATCGCTTGCGAGCTGTGTCAGGCGAAGAGCTGCTTCCTTGATTCTTTCTTTGGCCGCTTGCAGCGAAGCAGGAGCGTCATCTGGAATCAACGTCGCAGGGGTGACGCTCTTCAAGCTCTTATGCGGAATGTTCGATTGTTCGCAGTACAGCGAGATCGCAATGGCATTGCGGTGCAACTCAGCAGCCAGGCTTTCAATCTCTGCAGAGTGGCTCATTTTGGTGGTGGTTGTTAGAGGATCGGTGTGACGTGGGGAGGCGCGACTGCTATTGCGAGAAGTGTACGCCGCTCCACTACAATCGTGTCGTGTCGGGCTCCTTTGTGTATTCCACTTCTTCTGCAGAGAATTGAAGACCCGAGGATGATTCATCAGGCTGAGCCGATGTGGGATCGCTCTTGGCAATATTTGCTTACATGGTCGGCTTCGACCACCGACGGCGTCCGTTCTTTTGCGAACAGCCTTGTCCCAGCCGCGGCCGAAAGTTGACGCTCCCACAGCAAAGTAGGTTCCAAAACGCATTATCGGGACATTGAAGCAGGCAGGTTGAAATTCTTGGATTGTCGCGCACAGCACTTTTTTTCTCGTCTGGCTGCGAAGTTCTCGAAATTGAACAACCGCAAACTGCTTTCATTGCACCATGCCGTCGATCGACACTCAAACTAGAACCCAAGGGAACAACTTGGACAGTCAGTCGACCCATCAATCGACTGCTCCGTCTCATGGCCAAGAGAACGGGCACACCGCAAATGGGCACCGTTCGACTTCAAAGGACGACGCATCCGACGTAAAACGCTATCCAAGCACTGGCATCTCCGTGCTTATTGTTGGAGCTGGCATGGGTGGGATGCTCTGCGCACTTGAGTCATGGCGGAAAGGGCACGATGTGCAGGTCCTTGAGCGAAGTCCTTCACCAGTTTACACCGGTCCGATCTGCAACCACTGTAAAGGAACAGCTCACTAACAAACGTCGAAGGTGACAATATTACAATCCAACCAAGCGCGCTATCAATCTTGCGACATTGGCCAAGACTCTGCAAGCAAATCGAGTACGAACAGTATGACTGCTGGATGTCATACTATCGCCACACGGGCGAGCATATCTACGGTCCATCGCCACCGGTCTTCAATGACCCCGAGAATCTGGTTGGTCGGCGAGGACCGCATGTTGGATTCATGCAGAGCAGAATCAAGATGTACAAAGCATTGATTCAGCAGGCTGAACGATCTAAAATTGATATTCGTTGGGGTCAGCGTGTAGTGGACTTCTATGAGATTGACTGCATCCGCGTATCAGTAGGTGGCGTCGTATTGGAGAATGGAGAGAGAATGGAGGCCGACGTGGTGGTCGCGGCGGACGGGATCAAAACAAAATCGAACAAACTTATTCGCGGACATGATGTCCAGCCGAGAGAGAGTGGACTCGCAGTGTATCGGACGGCATATTCGAGCGAACTTGCGCTTCTAGATCCTGTTGTAAGAGAAAGATGGAATCCCGCTGGTCTCGAACATCCTATCTGGGAATTTTGGTTGGGGTGAGTAAGCTTTGCACATTGTTTGGGCTCACTGACCTCAAAGACCGGGAATCCATGTAGTGATTGCAGTCATGGACGACATTGTCTGTCTTGGTCTGACACACAAAGTACGCTGTTTCCGATGGCTCTTGCTCGTTGGACGTTCATTCAAAGACGCTGACCTTTACCGTTAGGATGATGGCTCAGCGACAGAGTCGTGGAATCCCAACGTCGATCCGGAAGAACTACTGAAGACGATGGAGCGAGAGGCGCCAGGGTGGCATCCCGCGGTATCTGCCATTCTGAGAACAGCCCCCAAAGGGTCGATTATCCACTGGAAGCTTATGTGGAGAGATTTGAGCGATACCTGGACAAGTTCGGGGGGCCGAGTAGTGCAGGTACGTCGTTGGCGATCAATCGGCTCCAATAATACATACTGGCCACAGTTTGCTGATTGTCGTGCTGATAGGTCGGCGACTCCGCACACTCATTCTTGCCGTCTTCAGGTACAGCACCGAAACCGCGATCGCGTCCTCCTTCTTGATATTCTTCTGACCTTCTTTGTTCGATCTTGATAGGAAATGGGGCCAGTCAGGCCATTGAAGACGCCATAACGCTAGCGACCTGCCTGCAGCTTGGTGGGAAGAGTTGCGTATCGAATGCAACCAAGGTGTACAACCTTTTAAGGTAAAAGGTCATTCCATCTGAAGGACCATGCTGATTTCATCTGTAGATATCCGCGCGTTTCTTGCGCGCAAAAGATGGCGTTTGTGAACTCACAGATCAAGCATGCTACTGATTGGGATGCAATTGCGGAGAACCCAAAGCAGATTCGCACACGATTCCCTCGTTGGATCTGGTCTCATGGTGAGTTCGACTGCAAAAGACATGATAAGTTTGCTTACAAGCGGTGAAGATCCAGAAGACTATGCATATGCTAAATTCGGCCAGGCTCTACACCACCTGCTCAGTGGAGGGAATACTGACTTTCAGAACACAAACTTTCCATCAGGTCATAAATTCCGACGTTGGACAATTGATGAAGTGAGAGAAGAGATGGCCGCGGGTGTCGATATCGAGCAAGCTCTTGATGGTGATTGGTCGTAGTCAATTATGAAGATTCTCAAATCATGAAGACTTCCAACTCGCAGCACCTTCTGCTCGTGCCATCCTTGAAGGACTGAGCTGTTTCTATTCTGGATACTGCCTGAGCTGTTGAGTTTCGTGTGCTGAATATGTGAAGACCCAATTACTAGTGACGTCTCACGAGACATTTCCATTGAAACGGATGCCGTTGCTTATCCTAGCAGACGAGCAAGACTCGACACAGCAGTTGGCAACAGCCCAAAGTGGTTTGTAGTACATGAAATGTAGCTGTGGACTGTACCCGTTGGCCCCTTGTACACTGCGCAGGGGCGCTTGAATTCGACTTATCCATTTCTCCAGCAAGTAAGCCAAACCGGCTGAAATACACGGCACCCAGGCTCCGTGCTGACAGCAAAAGCAGCGCATACTTCCCAGCAGCGGTGTCCCCACTTTGCTGTCACCCATGTGCCAGGGGTCAACAGCGAACTTCGCACACAGCGACGACAGCGTTCCCTTGGAACCGGCGAGAACATCAGCCCGTCAATCGAGCACGTTGTGTTCTACCAAGCTCTCCGTCAGCCTTGGCTGAACATTGGTGATGTTACATAGATCCACTCTTGGAACCAACATATGCGGCTGACAGAAATCCAACTCGCATCCTCCCATCCTGAGTTGTATCAGCAGCCTATCGCAGTCCTCAGATCTGAGCATGCAGATGCCAAATTCCGCACCAGCGACAAGTTTCGCAGTTGCTTGCCTGACGCTTGTCGGGTCTTCAAAATGCTTCTTGATCCCCGGAGGATTTGATGGCGTGTTTGCATGAAGGATCCGAACTCAATGCGGGAGGGTTTCAGCTGCACAGCAAATTCGGCGAGCTCAGCAACGCTTGCGAACGCCTCGGAACTTCATACTGAAACTTTGTGAGCAGCAAGAGTGTGGTGAGCATTGCGGGGAACATGAGGCTTCTCCAAGCTTCGTGAAGAGTCAAGGACGTGAAGGGTCAGGGGCGTACAAGGGGTCGGGTAATACAGCAAGTGGACTGAGGACAACCTTCTGAAGCTCAGAGATTGCGAACCGACATTGCTGGTAAGACTCGACCTACACGCTCCATGAAAAGATCAAGTCCCATCAAACATCTGTGCAATTCTCCCAGTGCTCTATCTATATATGTCGAACCGTGACATCTACATCAGCGCGCAAGTCAGAGCATCTAAATTGTTAAACCAAGCGTCCAGTTCAGGCGTAAGTCTCCCCGTACGCATTTACGTCTCGGGAGGTCTGCTCAAACTCGGTCTGAAGACACACAGCCAGCGAGCGATGAAGGTCTCCAGATTTACGAAACATCTGCAGTAGCTCTTCCATCTTCTTCAAATTTCGGACCAGCGACAGCCGTTGCATCTGACGTTGCTCTTCGGCATCAGGAATGTATGTCCCCATTGTCATTGGATTCGATGAGATTGACAACGATCGTTGGTGGCTTTGTGGGGAGCCTCCCGGGGTACGCTGCACAACGTATGATACCGTGCTGCCAACAGCTACGCGATGCCAGAAGACAATCCTCGTGACCAGAAAAGCGTGCAACAGTGCCATATGCGGTATTTTAGCACACCAGCAAGTCATGAGCTGCTCTAGCGTTGACAGAGCCTCTTTCGTCCCTCCCAAGATGTCTTCAAAGTTCAAAGTCAAGTTCTTAGGTTCCTGCCTTTGGGCTGGATTAGGCATCGAATGAGGCTGGAAACACAGGCTTGCCAAAGCGCAGTGGGCTATATCGTAGCAACCATGACCGGTCTGTGGTTTCAAGAAGGCCATGGACTGTGAAGACAGCGATGGATCGAGGGCCTCCGCGTCTTTGAGTTCGGGCAACGGCGATGATGACACCAGTTCGTCCAGCGACTCGTAACCGGAAGTGCTACTCAAGCTCGTGTGTTTGGACGAGCCTGCAATGCCCCATGGAGAAGCACCGGTAGTGTTGACCATCGTTATGTTCGAACCCATCGTACCTGATGAGCTGCCGGTTAGACCTAGGAGGTCGGTATTTTGGAACGTGGGAGTCATCCAGGGCGTCAGTATCATGTTATCGGAGTAGAGATGTTGCAAGTCCATATCGAAAGCTGACAGGCTTTGTTGAGGAAGAGGCGGGAGTTTTTGTTGCTGCGAGGCTTCTTGCGCGTGTTGGTGTTGTTTGCTGGTTCCTCTACCACGTTTCAGGGAGTATCCGTAAATGCATTCGACGTTGAAGCTCAGACATCGTTCGCATCGAGGTCTATCTTTTGAGCACCTCACTTTGGCAGCAGAGCATTCGTCACAACTAGATCGAATCCTAGGAGACCGTGTGCTGGTTTGTGGCGTGCGTCCTTTTGACGGTCCATGTTGGTCAGGTTGCTCAGAGGACATGGAAGCCATGGCTACGAATAACCGCCAATGTATAGAAGAATTTTGCCAATTGAACGAGTATGTTAACCTCCACACTAGTGATTGTGACGGCCTTGAAAAGTCGTTGATATATCAACACCATGTGCCTCCGAAGGTTCATTAAGCGTTGACACTTGTATGTCAAGCCTGAATTCCTTCGGCGGTGTTGAGTCACTAGGGGGGATAAAGAAGACAAAGGGCTGCGCACATCTTGCTATTTCGGCTGCTTGGTCAGATCCATGCAACTTCTGACTCTTGGCACATACTTGGGCTCAACGTGCTCGCTTTGGCGTTCATGGCACTAGTGGTGAATCCACCGCGGGTGTTTGTTGCAGCATGATTTCTTGAAGCCTAAAATCCAACGCGCATGAAGCTAAGTAAGTATGTCAGCCTAGGGCCTGGTGAACGTGGCTGCACGGGGATTTCTCATATTTCGCTCGCTCGGTCCCGCCGTCCGTTGGTATACCGAATGGATGCTCCACGGAGACTGCATATGGATCGCATGAGTTGCAACGGCCGGAGGGCTTGCCTTTTGTACTTGCTAACTTTAACGCAGTCAGCTTATATTTCGCGTTCTTGCCCGGATATAGGCAGTGACGCGATTGTTTTGCAGATCGGCTCGCTGGTCCTGAAGTTCTCAAATGGAAGCACTGAACAACTGGAACCATGCTCGTGTTGTCGTTGTTATTGCTTCAAAAATGGGAAGCAGGTGACGAATTCCGGAAGAGCCTTTACCAGAACAATACTGTATCTCACTTAGGCAGCATCCCTAAAAGCGACAACGTCGTACACTCGAAACTCTTAAGCGCATCTTGCGAGGGCAGCTTGGAGCCATGTTGATATTGACGATTTCAACCGGTCGAACCATCAGGCTCGCTAATGAATGTCAGCTACATGTATCTGTAATTTCTCGGTTAATCCGGTTTCTGATATCGGACTACCCTAAATCGGCAGGTACGGTGAACAATGTCAATCACACGTAACTTGACGCTTACGGACTGACCGGTCTGACAGTTTGACCGGTCGAAATCGTCAGGCGAAGAGGCATCGCCGCGTGGATATTTGCGAGTTCGCAGCAAGTGGTGCCGATGCCGAAGTAGGTACGCCAAAAGCTACCAAATGCTAAAACCTGAAGCGAGTATTAGCTCAACTTGGCGCTCCTTCCGCAGGGAAGAACAACACCCGAGACAGGTCCCCATGGTGAGACCAACGTCCCGAATTGCTATCAAAGTCAAAGTACGCCATCAAGATAACGGATGAAAGCGTCCTGCAGGGGGCTCGCATCACATTGATCTGCCCTTTGTGACGTTATAAGCATGCACAGAGTCTCATGCATTCGGGGAGCAGAGGCTGGCACTAATGTTAAGCGCTTTGTCTTTCGAAGGCACATCTACACCGAATTCTTGCCTTGACAGGCTAGAAGGTTGTCATTCCTTCCGGATCCGCTTCTCGGATGCATATGATGAGGTATATCATGGTCGACGGAGGATGTAGTGCTGATGAACACGACGACCTCGAACGCTCGTCAGTGCCGCCGTAATCCGTGATGCATGGCGATCACAGACGACCCAGCGTGATTGGTACTGCGTTCTCGCTCATCGCGTGTGGATGGTTGGGATACGAGAACGGCATGTGTCCAGTTCGATGCCGAAGATGTGGGAACTGCTTTGTCGATCGTGCTTAAATCATCCACGTGGTCATGAGGCAAAGGCAGAACACTGACCATGAGGCTCGGATACTTTCCATAGCATCATGTCTGCTCTTACACAGCGTCGTATGCATACGGGGAACAGCTTCGCTAGCAATAACGACTGTCTGGCCTTTGCAAGTTGTATTTCATGAAAATCAGGGTTAGTCTCTGTTCCCGGCATGTATATGACGCCCTGTATACAGAGCAGTTCCATCAGGACTTGGACCGCATCAGGCTGAGCTACAAGCATCAGACACGGAGGCGACTTTTCGACTACTCTATGCCGTCCAGATGTGGTACGGTGGGCATCGAAGCCACCTGGACACCAAAGCTCTCTGCAGTGGAATTGCCGGGGCGTGAAATTCAACAGCACGGCGAGGCTGTCGCTCGTTCGCAAGACCTCATCTGCCGTTACAGCGATCTGGAGTCCGGTTTGCTTGGCATTGACAGCGGTGCATGTTTGGGACCCCAAATGGATGGATCGCAGTAAACAGGAGCCCGCAGTGATGATTTTGAATCTGGCATCTGATGTTTGGTTGGCCACTGCTCCTTTGCATGTCGTCAACAGCCTCAATGCGCCCCTCCCGAACTGAATGCGAGCCGGCTTTCTTCCCGCAGGCAGGCCGACGCAGGTATACTGACCATGACCCCAAGGCGACTTGCTGAGAAGCTACAGTATACCATGCATCGCGACGAGCCCTCTCACATCTTTGAAAATTGCTCACAGCAATGATGACAAGACCTTCTCACATGCAGTTGCGGCTATCTGGTCAATGGTGGTCATTTTCTTCTCAGTCCTCGCATCGGTCATCGCACGCCCTCGGAAGTTTTTGAGCGCTTTGCAATTGGGCGGTGCCAGACTTACCGGCGCGAGTTCATCTGGGACTGGAAGAATACTCTCATGCGTTCCGCGGTCCGAGAAGGGAGCTCGTTCAATCCATCAACGACCAGTAAATCTTCGAACACCTGATAAGCCCTACAAGCTAAGCTTCGCTATCCTTGCGGGAGGCGTAAACGAAGCCGGACCCAGATGTATGACAAAGAATACTCCAGTTGGTAACGGCTGGATTTGGAGAGCTGCCGGCCCTGCATTCAGACACTGCACGCTCTCCCGCCTACAGGGGCGAGCTGCAACTCGCTCCCGAGTGACTTGTGACACGACCCAGCTTCACGAGGGGTGCAGTTCTGAAGCTTCAACCCCAAGTTCAAAAGAAGAAGAAGACGTGGACGCATGCCACACTGATTACCACAGCCATGGAGGTTGCAAGCACACTGCTCGAGGTTGCGCGAAAGACACCACTCTCGATCTTCGCCTTGGGAACAATCTTATCGCCGGTGTTTCTGATTGCGTGCTTGGCTGTTTATCGTCTCTTCTTCCACCCACTATCGAAGATCCCAGGCCCACTGTCGCAGAAGCTTTCTGGATTTCCTCGAATATGGCATTGCAGGCAGGGAGATCGTTTCCTTCGCGAGATGGAAACACATGACCGATATGGTGAGTGCGACATGCGGGCAGTCGTTGCGAGTGCTAAAGGTTGATAGGCAGTGTGATTCGAATCGCACCCAATGCGGTATGATCAGGCGCGTGCGTTAGCAGAAGGCAGTGTCACTGACCAGTCCAGCTCTGCTTCAACACTCTGTCAGCCCTGCAGACAATCTACACGAAAGACAGCAATGTCTTCAAAGGCGACGAGTTCTACGGTCTGCTGGATGGCGGTGCAGAAGGTGGACGCAGCATCATGATGGAGGCGGACAACACAGCCCACGCAGCAAGACGCAGGGTACTGGATAAGGCTCTTCCACCAAGAGACCAGGCATTCCGTGACTTGAACGCCCTGTCGAAGTCATTCGCCTACGCTGTATTTCAGGAAGGTAGCGCAGACGACAAAGGCTGGTCCAAACCCATCGACGTGGCACCAGTCTCTGCCTGGTTCAGCTTCGACTTGATCGGTACAATCGCCTTCGGCAGTCCGCTCGATATGCTCCACGAGAAGGAGTATCGCTGGGTGCCTAAATGCCTTCAGAGCGCCAGCATCTTCTTGTTCTGGGGCGGATATTCACCGTTCCTCAGCTTCTGGCAGTGGGTACTGGGGACGAGAATTCCTTCCATCTTGCGACTTCAGACTCTTCAGAATGCGCAGAGATACGCGGACTTTGCAGATTGGATGTTCCACAGGCGTGCGGAGAAATTGAATACGGGAGATGATCTGGAATCGAAGAGGGCTGACATCTTCCAGGGGCTGTTGCGCAGTAAATTGTACAACGATCTGGAGATGAGGGCGGACAGCTCCTTATTGATTGCCGCTGGGAGCGACGCAATCCGCCTGACCATTGCCGCAACGATTTTCTACTGGCTCAAGAATCCTGATACTTTCGAAAAGGCAGCTGAAGAGATTCGCGGAAGCGTGGCATCGCCAGACGAAGTGTCAGAGTCCGTGCTGGCCTCCCTGAAGTACCTACGAGCCTGTATCGACGAGACCATGCGGCTTTCTCCCGCAAAACCCAGTAGCTTGCCCCGAGAAGTCATGGAAGGCGGCATCGTCGTTGATGGCATCTACGTGCCAAAAGGAGCCACTGTTGGCGTTTCAGTCTACGCTTTGCATCACGACCCAGACATCTATCCCGAGCCGTACAGCTACGATCCGGAAAGATGGCTCAAGCAATCGCAGGACCGACGCATGCAAGCAACATTCTGCCCATTTCTGAAGGGACCCCGAGCTTGTCCAGGAAAGACCATGGCGTACTTTGCGATGCAGTTGGCGTTATTCCATCTTGTGTACGGAGCGCCGCAGGGTGGTGTCACAGCGGATGGGAGAACCAGTCGCCATCGACTTCGCCACCGTGAAGGCGAGTATCAGTTCAATGACTGGATTCTGGGTTATGCAGATGGTCCGGAGGTTCAGTTCAAAGCGAGGGAGTGAAGTCGGGTGTTGATGATTGATGAATGAAATGATGAGTAACGCTCAGGGGTAGAGAAGTTTTGTCTTCGACGATGCTTTAGCCACAAATCCCACGACCTCTGCGGGTGGAGCCACATTCGATGCAAGTGAATCCTCCCAAGCATTCTCCATGTCCAAACCTAGTTCTACCTGTTGCCTGCCGCCATCACTGTGCCGCCACCAGTGGCCAAGATGGAGCACATACTCTATCGAAGTGGTGGAAGAAGTCCACCCCAATCGCAGCCAAAGCCATACCGGAATCCGCCATGAGCAGCGTCGCCAAATTCCAGATCCCGTCCGAGGAACATGCCAGCGAAGCCCACACAGCAGCCATCTACGCCCTGCAGATCCGTGGGAAGTATATGGTGACCGGCTCAGCAGATACGACAATCCGCCGCTGGGACTTGGACACTGGCCGTCTCATCCCACCAATCATCAGAGGACCCGAAAAAAGCATCGTGTGCCTTCAGTTCGACCAGCGGCCAGAGCACGACGTTCTAATCGCTGGAGGCGTCGATGGCGTCTTGAGGATTTGCAACTTCTCTACGGGAGAGGAGATTGGGACTGTGGCTAGTGCTCATGAAGAGACTCTCTTGAGTTTGTCGTTTGATGATGGCTACATTGTTACTGGTGGCAGAAACCAGAAAGTCTGCGTGTGGAATCGTCGTGAGATTCGGGACGTATCTTCGCTACCGCAGTCGTTCCAACATGTCGCTGGCGAAGATGGTATCATCAAGCCCTTCTCAAAACTTGCCGAGTACGCCGTCAACAACGCCGCCATCAACGCCGTGCAACTCGCGGGCGACTCCATCATCGTCGGCTCTGGCGACCGAACAGTGCACATCCTAAGCCTCAACACCGGCGCGGTCGTGAAGAAACTCAACACCGCAGCTGGCGTCGCAGACATGCACCTTAACGGTCGTCTTCTTATCGCCGCCTGCTCCGACGGCTCGGTCACCGTTTGGGACATGACCGACGACACTGTGAAAACCCGCATCGAAGGGCCCCGAACCGTGGCCAGGGCTGTCGACGCCGTATCCGATGGCCAGGGCAATCTTGCGCGAGTGGCGATCGGAAAGTATGACGGCACGGTCCAGATATACAAAAAGGACTCCACCTCGGATGCTTGGCTTATCATGAACACGTTGGAATATGGCGTTCAGCCGGAGCGGATTTCTGATGATAATCCTTACGTTCACAGCTACGCGGAAGCGGAGAGGGTGTTTGATGTTGCGTTTCGAGGGGATCAGGTATATTGCTGTGGACAGGGGAATTTCGTTGTTGGATGGACCTTGCCTGGAGATACCTGACTGACAACGAGTTGATCGTCAGTTGTATCAGGTCTTAAAAACGGTGCTTGGACCCATCTGGATGTACTTCTATACCACCGGACAGGGTATTCTATCCCTTCCAACCATGTCCACCTCCATACTCACCACCACCGCCCTTTCCAAACAAATCCCCCAAAATCCTCCCAAAATCCGGCGTCCCAAACCCAGAAGCAACATCCCATTCCTCTTTCGCCGGAAATCCAGACCTGAACCACACACCAGAACAGTCAGCTCCCTTATTCTTCTTCATCTTCTTCAAAGATCTGCTATTTGAAAGCGCAGGCAAGAACTTACGTATTACACCCCCAAATATTCCCCCCTTTCACATCATTAAACGCCCGTCCGGCGTTCTTATACAGCCAAGGGTTCAGGAACCCGAGCGGTGGACGGCCCGCGGCGAGGAGGGCGTCGTTGACGTTCGTTAGGACTAGTATTCATTGGATCAGCACTTGTCTCCGAGAAAGGAAACAGGAGTTAAGTAGGGGATGTGTAGGGTACAGACTTACCACCAGCAACAGTTGGCGCCGCCGCACTCGTGCCCCCAAAGAAAAACGTCTGTCCCGCATAGACAATCTGATACCGATACCCCTGCGCGGAGAGGTCTGGATACGCCCTACCCGTGCGATTATACAACCCCTCATGCAAGCTTCCAATCTCGCCGAGATACTTCTCCACAACACCGTCTTGGTATGCTGGTCGAGGGAAGTAATTCGACAACCCCCCGCCGGAGACGAAGGAGTTGGATTCATCCCAGGTTACGACCTCCTCGGGGATGTTGCGGGTGCCGCCGACGGCTGTTACGTAGGGGCAGGAGGCGGGGAACATGGGGAGGAATTTGGTGGTGTTCTTCCCGTCGTTGGAGAGGCAGGTTCCATTTGTTCCGACGCCGTAGTCCCCAGTGGCGAAGAGGAGAGTTACGCCTCGGGCGCCGAGTTGTGCGAGTTCGGCGCAGACGCGGCGGGCGTAGTTGATCGGGACGGTTTGTTCGTCGTCGGCGTAGGATGTGCTGATTACGTATGGGAGGTCTTTCTGTGCGAGGACGTAGGAGAGCCAGGTTAGGTAGGGCTCGTTGCCGTTGGTGGGGTATTGCAGGTCGGGGGTGAAGACGGGGGAGAGGCCGCCGGTTGAGTAGGTTGTGAAGCGTGTAGGGTAGACGAAACCGCCGACTGTCTTGTGCAAGTATGAGTAGGAGGTGTGGTACCGGTGAGTGGGAACTTACTTGAACGTCTTGATTTGCTTCTAGGTCAAGACCCATTTCCAATGCTTCAGGAGGTTCCATGTTCTGATTATTGACCCCGTCCGCTACGATCTGGTAGCTGTACTGATAACTTGGATCTGCGTCTTTCCTCTGCTCTGACATGAAGATGTGAAAATCGCTGTAGTTCGCCGTTTGGTTGAGGTAGTTTGTCGTGGCGACGTAGTTCTTCCCAGGTACCTGAGGAACGTAGTCGACGGTCTTGTACAGCGTTCGCAGACAGAGATTCGTCACGGCAGTCTCGTTGCAGACGGCGCTGAGATTCTGCGAGCCGGAACCTCCATGGTGCCAAGGCTGGTGGTCGCCGCCAGACTTCCAATCTCCCATACCGAAAGGCGATGCTCCAAGTGCTTTCGTATTGCCAAAGTAATTCGTCGGTTGAACGACATCGACATGCTCATGCAGAGAGCGTGGTAAGCTGTACTTCGTGGTCCTAACAACTCTCACACCCTCGTCATTCGTGTATTCATGATAATTCGTATCGAGGAGATCCTCAACATCAGACACAGGAAGGGCGACGGTAAGCCAATCTCGCGCCGGGCTGTACTGAACTCGGTCAAGATAGATGCCGTTCTCCTGAAGCCATTCATGCACAGCGTCCAGAGCGTCCTCACTCGGCCTCGTAAGACCTTGAATATCACCATGGCTCAGATGCTGTCCATAGCGAGGATGATCCGGATCGCTGACTTCGTATAGATGTCGTTCTAATTCGTGAAAAGAGCCTTGCTTGAGGCCGAGTCGAAGGGCGATTGTATCGTCCTGCAGATATGCGTTAGTAGTTACGTCTGTAGTCGATGCTTCTTGGTTCTTACCGGGCGTGGTGTATCCAACCTCCGCCATCCCCTGGGAACAAAATGTTCGCTATGAACCGCATATTCCGCTTTCCGCTCGAGGGGAACAGCGAGCGCGGTCGCCAGACCGGTCAACGCCAATACATTGAGCACCCTCATGATGCCGTTGCTGACCATTAGTTCGCCAAGCAGACACTCGCACAAGCAAGAAAGGAAAAATTGAACTCTCAAAGTGAAGTTCAGCTCACCCCAACATATGTATGTATCACCAACAAACCACGAGCTGAACCGTACCTTGAATCCTTCGCGGCATTCGAGCATCATACACCATGCACGTGTTCCGGCAATCTTACATCCTTTGCGGGTTACAGTGTTGTTGGTTGTAACTTGTTCGGGCAAGGACGGCGTGCGGCTGGGATGCAGTGTGACGATCTGGTTCGTGATCATTGACGAGGAGCTGCCCCACGTTTCTTTGAGACACTTTCTCCACCATCCATCTCCGGTGTCTTATTTTCAGTTTGGGAGATACTGTTGTTGTAGTAGATCTAACCACAATCCCATCCCATCCTTCCCACCCCGCTCACTCCTCCCCATCCCCATCCTCATCCTCCTCCGGCTCAACCTCAAAACACCCCGTAAAATCCCACCGATCCCCCGGCGCCCTCTCCGAAACATATTTAACAAACTTCAACGTCCCCTTATCCCTCAACACCAGACTCATCGAGTTCCAACCCGCTGCATTGCTAAACAGAATCCCATCGTCCTCATCGTCGCCCGCAGCTTGGTAGACTGCGGGATCGGCTTTCTTTTGTTTCGCGGGGCGGCGTTGGCCGGCGCCGGTGTTGGATTGTGCGTTTGGGGGAATGACGACGCCGTCGTCGGAGGCGTTGTTGTCTTCGTCTTCGTCGGCGTCGTCGCCGGCCATGTAGAGTTCGTAGCCGCCGACGTTGTCTTCGTCCGAGTCGTTGGGTTTCTTTGCGGTGTTGCCGATTGTTTCGCCGTCTGCCTCGTCATCGACGCCCCAGCCGGTGGTGGGTGTGACGGAGAGGGTGAATTCGAGCTGTGGTTCATCGCCTTCGTAGCCCTGCGCGAGTTGGTAATCGAGGCCTCGACGGAATCTTCTGGCGAGGACGGAGCACTTCTTCAGCGTGAGGCCGGTGACGAGGGATAGCCATTTCTGAAAGGCAGTGCTTGGTAGCAGCTCGTCCAGGACTTGCTGAAAGGGCGATGCCGCGTCGCTAGCGCTTGCTCCAGAAGTGTTGGCGGCAGAGTGAAGATATTGATAGCGATGTTTGTGTGGCGGCCGCGAAGTCGAGAACGGCAGAGCAGATGCAGAGCCTTGTTCGAGTGACGCCTTTAGCGACACACAGAACTTCTCGCTCAGGACATTCGTCAGTTGCAGGACACATTCGTCGGTGAAGAGCTCGTTCAACTCCTCCACAGTGTCTGGCGTGAGATAGTTGGGAGTCATGAAGCGGATCAAGAACTGGCATTGCTCTTCAGTGAGCTCGTCGGCCGGTCCATCGTCTTCGGGTCGTCCTGTGGGAGAGATCCACCGATACTGAGGCTCATCGAACTGCGCGGCCTTGCCTTGCAATTGCTGAAGCGAGCTCCGTTCCGCCAGGCTCTCCTCCAGACCCGGCGCAAACCCTTCCTCGCCTTCCTGCGGGATATGAAACCACCCACTAATCGCCATCCGCACCCTCCCACCATCATCCTCCTCGCCCCCCTCCACCCGATGATAAACCTCCTCAACATCATGAAAGCTCTCCCCGGGCTGCACCGCAAAAAAACTCAACTGATTCCACGCAGGCGGTATCACCTTCGTCCACTCCGTCTTGGGCAGCTTAAACATCTTCCCCTCCTCCCCGGCCACCTCATCAGTAGGATACAACCGCAACGCCCCACCCCATTCCGCCTTCCACGGCTTCTCCGGATCCGTCAGATACAGGATATAACTGACCCGCCGACTCCCAATCACATCGTCATGGCACAGCAGATGACACCCGGGCACGTACACATTCACCGCCATGTCCGTCTTCGTGCCGCTTAAAAGTCCCGCCCCGGAGACCTGCGAGACCCACTGCCGGAACTCGTAGCTATACATCGAATCCCGCAGTTTCAGCAGCGAAGGCAGTTTCTCCAGCGCCGAGGCAGGCAGGCCATCCAGATTCGCCAGGTCGCCCGATTGATGGATCTTGTAGATGTCGGTTTCTTTCGGCGTGAAGTGGATGCTGTCCAGAATTTCACTTCTCACGGAGCGGAGAAGATCATCATTGATCAAGTCGGAGACGACGGCATGTTTGTAGGGTCCCGAAGAGGCGTATTCACTGGCGTAGCCTTGTACTGTGTCTTGCTCGAAGAGGCCATTGCGGAAGTTGGCGTGGATGCCATCCTGGGTGGCCAGGCGCTTCTTTGAGGAGTCATTGTGGGCCGCGGAGTCGTCTACTTTTCGCTTCATCTTAGTACAGACTTGAAGGGATGATAACGTGTGGTTGTCGATGTTCCAATGCCGGGCCAAAAATTTCGCGAAGTGCTGTGCCACCCGTGGACACGAGATCAGAGTTCCGCAGAGGATCCGGCGTTCGGCACTCGCACGGTCCGTCCCATCGGCTCATGAGCCGAATATATTTTATCAGAGACGGGAAACGCGCATGAGCATGGGCTCAGCAACAGATGACACGCAGCAGCAATGGTAATGCATTGCATCGTCGTTCCTCCCGCTACCTCTATGACCCTCAATCCCTCTCCATCTCAATCGCATGCCTCAATACTCTCATAATTCTTGGCACAAGCCCTATGCCATACGCAAAACACCGTAACATACCTCATACTCATACCCACATAACCCCCATAAACTCCACAACGTCCCCTGCGACAAGTGACATCTATCGTTCAAACATCGTACTCTTCTCCACATCCTTGCCCATGCCTGTACTGCCCGTACTCTTGACACTCGCCGCACTACTTCCCGCTTCGGCCTTGGTAGGACTCGAAACAACGTCTTTGTCCAGCAGATTACCTCCGGCTTCGCCTTGCCTCTCGGGAACGGCATCAGCTTCAGCCACATCCAGCAAATCCCTCCCGTGGTCCTCAAACTCGTCGTCCTCTTCATCTTCCGTACCTCTCGTAGTCGCGCCTCGATCGAGTTCCTTCTGTGCTTCATCCATGCGCCGTCGCACTTCAGCCGCGACACGCATGCCATCGGTGACAATGTTGTCGAGCATGCCACGAAGACCTTTTCCGGGCGCAACGACGCCCGCGCCGGGTCCACCTGGACTAATAGTTGGAAGGGGAGACGCCGAGTTCGCAGGCGCAGCATTGTGGAGGTTGAGGAAGGAAGGTGATGTGAGTGTTGACGAGGGGAGAGGAGCATCGGCGAGATGGAAGGAGTTGGCGAAGCCAGAGTCGAAGAACGATTCCAGTGATTCATCCGCGAGCACCAACATCCTGAAGGTCGGCAGAGTGATGTGCACTGGGCTGGAAGGGTCGAGTGCTGCGTTCGCTTCTGCGTTCTTCGATACTGTCTGTCCAAAGGAGTTCGTCGAAGGACGCGCCAGCACAGAGTCGTCCGCTGCAGATGTTGAGTTATCCGATAGTGGATGGTCTTCTGTGGTCTTCTTCTCCTCCCCAAGATCGAGCAGGTCATCTTCTTTCACATCCAAGTTCTTGATCCCATCTGCAGCACCATCCACATCCTGCCGGCTCGGATGATCTGGATCCGCATACTCAAAGCATCTCCTTATGAAAGCCGAGACAGCACTCAGGAATTGCTCGTCCTTGGACATGGGTAGACCATCTGGTCCCTTCACCTCCTCCACACCGGACGAAGGACCCAATCCACTAGATACACCTCGCCTGGACAAGAACAGCAGAGCTTCCGAGATGCGTAGAATGCCTTCTCGATCCACCTTGCCGTCATTGTCGTCGTCGTAGAGTTCAAAGAAGTACTCGATGCTGCTCATGATGTCGCGGTTACCCTTGATTGGTGCCAAGCCCGTCACCACATTCTGCAAAGTCAAGGCAGAATTGCCATCAGCATCCCATTTCCGGAATAGGCGTTGCATGAAGTCGTGATCTGCAGGTTCTGGTCCTGTGCCCCATGGTGAGAAACTGGCCGATCGGTTTCGCAGTGCGCTGGCGAAGTATCCATTCGATGATCTGTCCTCCTTGCTGGGTGATGAAGGAGAGTCGGTTACCGCCCACTTCGAGACACCCGCAAGGAACTCTCTGAAAGCGTCGTAATCCATCTGTGAGGAGCTCGGCCCAAGAGCAACACGACCCATCTCAGGTGCATTGCCAGACACACCAGTGACGACTTCGGTAGCTCTTAGTTTGGCCTGTTTCTGCTTTCGATCCGTCTCGGCCTGTATGATCTGCGATCGTTGCTGTCTCTCATAAAGAACAGTATAGAAGCGGTCATAGAGGAAGCCAAGGTCGTTCGTCGAAAGCTTCTTACTCTCTGGTCCGAGGTTTCTGATCGAGGTTCGCTTGGCGAAGGACTCAATGTTCTCTAATACGGCCGCTTTGTGTTTCGACCGCTGCTCGGAGATGGTGTGTTGTGTGATGCCCTCAAACTCCTTGAATGCGACCACCATGAGGGCCTGGAAGTTGGTAATAGCTCGATGTTTGGGGTTCTCGGATTTTGGATGTGCAGACTCGCCCAGTCGAGCAAAGTATGACTTTAGCACTGAAATGAAAGTACCGTCGTCTGTGGCATCCAGCAGTTCTTCCCCATTGATTCGTAGAATGGCGAGGCCGACTTGGAAGAGCACCTTTGGCCCCTCGAGGAAGAAGACGTCCAGCACACGAAAGGCGAAGATCAGCGGCATGCTGTTGATGTAGAGTGACAAGAACCATGGCAAAGATACGACCGAAAGCTGCACATCATTCTTAACGAGATGGTCCCAAATGATCGGCATCGTCTTCTCGACCAGACTCTCGAAAACCCTCTGATCAAGTAACGTGCCGTACATGGTGGTGGAGTAGTATCCTGGTAGTAATCGGTCGCATAGAATGGAGAGGACATAGAAAGCTTGCGATTCGGAAAGATAGCTGGAAAGTAGACTTAGCTTTGGATAACGACATTTCGGGTGGACTTACGTACATCAGCAATGCGGCCACGACGATGTTCATGGCCTGGCAGTATCCGACTTCTGGGTTGATCCAGCTGTAGGCCGTGAGAACCCGTCGTAATCTGCCGATGCCCTCTTCGCTCTGGAAACCAGCATATTCCGGCAGACTTCGGTTGAGATCTTTCTCAATCTCGTCGATGGCCAACGAGCCCTCTCCCTCGTGTTTGACGAGTGTTTCCTGGTATAGCTTTGGCTTTTGTAGCCGCAGATAGAACGATCCACACGTAAGCTCCCAGATCTCACCTCTCAGCAGATTCGGCAGTCCAACTCGTATCAGTCGGTGGAAGTCTGGCTGCCGTACCAGGGTCGTGTTTCTGCCGTTCTCCCGCAAATATTCATGCCACAACCTCATCTTGCTCCGATCTCGCAGCTTTTTCGAATTGCCCGGATACTTGAACACACTCCCCAGTCCAGTATCAGGCGGATTCCGTGGCGTGCCGTCAGGCTTCTCCGACGTAGGGGTCACATCGAAGTCGTCGTAGAGAAAGTACTCCGAATAACACTCCTGTGCCACCGTCCGCATGTTGTCAACTTCTTTGATGCCCTGCCTCAACCCTCTCTTCAGCCCATCACAGAACCGCTCACACTGCTGCCTGCTCCCCTCGAGCTGAACCGTGAGCTTCGGTGGTGAAGGAGCACCAGCTTTCCCCTCGCCGCCCGCATCGAAGCCATTCCAGGTCGTCACCGACAATGCAAACATGTAACTCTGAGTGTGCAGTCTCTCCACCCTTCGTACTGCACAGAGCGGCAGAGTGAAGCCATTGCCCGCCGGTCCGGTCCCGTGTGTTCTTCCCGTGAAAGCACTGCTGGCGCTCGTGCTCGCCGTATTCGCAAATGAAGTATTCACCGTGGAAAAGCACAGAAACTGCTCGCTCAAATGTAATTGTCCCACATAATGCGTGCCCCGGTCTCGATCCCAATTGCTCTTATCCCAGCTCTTGGACGCACCACCTCCGCGATGGCTCTTCCCGGGGAGTGTGAGTTCGGCGGTGATCTCGTAGAGGGGATTTTGGCTGTCTGGGAGGCGGAATTGGTGGCGGAAGAGCTGCGCTTTGGAGGGGCGGTCGGAGGAAGTGAGGGAGCCCAAGGGCCCAGGCAGGACGGCGGGATCAATGAGTTGTTGCGCCTTCTGCACGAGGTTCTGGAGGAACATGTCGGCGGAGCGGCCTCATGCCGCGGGGAGGGAGTATGGGAGGGGTTATTCGTCTATTTCATCGTCTCGTGCACGTCGTCAAGGATGTCAATGGGGGGGTATTGGGGATTGTTTGGGGTGAGATGACGATCCAGGCCGGCGCACGTGAAGTGGGTGATGTGGGCGAGGCCAGCCAGCTGCCAGTCATCCGCCAAGCCCGAATGGATGCGCGGAAGATCACGAACGGGTCGCCCAAGACATTTTGTCGTCATGGCAATATCAATATTAAATCATCCAGTATACATAGGTACCGTTACATCTTCTTCACCACAACAATAATGAAATATCACAAGTTGGGAGATCTGTCTTGTTCACCATCACTAACTACTCCACGCTAACGGTACAGCACCAGGGTATCAAGCACAAGCAAGAATAGTCCAGCCATCCTCACAGCAATGTCATCCCATTACTTCCCCACCATCAAGGCCGCCGTGGAACCAGGCACAATGCCATGCTCCATCGTCGTGCCCATCGCCGCCGAGCCGCAGTACGATCCTTCTCAGACCTTACCCCGACCCGTGTGCAATGTCCGGTTGTTCCTGCTCCTCCAGAAGATGATGGTCGAGTAGATGGCCGAGGCGAGCCACAGCAGCATGTTGACGAGGTCTACCCAGACCGCGTTCTTCATTCGCTGCTGGCCGTGCTGCTCCGGGGTGGGCTTGGCGCCGATGTAGATGTTACCGAAGAGGCCGAAGAGAGCGGTCCAGAGGATGCTGTGAGAAAATGTTAGCCATGTTCAAGACAAGTGGGAGGGGAGAAGGGGGACAACGTACAAGAGAACCCAATCCCACGCGAAGAACTTCTCGCCAGGGATGAAGAAGCATGCGCCATAGATCAGGCAGGTCACAGCAGACATGCCGGCCACGACTTCGGCAAACACCCACTTGCCGTCGGTGTATGCGCCGGCCTTGTGTGCGTTGGCGAGGTCGACGCCGTAGAGCCCGGCGACGGTGATGGCCAGGATGAACTGCAGGAAGCGCAGCACTATGCGCGCCAGACCGCCTGCGACGCCGCCGTGGCCGCTGCGGGTGCGGACCATGTCGAAGACGCCCATGATGTTTGCTGGTTGTATGCGGTGTTTGCTTGGAGTATGCCGGATATCTCAAGCTCTTGAAAGGGATGCGAGGTGCGCCGTGGTGTTGCAGCAGGAAGTGCAAGATTGGTTGGGATCTGGATCTGGATCTGAGACTCGGGGTCGCGGCTGCTTGGACGAGGATGTGGGCGGTCTTATTAGGCGCGATTATCGAATTAGAACAAAGCCACTCTCGCAGGTCGGGTTCTTTATAAAGGCTGCTGGTGGGAATAGGGTCGGTTCGAGTGTGCCAGACACCGCCAACAATGCTGCAAACAAAGAAGAAGGACGAAGAGCAATGGGCAGCCGCGAACAATGTCAACAATGCGGGCTTTGTGGAATGAATGAAGCAGCGTACCGTGATCCTGTATCCTTTGTACCGCTCGGCACAATGACCTTTTCCTCGTACAAGGCTGTTCAACAACGACAGCCGCGCGCGAATGCTTCTCCCCCGGCGGATGATTTCTGAAGACGGGCGTGTCTCCTAACCGCGCGCAGATAGAGTTCACTGGTGCAGCGGACCCTGCTTTCGTTTCCGGGAAGCCACTGACGTTTGATGTCGCGGGTTGAGCAGGGGTCGTGATTGGCTGCGAGTGCTTCACTTGGGGAACTTCACATGTCAGCCGGCGCTTCGTCTCTGTCTCAGCAACATCACCATGTTTGAGAATGCATGTCTTGGCGCTGAGCGGGTGGTACGATGAGAGCATGTCCTTGGACGTTTGGCATGGTGGTTCTTGAACGGCATCGGGGAGCGGAGAATTTACGCAATCTACAACACTCTCCACGCTTGCCACTACTTGAGAGGCTCCAGGGTCACGACCTCCATCTCGAAGCCACGCAGTACGCCTTTCTCCAGACTCCAACCCGGATTCTTCTCCTTGTACTCCTCAGACTCGGCAAATGTCTTCCAATCCTGCTCGCTCTTCCATCCCACCAACACGACCAGAGGATGCCCCTTTTCGCCTTCAAATTCGACCTCCTCATGCGCTACACCAAGAGCTACGTCGACGAACCCAGTCTGCTGTGCTAGAACCTCTCGAAAGGCAAAAGCTTTCTCCATGAAGTCGGCGGGAGGCGTGCCTGCAAAGTAGAACGTGAGAACCTCGGTGACTGGAGCGGTTTGTGTCTGGAATGTGTTGTCAGCTCGGTTTGGTATCCCATCATGTGAGAAAGCTTCACATACATTGTGCAGTGCTTCCAGTGAAGGCTTGAAGTCGACATGCCACAGCGTGAAAGGACCAGCCACTTTCGACTTGAAATCCTCGACGAATGGCGGGAATATATCCGAAGCGTTGAACGCCTCGTGTGCCTCTACCGAATCCCAGTCTAACAAAGCTTCAGTGACTGGATCCTACACCTTTGTCGATGGAATACGTACCGAGAAATGCCCGCATCTGATTTGGCCTGCCATGTACGAAGCCCGAGAATACTCTGCCCACAGTTGGGAGTGGTTCGACGACTCGCAGGAGCTGCTGAGGGTTGGTATCGGGCTTGAAGGGCGCAGATAGGACTTCGGTGGCGGGCATGGCGTATCAAAGTCTTTCTAATGTTTGATGATTAGGTAAGATGGTATGGAAGAGCTGATACATCTTGGTGGTTGGACACTCAGGCATATATACCATGTGAGGACATTCTGGGATTACAGTCATCTTTGCCGGATTCGCATCAACATGAGGCCTAGCCACGCGTTCGCATCGAGACTTGAGCAGCTGATGATGAATATCACCCTCAAAGTCCCGAAGGCTGATGAACACCACGCCTACTTCCGGCTTTCTCGGCTTTCTTTCAAAGGCTGTCGGCTTGGGCGGATCGGCTTTCTTGAACGGCGTTTTAATAATCTCGTGCTCACGGCTCAAACATATCTTGTCAAGAGCTGACTCTGGGCTGTCCGACTTGTGGTCTCTTACGGCACCACTGAAGTCTCGGCACACTTTACGTTTGTAAATACTTTGCCACGAGACTCTCCAACGCTGGTTTCTCCCACTCATTCGACCGCCAGATTAAACGGAAAATTTGAACGGCAGTAATGCCAACACATCTACTCTTCAGAAAGCTATGAGGGGTACAAAACACGACAGTCGACCGACATGACTTGGGTGTCACCTCACAGAGGTGATTGGGGATAGAAACATCGTTTTGCTCCGGCGGCCAAGAATTAAGCGATGCGCTGATAAAGCCTCGCCAAACAGCATAGACCACTAGTCACTGCACACATACATCAAGCCAGTCCATGATGTTCTTTACGACATGCCACCTCTTTGCGCGAAACAAACGCTCAAAGATCATCCAAAGCCAACTCACAGACTCAGGCTTTCTAGGTTATGATCTCCCGCCGTCTCTACGCCACGCAAGCAAAGATGGCAGCTGCGAAAGCATCGACTTTCTCTCTGACCAAGACCTGGCATAAGGATACGTATGCGGCTATTGATCCTCGTGTCCGTCCCGAGTTGAAGCTTTCTGGAAAGACGGTGGTCATCTCAGGTGGTGGCTCAGGCATCGGCAAAGGCATGACACGAGCCTTCGCCGAAGCTGGAGCGTCCAAAATTGCAATTCTGGGTCGGCGAGATGCTGTGCTACAGCAGACGAAATCAGAGATTGAAGACGCAGTGCGAGGAGCAACGACCATCCAGACGAACGCCGTCGACATCCAAGATCTACCCGCCGTCAAGCGAGTCGCTGATGGAATCGGTCCCTGGGACGTCCTGCTAGCAAATGCGGGCTACCTCTCCGAACCAATGCCTCTCGTCGACGCAGATCCGGAGGAGTGGTGGAAGTCCTTCGAAGTCAACGTCAAAGGCGTGTTCAACCTCGCGCACTCCTTTCTCCCCAGCCGTCGGGAAGGCTCAACTCTCATCGTTGTGAGTGCGGGATCCATCCAAATCGACGCCATGGCGAAGAACTACTCGGTGTATAATTCTAGCAAGTTTGCGGAAGTCAAGTTATTGGAGATTTTGGGGAAGGAAGAGGAGGATTTGCATGTTGTGACGATGCATCCTGGTGTTGGTAAGTGCCCCCCACCAATTGCCCTTTCATCAAGTCTTGAAACTGATCGTCCCAGTATAATAAGCACCGAAATGGCCACAAAATCTAGCCGTGGCAAAACCGGCGGTCCCCCCATATCTTTCGGCACCGTCGACCTCCCTTCGCATTTCGCCGTCTGGCTCTGTAGTCCCGAAGCCAGGTTCCTCAGGGGGAGATTCGTCTGGTGCAATTGGGATGTGGAGGAGTTGCTTGCGAAGAAGACGCAGATTGAGGGTTCGTTGTTGTTGACGGCGAATTGTATTGGGTGGCCTTATTCTGCTTGAGAGTGAGATGCTTGTGTTTGGCTTTGGCGAAGATGGCGAGGCTGTGGAAGTACGTTCTACAAAGTGGATCGCTTGACGATGGATAGACAGGCCTCCATACGGTCCTGGTGTTTCGATCCTGACGATGCAGCGCGGCGCCCAGCGAGCAGACTTTCCAACGTGATAGAATATAGATCGAATTCTGGAGAAAAAAAAAAACCAAGAGCAGGGCAATTGAGCAAAATCTTTCACCTCATGCATTACTCTTGCTGAGCCTACGAAGATGTTCCTCGTGTTCAGCCAAGCAGCTTTCCGGGGTAGAGAAATCACATCCTTGAGCCTCGCGAACCTCGACCCCAGTTCTCAATAGTTCGTACACGAACAGCCCTTTGCAGGACAAATAACAGCTGAGTTTAAGTCAGCAAGCCTTTCGGTTCATCACGTCCAGCCTCGAGGTAACCCACATGGATATTTGACACAGCCTGACCATCCCGTCTCACGGCAATTTTGACCACTTGATCCACAATGGTGGCTTCGCAAGGGCCGGTGTACTCGGGGTATTCGCCATATTGGGAGCAGTCGCTTTGACGTTCGAAGATTGCTGTGGATGAGGTGAGAGCCGCGAGGGCGAGGATGGTGCTGAGTATGAGACGCATGGTGGCAGAGTAATAGGATGTCCGTTTTTGAGATGGCTTGTGGGAGAAGGTGAATGGCTAGATCTTAGTTGGGGCTGGCAGCTCTACTTGTATGCCATTAGGAAGATGCTGATCGGAGACTTGGCTTCTGTGTAGCCTTTTCGTTACCAAGATATTTGTTCCCCTAATGACCTATGCCACAAGCCTCACAGGTTGCACCAAGTCCGGTGAGCAATGCTTTCGTGGCGCTGCCAACATCGACTAGAGTGACCGCTCTCGAGAATGACGTTACACGGTGCTACCAAGCTCATCGAATGGGTTTAGGTTCTGGCGCTCAGTGCCTGGCGCCAAGGACTTCGTCTTGACGACAAAGGTGGCTGTTGGCTTGACCAAAGTCACAGCCTTGGCAGTTGCCCAGACTTGTCGTTCTTTCGATGCACGGCACAGGTTAAGAAACTTTCAGGGCGCCTCGGCCAAATTGATACTCTCGTCTCTGAGAGGCATGGTGGTTTTCTTCAAGTTACCTGCTGTTCTTAACCAAGAGAGCTTCTTGTTTGAATTGAGGAAAGACGACCGTGAAGTAGATGATGATAGAGGATGGGATCTTATGACATATACCGAGCGCTTAACAGCTTCGATTGGATTTCCCACTGTGTCAAGGACTTGAACAGCCTACTTCTGTACTCATTTCCCAAAAAGCTTCTGTGGGTTCTTCACCGTCAACAGTTGCCATTCTTCGTCGGTAAGCCACCTCCTCAAGCTCGTCAGCCAAGCTCTGTCGTCTATTTGGAGAAAAGGTACTTCCTGCAGCGCCTCTTCCTTTGACCTGAGTGACATTCTTGGGGTGTGTGGCCTGAGGAATGTCAGATCACGAAAGATACATCGTTGCATTAGATGCGTGCAACTTACCAGTCGCTACCCCAGACCACTCTGTGAGGATTTGCGTTGACAAGGGCTTGCACGATCTCTTCCATGTCCTCGTAGTATGGTGCGGCATCCGAGCAACGATACGGTGCGCTGAGTTTAATCCAGAAATTCTGCCCCTTTAACAACTTCACAATCGCTTTGATCCCGGGCTGCGTAGCAACTTCTTCGTCGTTGGAGAGTTTACTCTTCGCTTTCAACAAAGCGTGGTGGTCCACTACCACATTCACTGGTAATGTAGGTATCAACGAGGCTAGACTTTCCCAGTTAGATGCGTTCAACTGCAGAAACCCGAGACTCCACTTCCAAGGCGCAATGCGTGCACTATAGAACTTCAACATCTCAATCTGCTTCTCAAGATCCATCATTGCTCCTTGAGAGTACAGGTCGAGCCTGATTCCCCTGACCCCTGCGTTATGGAGTTCAGTGATCTCGGCATCGGTGGTTGTCCGTGAGAGGACAGCCACGCCAGTGGTACGATCCTGACCCAGGTCGGCGAGAAACACTTTCAATGGGGTGCAGTTGTCCTTATAAGAGAGGCCATTGACGAGAACAGAGCGAGATAATCCAAGGCTTTGTCTGAACGCCTCGTATTGGTCTACTGAGGCACGAAGGGGCGTCATATGGCGATCCGCTGAGTATGGATGTGTCTCGGCTATGTGCTATGTAAGTTTGGAAAATCGCTTTTTCCAGATTAAGGATTAGGGAGGTTCTCACGTTCGAAGATGTGGTGATGGGTGTCGTATGCACCTTCTGGTAGTAAGTCTCCCGCCATTTTGTCCGTCAGCTTGCATATGGAAATGGTCGATTTTGCAAAGATGAAGACTCAAGATACTAAAAGAAGGAAAGATTAGAAAGTGATTGTCGCTCCCTCAATCGGATGGGACATGGCTTTAGGAAGCCGAAGACGGAGCCTATTGGCAGTTCACATGTCGTTGACTGCATCGGATCCGATGGGGGCTTCCTATGGGAAGGAGAGCTCCGTCCGGCTTGCGGAGGACGCCGTCCATTGTGATCCGCCTTTGCGTGCTGCGCTTTTTTCCACGAGAATGCCAATCAAAGCTTCACGGAACCAAATCCCACAACATTGGCTTCTAGCAGAATCTGCTTCTACTCTGTTTCTCGCATGAAAAGCTTGCAAACCCTATTGCAAACATGGCGAGCGTTCGGAGCTCTGTATTACTGGATGTGGATCGACTAAGCTGCAGGCGATTTGCGAGGAGCCTCTCCTACCACAGGCGGAATCATGCAAGTCATGCGGGAACGACTAATAAGTCTCAACACCGAGCGTGGACACATCCTGACGGCGTGCCTTTGAGCAACCTGGAGCCTGATCGGTTCCTACCCTATCCTCGCCTGCAAGAAGGACTCCGCGAAGTCCGCAGACGCATCACCAAACCACTATCACTGTCTCAGAAGATACTTTACAGCCACCTCTGGGAACCCGAGACGCAAGATGTCACGCCACTCAAATCTTTCCTCAAGCTCCGTCCAGACAGGGCTGCGTGCCACGATGCGACAGCGACAATGGCGTTGTTGCAGTTCATATCAGCAGGACTATCCAAGACGGCGATTCCAACCAGCATTCATAGCGACCACTTGATCGTTGCAGAGCACGGCGATGAGATTGATTTGGAGAATGCAAGACAGCAGCACCGTGAAGTATACGAGTTCCTAGGCTCGGCTTCCAAGCGGTATGGAATCGGCTATTGGAAGGCAGGATCTAGAATCATTCATACGATCATAGTTGAGAACTATGCTTTGTGAATATTCACTCTATCGCTATCCTTCATCCAGTGTGCTGATGTTGTGCAGCCCAGGTGGCCTTATAATCGGCACGGACTCTCACACACCCAATGCTGGAGGCCTTGGTATGCTGGGCGTTGGTGTTGGTGGCTCAGATGCCGTGGACGCCATGGCCGGCATGCCTTGGGAACTGCAGTGTCCAAAGATTGCAGGCGTCAGGCTCACAGGAAGACTAAGGGGCTGGGCTAGTTCCAAAGGTAGGGATTATTGCAATTTTCAGGATTGCTTGATTTTGACTAATAACAACAGACATAATTCTGAAACTCGCCGGCATCCTCACCGTATCAGGTGGCAAAAGCAAAGTCATCGAGATCTTTGGCCCAGGCGTGGAAACACTAAAGGCAACAGCCATGGCTACTGTGTGCAACATGTCTGCCGAAGTTGGCTCGACGTCTTGCATATTCCCATTCACAGATGCTATGACGAGTTATCTAGCAGCCACAGATCGAACATACATTGCTGATGCGGCTCGCCAAAACATGAACCTGGTTGTGCCAGACGAAGGCAGTGATCACCACTACGACGAAGTCTATGAGATCGACCTCGACAAACTCGAGCCTCACATCAACGGTCCCTTCACGCCTGATCTTTCGCATCCTCTCTCTCAATTTGCTGGTAACGTCAACGCAAGCTCATGGCCGCTGCAGCTTTCTCAAGCAATGGTAGGAAGCTGTACGAACTCCTCGTATGAGGATTTGAAGAAGGTTGCCAATATGGTCAAGAAGGCATCTTCGGCAGGGTTGCAGCCCAAGGTTCCAATGCTGGTCACGGCTGGTAGCGAGAAGATTCAAGCCACCGTGAGGAAGGAAGGTATACTAAACGAAATAGAGAACGCCGGTGCGACTGTCTTGAGTACCTCATGTGGGCCTTGTGTTGGACAGTGGAACAGAGAAGGAGCTGAACTTGTGAGTACTTCACCCCATACGACGAATCCCTTGCTAATGTACTCGTAGCGGGAACCGAATTCTGTTATCAGCTCTTACAATCGTAACTTTGTAGGTCGGCACGACGGGAACCCAGCCACACACTCGTTCGTCTCCTCACCAGAGATCGTTACTGCATTTGCATACGCTGGAACTTTGGACTTTAACCCTGTTCGTGACTCCATCATTACACCTTCAGGTGCGCCCTTCAAGTTCTCGTCGCCTACAGCCGACGAGCTGCCCGTCTCTTTCTCAGGGGGCGAGACGTTCTATCAAGCGCCAGGGGCCGATGGCTCATCTGTTGACATGGCAATTTCGCCCGAAAGCGACAGGCTTCAACTTCTGACTCCATTTGAACCTTGGAAAGTTGGATACTCGGAAGACATGGCGATCCTAATCAAGGTGAAAGGCGAGTATCTCCCCAAGCAGATGATTGCCGTTTCACAGCTGATTGATCTTAGGCAAATGCACGACAGATCACATCTCACCAGCTGGCCCTTGGTACAACTATCGCGGCCACCTGGAGAACATCTCGAATAACTTGCTTAACGCTGCTGACAACGGCTTCATCAAAGCCGCAGCACAAACTCGAGGACATGCCATAAATCAAATTACCGGAGCGACCGAAACAGTGCCGGAGGTTGCAAAGTCGTATAAGGAAGCCGGCGTGAAGTGGTGCATTATCGGAGACACCAACTACGGCGAAGGCTCCAGCCGTGAGCACGCAGCTCTGGAGCCTCGCTTTCTCGGGGGCGTGGCGGTGATTGCAAGGAGCTTCGCCCGAATCCATGAATCGAATCTGAAAAAGCAGGGAATACTCGCACTGACTTTTGCGCATCCTCTCGATTATGACAGGCTCCAGCCTGACGATAAAGTCAGCGTGCTAGGGGTGGAAAGCATAGAGCCAGGGAAGCAGCTGTCGATGCTGGTGCGAAGCCGCGATGGGACAACGTGGCACGCAATGTTGGATCACTCGTATCAGGCTGGGCAAATACCATGGATCATGCATGGCTCGGCGTTGAATTACATGAGAAGCATAGGATCTCAGTCATAAAGCTGGAAGATGTTCTTGCAAGCAGTCTCCTATCGCATCCACGTTCTCTTTTCTCTTTGTACTTGGCACTGCATATATTGTAGTCTGGTTTTGCAAGGCAGTATCTCACGATTGAATGTTCCTAATTGTCTTCCTGCTTAATCTTCTTAATCTGTACTTTTATAGCGCGGCCTTGCTCGGTTCGGCTTGTATAGCTTTTACTCAGCTCTGTCATTCGACGTTCGATGCAACTACAAAGTGAATAGAGTTGGTCTTTCCTCACGTCCCTCATGCTCGACCAGCACCTTCGCGTTCGCTCGGCGAAGGGACCATTTCATGACCATGCAAGTCATAACGCTCAGTACCGCGAATGCCATCATCAGAATCATAGCAAGTACGTATCTTGGAGCGTCCTGAGCGCGGAAGAAATATGGACTCCAGATGTTGCCCAGCTGGGCCAAAGGTTTATGAGGGCAATTGCGGCTGCTTTCTTCTCCGGGCTTTGATTGAGGGTGGAGGAGGCCCAGCTAAAGACAGTGGCATTGGTGGAGAAGGTACCACCGATGAAGAGAAACGACGCGAAATACCGCACCGCGATGTTGAGTGTGGCGACCGATATGATGAAGCCAACCACCGCGACTAACATCGGTATGGATATGTGCCAGCCTCTTTCTTGGAATTTGTCGCTTGACAAAGCCACCCCATATGCTACGAAGGTAGCCAAGATATATGGTGGTGCCGTGAGTACGAGAGTGAGGGTCGTTGAGCCGAGATTGAAACCCTTCACGATGGTGGGATAGAAATAGTTGAAGCCGTATGCGGAGTGATTGGCAGTCAACATCAGGACCTATGTGCCGTGGTTAGAATCTCTAAATTTTTGTTCCATTGATTTCGAAGCAAAGGGTACTCACAAAGATCCACATTCTGTAGTCAATAACCGCAAGCTTCAGACCGTACCACAACGAGTGGGACTCTTCGGGCGCAGACACTCGGTCTCGCTGGAGACGCAGTACAGCTACGCGTTTCTCCTCCTCTGTGAAGAGCCATTTACCCAGACCAGAAGCTTTATCTGGAAAGTCGGGCAGGAGAAAGACTGCGAGTAGTCCGAAGAAGAAGCTCATCGAGCTCTCGATGATGAACAGCCTATGTCTAGACTCAGCAGCCTGCACTTGAAAATGGGACTCAGGTGGTGATTTCGGGTAACATACCAACGCCAACCGGCGATCCCTAGGGAGCCGTCCAAGTTCGCAAACACACCAGCGGCAATGAGACCGGAGAAGGCTGTTGCGAGAATAAGTCCAGAGTAAAGAATCGATGTTCGGAACGCAAGCTCTCTTTTCGTGTACCACGAGGAAAGAAGGAATACTACCTTTGCATCGCACAGAACCTTTCAGCGTTCTCCTCTTCACAGACATCGGCCACGCTCGTAACATACCCCTGGAAAGAAGGGCGCTTCTGCAATGCCAAGCAGGAAACGTATCGCTATCAGGTCGTCGAAATTTCGCGCTGCGGCGGTACAGCCTGACAATACCGACCAGATGCAGACCCAGAATGGCAAGTACAGTGAAGGCCGGACTCGAGTGAGGATCATATTACTCGGTAGCTGCATGAGGACGTATCTTCAACACGTCAGAGCAGCGTCTATTGCGCGGTCTTTCAACGCCACTCACCCAACATTGAGAATGGAGATTGCGGTGTTGAACTGGTCATCGTGCATTCCCAGATCCTTCTCGAAACCGCCGAGCTTTGCTTGGCTGTAGAGACATCAGCACGTATCTCAAGAGCTGTTGCGGCTATGCCAAAGCAACGACTTACCTGATGTTGTTTCGATCTAAATAGTTAAACATGTACAAGATCCAGATACACGGCATCATTGTGCAGTCCAGCTTTCGGACGAGGCTGCGAGAATGACGACGAAAGCTTTCATCGTCCACATCGGTAGCAGCATTGAGGGTATTCGTCGACTGAACGAACTCCCGCAGTTCACAAGTCTCCCCTTTTTTCAATTCGTTTTCCGCCATGTTGACTTGGGCAGCAACAGTGAGACAGGAGAGTCTTACGTGGTCGAGAAAGTAGTAAAGGTTCGACTAAGCAAACCGCTAGTCGCTTAGAGTGAAGATCGAGAGAGTCAGCTATCTATTGAATATGATTATCGAATCAAAGTGATTGGTGTTACCAGGCACGCTGCAGGTGAAGCGGAGATCTCCAGAAAGGGTCGCGTCGTAACAGGGAGGACTCCATACTCCCCAGTTGGGGATGTGGCGATGTCGGCCACGGCGCAAGACATTCCCTACTCGGTAGACGGCGACGGTGGATGGCGACGTTTACATTTAGCGTCCCGAAAGTAGCCCAAAGATGTCCATCAGATGATACGTTTGAAGAGGGGAAACCGCGAGTTGCCATGAAGCTGCCACAGTCTTGGCTATTCTGAGTTCATTCTTCTGCCTATGCCACCAATGGCTCTGTGATACGCTCGTCAGGAAAACAAGATGATGTCGTATCGCTGCTTCCTCTTCGCGCCAAGTGCTACTGAGCTGTCCTTGGTGCTGACCAGCTAATTCCGTACTCCACTGATAGCGCTAAAAAAGAGTGATCCACGCTCAAATCCGAGAATGAACCCCTTGTTGAACTGTTAGACGGCATCACGCACTACGAGAGTATCGATGAACCAATCTCTCGCAGCCTCAATGGCTTTTGACTTGGACTCCATGTACGGAGAGAAGTGATGGCCTTTGATTTTGATGAGAGATTTCGGCTCTTTTGCCAGCTCATAAGCCCACACCTGGCCTGGTAGTGTATCATCTTCGGCGAAGACAAAGCGTACTGGGACTGGAGAGATGCGCGAGATCAAACTCGACACGTCCATCAGTACAGTGGGCGAGTAGCTTTGCAACGTGATCCGATTATAGAAACTTCGACGCTCTCCCATCGTCAAGGATTCAATGAAGCTCTGCTTGATATCATCTCCAGACCCTCTCACGAAATGGACGTACTGAGGCTCGTCGCCTCTCATTTTGTTCATTCGATCTTTTGCCAGATCGGAGCGGAAGCCCACGAGGTCGTCGTCATATCCGGCCATCCGAGCTGCACTTGATTCTGTCCAGTAGATCAATGGAGCTTGTGCAAGAACCGATTTGACCCTCTTATCAACGGCGGCAATAGCGAGAGCATCACGACCTCCCAGACTGGTACCCCAGATGCCTAGGCGCTGTGCATCGGTTTCCGGCAGACTTAGCGCGTATGTTATTGCGTCTTGCCAGTTCTGCAAGCGTCCCAGATGTGATACTTCTTCCCTTGGCATACCCTCGCTGTCGCCAAAATTGCGATAGTCGAAAGAAAGTCCTGCTATGCCGGCTTGAGCCAATGCTTCGGCCGTCTCTGGTATCGCCCATTCCTTCAGGCCTCCGAACCCATGGCCGAAGACAACAATTGGATGCTTCTTTGCAGGACTGCTGCAGCTGGAAGGGGAGAACAGTGTGCCGCGGATCCGTAGACCGTCTGAGAAGAAATCTACCGGGCGTTGACTGACTGTGGTCATGGTGGCAAAATCGATTATCTTTGCCCAAAGTTTCCAAGGAATATAATTCTGCTCATTTATACCAAGCGTTGTCACTGGTTGTGGTCACCTAATGCGATCTTACTGAAGACATTGGAGACAGAAACCACTCCAAAAGGGGCGTCAGGCTTAACACCGGACCCACTCCGCGTTCTCCGTGCTCCAATCCTTTTCAGGTCCGCGAAGTCCGAAGTCTACGACTTGCAGCTTATCTCGACTCGTATCCCCGGAATCCCTCCTCATTTGGTCCTGCTAGCATCGCAGACATGGTGAGACGTCGAGACGAGCGTGCACGTGCAAGAATACCTCCGTCATGTTGGCCTTGCCGTCGTAGAAAGTACTTCCTCGTACCTTTAGATTGCAAGGACTCAAGACTTGACGCTGACTTATTGGTCAAGATTGAAGTGCGATCGGGGCCTACCTGCATGTTCCAATTGCGTCCACAGAGGAAATATCACTGCCTGCCAGTACGCTTCTGCCCGCCCGAGCACCCCGACACGGCAATCTTCGTCACCAAGCACTAGCGATGTTGTGCCACCTGAGGTTCTCGGACCTGCGTTGAACAAGCTTGCCAACCTTGAGCGAATCGTACTAGAGCTCGTCAGCAATCAGAAACCCCGAGACGAGGGCAGGGACGAGCAAGACACGCATAGTAGCGCCTTACCAGCCGTCCAGCACTGGACACGACAGTCGGTGGACGAAGCTCGTTGGGATTCAGTCTTTCATGATGTACGATGCCAACATGTCTTGGTCAGTCGCCTGAACTGACAATTACCATCATCAGATCCAGGAGGTTCGTGCGTACCTTCACGCACAGCATGAACGATATGAGGAGAACAACAAAGCAACTTTGCCACTCCTACCGTTCTCAGAGGATCCCGCACCTACACTACTGCTTGGCTCTAGTAGAAATGCCAGCAGAGCAGAAATCGTTCTGGGTCTACCTTCGAAAGAGTCTTGCGACGTGATGATTGCAAGGTTCTTCTCGCATCTATATCCGCCTCTCTGTCAGTTATGTCCCCGTGTCCCTGTATCAAGAAAGTTAACCAAAGCTGCAGACATTCTCCACGAACTGAGCTTTCGAAACCAGTATGAGCATTTTTGGCAAGATCCTGATAGCACGACGACCGTCTGGATTGCTGTTTTGTTTGCCATCTTGCGAATCGCTAGCCTTGATTACCTGCGCGAAGATGACGAGCCTACACATTTCAAAGGGAAATGCCAGGGCCTTGCCGTCGCCTATCGCCAGCGTTTGGCTGACTGCTTGGTCCATGCGGACTATCTGCAGCCCCACGAGTTCCTCATCGAGGCACTCATACTACACCAGTACGGAGAATATGTCTCTAGCAGAGATGCAAAGTCCAGTATATGGGTGCTTACCGGGACTATCATTCGACTGGCGATGAGAATGGGCTATCATCAATCGTCACAACCTACTTTATGCCAGTCACCATTCAAGGTTGGTCCTTCTCCCCGATCGCGCCGTAGGATCTACTACGCTAACATAAACACGTCCGAAGGCGGAGATGCGGCGAAGGGCATGGGCATACCTGCGACAATCAGATATCATGATGTCGTTCCAGATGGGCCTACCATCAATGGTTGACTTACACAGCCAGCCAATCGACTTACCACGCAATATGCACGACGACGATACTTTCCACGAAGGTTGCTCCACGCTGGCTCCCGTGCAGCCTGATTCGGAACCGACTAAGATCTCCTATCTCATTGCAAAGACTAAATTGGCTTTTGGATTCGCCCAGGCACTTGTTGAAGTCAACCGCAAGCCCAGTATCGACTGCCAGAGACTGTTGGAGATAGACCGCGAGCTGAGACAGACGTACGAGGCTGTTCCTGAATACTACAAACTCGGCCGATTGCAGAGTCAGGACTCATTTGTACTCTGCTCTGCTCGCTTCAGCCTCGCTGCAATCCATTACAAGTCTCTGTGTGTCATTCACAGCCACTTTATCGGCCGAGAGACGAAAGACAGCAAACATTTGTACTCTACAAAAGTGTGTCTGACCTCTGCACTTTCAATACTTCGGATGCAGGCCACTCAAGATCAAGTCCTTTCCATCGATGGGCGTTTCGGGAAACTCACCAACTACCAAACTTCCTTGGCGATACACGACTACCTGCTGGCCGCAGCTATAATCAGCACCTATCTATTCTTCAACTTAGGCCTGGGTGGAACTTCTACACCACGAACGTCCAAGACCAGCACTAGCTCCCAAGGTCTACCGTCAAACATGGAAATGATCAAAGCTTTAGGGAACAGTGCAAGGATTTTCCACTCCACGCGAGACCAGAGTGTGGACGCCTGGAAAGCTGCCGATGTGCTTGGTGTAATCTCGAAAAGATTTCTGGGCGTAACTGGGGTCTCACGGGATGTTGCAATACACACTGGCTCATTCCGAAGACCGCAACAGCCTCCAATGCCCCCTTCACAAGGATGCAATCGAACCTCGACGACATTTGAGAGGTCAAGTGTTGAGGATTGTCAGACGTTTCCTCCTCAATTCAGTGATTGGCGATGGACACCTGAACAATCCCGTGGGGAGAAACGCATGCGAAACAGTCACGGCGAAATATCGACGTCTACAAATAGCTCACTGCCTCTTGCCGTGAGCGTTGCTGGTAGCTCTTGGCCGCTGGAGGGTAATATGAGCGGTAATCGCATTGATTCGGAGGCGGACGTGACCGCATATTCTCATTTGTTTACCACTCCCCCTGATGATACCCTCCAGGGTTTTGAAGCAGACGAAGGGGACAAACAACGAGACGTCAACCAGCTCTCGGCATTCGTTCAAGGCGATTTCACAAATGACTTACCGTCAGCATGGTTTCAGGACGACTTGCTACCCACCCTGGACATCAATCAACCGTTGTCAACCCTGTGGACCCTCAACAACTCTGGTATTCATCCTGGCGCAATTCCTGAACTGTAACGGGAAACGCTAGTTCAATTGTTTCATTGGCGCAAGACACATCACAAGAATATCTCCAAACACCCCCCCAACCCAAGTGGCCTTCATTGGTATGTACGCATTAGACATTCATGATTTCGGGATTTCCCACAACCCATGCCGGTGTGATGGTCAACCTCTTGATTCTCCAAAGTTCTCCATCTCTCACAATCTGAGCAGCGTACTGGTTGCCGAATAGGTAGTAGTCTTGAAACTCAGGAGAAGGTCCTTCGCCGCGGCGAAAATGCTGAGCGAGCACGCAAGTTGTCAATTCAGCCGAGTCTCCTTGGACGGTGCATCGTATGTTGGTCGCACTGTGCGTTGTGTCGAGTGGCTTTCCAACGGCGTCCATAAGGACTTTCACAATAGCATCCCTCCCTTCCGCGATTCCACGCTCCATGCCAACTTTCCGGAATGGTGTAAGGTCCATGATAGAGTCTTTGGTGAGAGATGAGGCCGAAAGCTCAGCATCTCCTTGGTCTAGTGCACACACAAAGCGTATGACTGCATCTATTGCAGCCTCGCGGTCTGTCAGGCCACCGGCGTTGGGCATATTGTTGTGAGAGCTCGCTCCTTTGGATTCTTCGGCTTGAATGCTATCCAATTGCGTGTGTAAAGCCTTTGAGTGATAACAGCAGTCAGATGGTCCCTCTTTTGTGCAGGCTTTTGAACTCCACCGTAAGTAGTGACAGACTCCGCACAGCGGCGGACTTCACGACACTCGCTCCGCGATCTCCGTTGCTTGACAGCCCGGGCTCGGTCAAAGGAGAACTTGAGCGATGAGAAGGTTTCCATAAACATACATCGAACCCGAAGTCTTACAAGATCCGTCAAGTCCGCTCAGGTGCTGTGCTAATGCTGCCATTATTAGTGTACTCAACTTTGGCAGACTGGTGATACACCCTACGACTAGATGAGCGCCCCTCATCTGCTGCCAACATGGAGGTGTTGAACGCAAGGACGACGTTAGATAGAACGAGAAGTGCGTATGATGGAGCGAATGAAGTTAGGACGACTAGAGCTGGTCCTTCCCTACCAAAGGACTAATTAAGCCCCTTCTGCAACCATTGCACACTCTCGAGCGCATATGTATGTAGAACGGCAGCCAGATGTTTCACCAAGGCATTTCAAGCCCATCGTATTGATTCATTCCCTTGTGCCCTTCCCAGCCCGGCACTCGGATACAGAGGAACTTGCCATTGTCTGTTCTATCACTTCTGAGCACTATATCTCTGATCGCCTTGCCGCCAACTTCAAGATCAATATCGGCATTCTGGCCGCCCAGGTCAGTCTTGATCCACTGCGGTGTATTGTCAGCCGTGGCCCTGCCACATGTTCGAAGGTGTCGTAGCCCTACCCCTGGTGAGAGTGCTATGAAGGTAAAGTCCTCCTTGTCAAACTCCAACGCATATTGGACAGTAAGCATGTTCATTGCTGCCTTGGACATTTTGTATGAGTATGTAGTCGCCCACTGGTATGTGTCGTACCGGGTAATGGACCCTAATGCACTCGACCTTTGTGTCCTCAGCAAGGCGAGATAGATTGCCAAACATCAGAAACAGAACTTACATGTTCACTACTTTTCTGTGGCCTCCTTTTCGTAGTAGCGGAATGAAGGCCGTTGTCACAGCGTGAGCGCTACCGACGTTGGCGTTCATCACATCCAGCAATTCTTGGTTCGTCATTGAACAGATGCCGCTGGGGCACTCCACAGCCGTGCCCGCGTTGTTCACCAGTATGTCCAAGCCGCGTCCTTGCAGTACGGCTTCGATGTCTTTCGAGGCCTGTGTCGCACGCGAGAGGTCGGACAAGTCCTCAATCATGACGTTTGTAAGACGATCCGGAGACGAATTCACGAGCTCTTGCAGGCCAGGAGTGGGCTGGCTTCGCGTCACCGCGAAGACCTTGTCGATCGTGGCTGCGGGTAAATCCAGCAGTTGCTTCACAAGCTCGAGTCCCAGGCCTCGGGAGGCACCAGTCACGAGAATCGTCGCCATAGTGGGTGAGAGTTGGAACGTCAGCAGGCAGAGAAAGGTGCTGATACTTCTACACTCACAAGCTAAGAACTTCACATCTGCTGTCGTGCCGTTCTTCACTTCGGCCAGCACAGGCAGCATATAGTACAATGGAGCTCTAGCATTTCGCTGATGTGAGTCAGACGCTCTGATTACATTCAACAGAAACGGAGATCACGGAGCAGGTCGGAGATAGACATGTTCGACAGGACTCGCCAAGACCTACCGCAGCAGCTACTGCTTCATACAAAGTCAGAGTCAAAGATCACGAATGAAAGTGCAATGGTCGTTCAACGAAATTGTGATGTTGAAATCGTTTGACATGCTATGCCAGCGTCGGCAAAGGCTGCAAGGCTGCCACGAAGGCCCCTGCTCGTTAATTACTCAGTCCTCGCCACCATACCAATGTGACCGCAATACGTCATGTGCATACGATTATTCACAATATCTCTCCTTCATCTTGCTCTGCGTGATGGCAAATTTCCGCCAAGTCTTTACAAGACACGAAATTCCAACAAGCTGCGAGGTCGTCGCTGAGAGAAAGAAGAGGCCAAGCGCGGGGCGCATACGAGTATGGCCATGTTCTTGTGGAAGCTCTGCAATGGCATTTTGTAGCGGCTCCTCATGTGCCTTGAGCACGCCATGAATTTTGATGGAATCTCAAGTGGGGACCCTTCCATGCAACAGAAAGATCGACAAGGCTTCTCCAGGACTGCTAAAGACTTGCATGAACTGAGTTGGTATTTTCAACCTGGAGCCCTAGTCTTTAGCTGTCCTATTCTTCGGTCGGTTGCTGTACGCAGTCACTCGTGCGAGGGAAACACCGAGCTGTGAGGAGTGGTGAAGCTCCAACGCCGCATGCAGGTACGAAGATGTCGACACATGAACAACACATCGAAGCAGGCACCCAAGCCCCACCCAACCAATAAATACGGAGCTTTGGATGCACGGCATGCAGCTTCAGCTCACCCCATAGGCTACGCCATTGACCGGTTGGAAGCTCAGGCAGCTTCGAGGCAACCCGAGACAGTTTGGTCCTAGGGCGGCCTCAGAAAGTCCAATCATTCAAAAAGCGCCTGAAGCCTGCAAGTTGTAACAGTCCTGGTCACAAAATTTCTGGAATTCTTGTGCACCGGGTACGTCAACTCTCTCACCGCAAGCCATGTCGTTCCTGCCCAAGAAGAAGAAGTCGAGGCCGATGTCCTCTTCAGTCCCGCCACCTCCTCCGGATCCTTTCCAAAACTTGAATCTCGGGCATCTTGACGCTGTCTTGAATAACACCATGGTTCCCAATAACTCAGAAGATGACGATGATGATTCCAAAACAGTCAAGGAGGAAGACTTGGCGTTTGATCGTGGCATGCGGAAGGAGGTCAAGTCTCTGTATCGAGAGGACTATCGGCATCCTTGGGCGGAATGGACACCAGACAACGACAAAATGGACGCCGAAAGGTTGAAGAACTCGAAATTTGCGGTGGTTGGCAGATGGGAGATGGATACGGATAGCGACGGAGGATTGGCTTTGCACTCTATTACAGTGCAGAGCCCCATTCTGAAAAAGCTGTTAGAGACAGTCTTCAAGGGCTACAAAGGGGTAGAAACCAAAATGAAGATGAAGGAACTAACATTTTCGAAGCCATTCAATGAGTTCTACTACCGCTGGGAACAGTATCAGGAGCTATGCCAACACGAATCAGAACGAGACGAAGTGGCCAAAGAACACATCTCGCTCCTCAACAGCATTGTCGAACCAGAGATTCAACCGCACGTTGAGCATGCGAAGGAACTCAAGGAAGAAGGCAGTGTGACTTTCGACTATCTATGGGTACTCTTCCCGCCAGACTGCGAGATCTTCGCCCAGATCGATAGGCAAGATCGCATTCTGCGGCTCGCCAGCTCAACATACCTTCGCACACAATGTGGCATTGTGTTTCAGCTCAAGGCAAAATACATTACCTACGATGGGACCGACTTTGGCTGGGCGAGCGAAACTTTTCAGATTAACGCTTTTGAGGGCTACCGCAAAGTACTGGAACTGTCGGTTGTGCCTCTGAGTGCGTTTCAGGATGATATGAAAACTCAGCTCGTGAAGAGAGTGGAAGACCGTGGGAGAGCGTTCGAAAGTTTGAAAGGCTGGCATTACTTGAGCTACAACGGCTCTGTTGATCCCGCAGACGAGAAATTGAGGAAACAGAAGGTAGGCTCACTGGCTTTGATGCTCGAAGAGGTATTGTTCTGACATCACGAGCTCTTAGGTTTACAATGGCCGCGTTGTCATTGACGCCGATCTCTATCATTCCCAGGACATCGACGAAGATGTCGTCCTTGAGCCGCTGCACAGTCTCTCCAACACTTTTGATAAGACGATCACAAAATCCATGGATGATCCGTTCGCAGATTTGAACTTCATACCGCCGCCGCTGCCTGACCCGTTTGCGTTCCTTCCTGGCTTTGGTGGACAACGTAAAAAGAAGAATAACAAGGACGACGATGGCAAGGAACGGCAGGTCGAGCTGAACAACGAGCATTACAGGTTCTGCGATGCTAGTGTGAAGGGATACTGCCTGACCTCTAAGCAATGGGGTAAGTTATGAAAACTGCATAGGTCAAGATCTTTGAGAAGCCAACAAAACTGACGAATGGGTGCAGTCAAGATGCTTGTTGACAATGTTGACGAAATCAAATGGAACACGGCATCGTTCAAGCGACTCGTGCTACCCAGTGACTATAAAGAGCTCATCTTAGCCTTTGTCGACAGCCACCTCTCGCAAGGGGATAGCTTTGATGATATTGTGCAAGGGAAGGGGAGAGGAATCGTCATTCTACTGAGCGGCGTTCCTGGAGTGGGGAAGACACTCACTGCAGAGGCCGGTGAGATGCTGTCGTTTTAGTACGAACCAGGACATTTTCGCTAACATGCCATCCACAGTTGCTGAAGAGATGAAGAAGCCGCTCTACTCCATGAGCGCCGGCCAGCTTGGTTTCGACGCCGACACTGTCGAAATCCGCTTACGCAGCGTTCTCGAAATCTGCACCAAATGGCGAGCCGTGCTTCTCATCGACGAATGCGATGTCTTCCTAGAGCAGCGCCAAATCTCGGACATCCACCGCAACAAGCTCGTCGCCGTCTTCCTTCGTCTGCTCGAATACTATCAGGGCTGCATGTTCCTGACGACCAACCGTGTCGCGACATTCGACTTGGCGTTCAAGTCTCGTATCGATCTCATCATTGACTATCCAAAGCTCACGCCGTCGGCGAAGAAGCAGATCTGGCAGACGTTTGTGAAGCCGTCGGAAGAGTTTCCTCGGAATGATAGCACCATCACCGAGGAGGAGCTGGACGTGCTGGCGAAAATCGATATCAATGGCAGAGAGATCAAGAATTTGGTCAAGACGGGCAGGCTTCTTGCCAAGAGGAAAGGGGAGGTCTTGGGTATGCAGCACTTGAGGACTGTGCTGGGAGTGCAGACTGGCGGGCCGGCGATTGAGGATACAGAAGAAGTCTATCCACCCCTTGATTGATATCCATAGGTAATCGAATGTGTCTGTTCAGTGACTATTGAAATATGAGTCAGTGTGATCAGTGCGGATGAGTTCTGGAGACGCTCAGGGAGTTCAGGGGGGATGGAAACACAAGACAATTCTATCGACTCCAAGATTCGATTTGAACATGCCCGAGCCTTGCCAACACCAGCCTCGAAGTCTAATCATTGACCTCACAGGCGATCATTCTCCTTGGCGAACGGTGGAGCTGCCTGACGATTGGCGCGCTCCGGCCCCTCTCAGCTGATGCTCGGACGGCACCTTCTGAAGTGTCACCGGTATGCGCTGGCACAACGACGTCGGTACTCAGTCACGGGCTGCATCCTCGATGCAGCTGTCGACATCCATCTTCGACTACATACTCTGAGTCTTTGAGGGTCTAGCCAGTCTTGGCTGCCAGCTAAGTTGATAATCGACATGCGACTACTCCACTTAATGACTCTGGAGCTCAGAGAATTTTTCAACGAGGACGCTCCACCGTACGCGATTCTGTCGCACCGCTGGGGCAAGAGCGAAGTATCCTACAAAGAAATGCGCAAGAGGCCTAATCTGAAGGACCACCCTGGGATGGCCAAGATTGAGGACTTCTGCGCGTTCGCGAGGATCGACACCCGACGAGGGACGAACCAGAGGGGGTAAATCAGCTGAAGCCGGTTGGATGGGGTTGGATTGATACATGTTGTATCGACAAGTCCAGCAGCGCCGAGCTCTCAGAAGCGATAAAATCCATGTTTGTCTGGTACAGGGGCTCCGATTTTTGTTGTGTACACCTCGCAGATGTTTCCTGCGCCTCAGGGACAGAGCAGGCTTTCATAGAGAGCGAATGGTTTACTCGAGGATGGACACTACAAGAACTCATTGCACCGACGACAGTCCTCTTCTGTGATGCCTCATGGAGACTCCTGGGTCATAAGTGCAGCCATGCCCCAACTTCTTGCCAGGAGCACGGACAAGGAAAATTCCTCAACGCACAGATCTCGCACGCCACAAACATTCGCATAAGATATCTGCAGGACCCACAAGCATACACGAAGGCAAGCATAGCTTGTCGTATGAGCTGGATGTCGGAGAGAAAGACAACGAGGGTAGAAGACATTGCCTATTGCTTGCTAGGCATTTTCGATGTGCATATGCCACCCTTGTATGGGGAGGGTCACCATACGTTCCGGCGTCTACAGGAGGAAATCATCCGGAACTTCGACGATCAGTCCATATTTGCTTGGTTCAACGTGGACAGATATATGGATTACTGGGCCGTCCAGGATTGCACTTTAATGGCAACGCCGATACTAGCTGATCATCCTGCAGACTTCGTCTTTTCGGGGAGTGTCTCAAGGCCTCAACACGCCCCAGATTCCCAATATGCCGTTACCAATAATGGTCTGGAGATTCGAGCCGTAACCCAGGAATACGAAACAGGCAAATCTCACAAGATTGTCCTAACGCTAGATCTTAACTGCATAGGAGGTCCGAAACTGCCCCTTGACTTCAATCGCCTAGGAAGACGAACACCAAACACTCGCATTGCGATCATGAAGGTTGGTGCTGGACTACATGATCTCATGCGACTCCATGTTCCACCCCACTTTTCAGCATCGGAGCTGGGTGATCTCGTAGTTAAGGGTGAGAGCGAGAGACTAATGTATGTCAAGACGGAAGGCGCTCCACACAGCTTCTCGTTCGACGGGGACTGCTTGACCCAACAGATATGCGGTAGCGGCGATGAAGGATTCAATCCATACAGAAGGTATCCACCCGTCAGTATGAAAACGCCGATACATATGTAACTGCAGACACGTACTTGTGTGTACGCCAAATTCGATAGTGCATATTATCAGAGTCTCGCCTTCCCATCCCAAACCTCCGCCGCAGCATTACTGATACACAACTTGCCCGTCTCCTTGACCTTCGCCCGATAAATCACCTTGCCACCATCTTTCCACATCTCCGTGACAATTGTCTGACCAGGAAGTATAACCCCAGCAAACCTGACCTTGAAGTTCTTCATCGGACCAAAAGTCTCGAAGATGTGCTTGCCCGTGATTCCGAATGTCGCCAAGCCGTGCAGAATAGGGGTGTCGAAGCCGCCTACTTTTGAGAATTCGGGATCGATGTGTAAGGGGTTGCGGTCTCCCATGAGGCGGTAGATGGCCGCGAGATCCTCGGACGTCTTTTCTTCGACGATGTGATCTGCCTTGCGATTCGGTGGGTTGTTGACAGCATTTGCAGGCCCGCGGTCAGGGGGTGTCTTCTGCCCACCGAAGTTGCCGCTACCTCGGACGAAGAGGACGCTTTCATTGTAGAAGATAGGCTTGCCGGTCGAGTCTGTGATATCCTGGCCACGGCGAACGATTGTGGCATTACCCTTGTCGATTACTTCGATGAGCTTTGTCGATGTCTTGAGTGTGGCCGAAGTTGGGATCGGCCACTGCAGGACCTGGAGGAACTGTTCTCCGTGCAGCATCCGTCGTTGATCGTAGTTAGGAACGATGTCGTTGAGGGTCCAAGGAGCTTTGGAGAAGTAAGCTGGGACCACACCGAATGTCGGTACTGCGGTGAAGTTCTTGTTCCCTTCGAACACAAGATGGAGATCCTTCCGCTTAGCGCCAATACCGAGATTGTAAAGGATGATATCTCGCTCGGTGTAGCTGTATTCAACAGGCTCTGGTGGAGCACTGATTGCTGCTTGGATCTTGGACGTGTATCTACGGTTCTTCGCGCGGTCTTCTTGCGAGATACCGGGAATCTGCAAGTGTGTCAGCGTAGGTTCCTCAACAAGCTACCAAACCCCAGTCACATACCATGCCGCTGTTAAAAGCATTGCCGTTGGTGTACTTTGAACCTTCTGCTGGGCTCTCCGGATTGTCGGCTTGCTCGTCGAATCGAATGATCTTAGGAAACGCCTGCCCAGTCGTCAATGATTGTATGACCTTGGAGAGAAGCGTTGACAAACCTCAGCGACCATCTCAAGAGTGACGCTTTGATAACCCTTCTTGAACTCAAAGTCAACGCCCTTAGTTCGTTGCCAGCGTGTGCTCGCGAACCAGCCAGCCCCAGCTTCGAACGTGTGACCCGTTGCCGGTGGCTTTTCACTACAGAGTACCGCCACAAGTGGAGCTACGTATTCTGGCTTCAGGCTCTGTACTTCTCGCCCTGGCCAGATGGTCCGAGTCATGTTGGTGCCGGCCGAGCGGGCCACGACGTTGACGATTACGTTGTATTTCATGCCTTCTCGGGCTGTGGTCCTAGTGAAGCCGACAATGCCTGATTTCTATGGACTCTCAGTCATGGTTCTCTGAAAAGCTCAATGTCCGACTTACCGCTGCGGCATAGTTCGCTTGTCCGAAGTTACCATAGATTCCCGACGTAGAAGTGATATTGACGATGCGTCCATACTTTTGCTTGACCATCAATGGCAGGGCAGCTCGAGTAATCTTATACGTGCCGTTCAGATGGACATCAATGACCTGATGCCATTGCGTGTCGGTCATGTTGACGAAGGCCTTGTCTCGAAGAATGCCGGCGTTGTTCACAACCTTTGAGATCCAATCAGCTTCAGCTCCAGTCTCACAACACTCAACTCACGATGTCAATACGTCCAAAAGCATCAATGACTGCTTTGACGACCATGTCGCCTCTCTCGACTGACACGTCACACGACTTGGCCTCACCACCCATGGCGTTGATCTCGTCAGCCACGGCATATGCGTTTTGAACATCATTGATCATCAATTTGGCCCCCAGCTTGGCCAGTTGTATAGCATACGCTCTGCCCAGACCAGCCCCAGCGCCTGTCACCAGAGCAACCTTGCCCTTGATCCCCAAATCCGTAGTTGGAGGCTTGTTCGGAGGCTGAGTCCCAGCAGCGGTCAAATTGCCGATAAGATCTGCGGACTCGCTCGGATGATCTTTCAACGTGAAGTCGGTAATCTTTTTAAAGCCGGCAAGAACATGCTCAGGATGAAGATTCTCATCCGGCTTCAGGAGTAAGCCTCTCGACCTCTCCCATCGAATCTTGGAGAAGTGGCCAGCGCCAGCTTCGAAGATGCTGCCGTTCTCCTTGCAGCTCGGGTGCACGAGATAACCGACGAGAGGGACCACCCATTCGGGGCCCATCAAGTCCATCATCTCCTTTGGCCATACTGTCTGAGTCAAGCGACTGGCTGCCGCTGGAGCAATGATGTTGCTGTGAATGTTGTACTTTGCGCCTTCTTTGGCTAGAGTCTCGGCCAATCCGACGACACCGAATTTGGCGGCAGCGTAATTGCCCTGCCCAAAGTTGCCAAAGAGGCCCTGAAATGCATTAGCTTTCGATCTACAAGGTGTTTCTTACTTACTCACTGATGCTGATGTCGTCTGGATGACTCTGCCATACTTCTGCTTCCTAAAGTAGGGCCAAGCTGCCCGAGTCGTCTTGTATGCACCGTGTAGATGAACGTCGATGATAGCATTCCAGTCGTCGTCCTTCATATTACGGATAGTGATATCTCGCAGAATGCCGGCGTTGTTGATGAGTATATCGACACGGCCAAAGGCTTTGATCGCCGTCTCAATGATCTTGTCACCATTCTGCACAGCATTGTAATCGGCTACGGCCTCTGCTCCAGCCTTGGTCAATTCATCCACGACTTGATCGGCCACTGCTCCACTTCGCTGGTTGCCCTTGGCGTCGAATGTTCCACCAAGATCATTTACGACCACTTTAGCTCCTTTCGAAGCGAAGAACCTGGCGTAGGCTCGACCGAGACCTGCACCAGCGCCGGTGATGATGGCTACTTGGCCATCGTAGCGTAGTTCGGGTGCCATACTTTCAACAAAGCGGTAGTATCTGTCTCAACACCATTCGTGTTATGAGTTGCAAATATACCATATTGCTGACTCGGCCAAGCTGATGCATGGCATTCCCGAGAAGTGGGGTCGCAACCGTGGCATAGCCGTGCTACAGCCATCTTGAGGGAATGCCGCCGAGGGGCTCACATCATCCCGAGATCCTACATTCTAGGTAAAGTCGGGTATTTTCTGGCTTCTGGAGAAGTATTTTGATCTCCTCATGGCCCGGCATTGTTATTCAAGCGTTTCGCCATCAACAGTAGCCGGGGCGAATCGAGGAGTCCTGGCACGGCCAATTGCAAGATGCACTTAGAATGGCAAGCTTTCGAAGATCGTGAAGGAAGGCGAGACGCTACCAAGTTATTCGAAGCTGGACATTAATGAAAGGTGGACAGGAAAGTCGAAAGAAAGGGGATGAAGTGTGCGACGACTGCTTACCTAACTAAGACATTCCGCAATTCAGCCGGAGCTAGCATGTGAATTAATACGTCATGGACGGCTGGCTGTTGCTCTTGCTGTTGAAGTGCCCAACCGGCCTTGCATTCTATAGCTGGTTCTGACGTTTAACAACTCGACATTGAAAGCAATAACAAACAGTGCGGTAGGTATATGTAATTCTTCTTCGTCTCGATTTCACACATTTGAGTCTTTAGAGTCAACATTGTAAAACAACATCATACTTCTTAAATGACAGGGAAGTTGAAGGACAGCAACAGGGACCCTAAAACAGAGAAAGTACGATCCTAAAAGAAACAGCTCCATTCGCATAATCAGTACCAATGGACCTTCCATCAACATTCGCCCACAACGGCTGGAACGTCAAATACGGCGTCTTCGAACCGCAAACGACCGAGACTCAGAACCTCCAAACCGTCCTCTTCGTCCATGGAACACCATGGTCTTCAGAAGTCCACATCCCACTGGCCAAAGCCCTGCTATCGACGAAGCGGTACCGAGTGATTCTATACGATCTCCCTGGATATGGACAATCGCAAGAAGTTCCACGGGACATCAGCAGTGAAGGCAGTGCGATGGAGCTGTTCAAGCTGGATATGCAGATGGACACCTCCGTCAAAGCCCAAGGCGCTGCTCTTGCTGCACTCATTGAGCATCTGAATCTCACCAGTCCACCCTGTATCATCGCCCACGACATCGCCGGCGCTATTGTCCTCCGCACGCACCTCATCCACGACATCGACTTCGCCAGCCTCATGCTCCTCGAAACCAACACCGTTCTCCCCTGGGGCGATGGCTTCTACAGACTCGCCCGTGAACGACCCGAAGCATTCGTTGAGATGCCGCCTGCGATCTTCGAGGCTGTTGTACGAGCCGTCATTCGTAGCGCATCCCATGATCCTGAGACTTTCCCTTCTACGTGGGAAGATACGTTGGCGAAGCCCTGGACTCAAGACGGGAAGGCCTGGCGGCAGAGGAGTTTCGTGCGTCAAATTGCCCAAGCGAATGATGAGGACGTTAAGGAGATGCTCGATCAGGATCTCTACAGCAAAGTCCGCTGTGATGTGAAGATCGTGTGGGGAGAATCGGATCAGTGGATTCCGAAGGCGATGCTGGAGAAGTTGGGTGAGATGCTGGGGGAGAGGATGAAGGAGTTTGTGGTTGTGCCGGAGGCCGGCCATTTGGTTATGATCGATCAGCCGGAGACGATTGCTGTTGAGACTTTGGAGTGGCTATCAAAGACGTCAGCCTCATATTAGACAGGTAGTTGGAATTGAGATATACTATTAGATATTACTCGCCATGCATGCGCTTCGAACGCTGGGATTTCATACAACCGTCTCGAACGCCGTTCTGCTGAAGGTCCACCTCTCAAGCGACTAGACCACCGTGAAATCAGTGGGCTCAACCCCAGCAGCTCTCGAACCATAGTCCAGCCAGGTCCACAACAAGTCAAACGATTCAACTTCGTCGTCATCTTTCGAAGGAAGCCCATCGCAGCACGGAGAATTCCCACTCCACGTGCCCGCAATGATCATCGCCATCCCAATAAACTCGTAGGCTCCTTCCATCTGTAGGCTGGGACGCAAGACAAGAGGCATACAGGTCAGGCTCGGTAGAACGATCACATCATCGACGTGGGCCTGGCGAGGCACGCTCCAGGACGAGTAAGCAATGCCATTTCGTACACGAAAGGGTCGGCTTTCATGAGAGCGTTGCTTGCACCATCGGGCTCGATGCTTGTCCTCGTAATGTCGATGGGATGATCTTTCGGCACCGAAGAACTCAGGCTGGTGGTTAAAGTCCAGGGATTCGTAGACTGGTCTCTTTCTCAGCTCCATCGTCCCACAGTGTTCGCTAATATAATGTGGATGATTTTGACACATCAAAGGCTTGCTGTCGACTTCTCGCAAGGGTATGCTATCAGGAGCGAGCACTGGATCAGCTCGCCAGGGTAGGACTCGATTGAGGATCATCTGTTGGGTGCGGATCGACACTGTCTTGACATAGTCGTTGTTTTCGTTGTTCCTGTGGTCGACTGAGACAATGATAGCTTGCTGCTCAACTTTGGCCTTTACCAGCTTCTCGAACTCTGGTCCAATAGGTATAGACGGGAAGACTCGTCCCGACACATCCCCCAAGTCCGTCCCAAATAATGGACTGCTACGCATCCTGAAAGGCATATGGTCCGCCGCTGTTTGAGCGAATATGAAGCTGGTGACGATCTCGTCTGCCACGAGCTCGCCAACGACGCGGCCGCTCATGATCAAACACTCTGGTCGAGAGAGGTCCGGGGCACCAAGAAACTGTTCTCGGAGGGTACGCGCACAGAGAAGTCGCAGTGCTTCCAGCCAGTAACCCCCCTTTCACCGGACGCTGCCAGTTGACAGCCCACGTTGGCAAGGCTTCTCCTTCAACATGCGCACCATACGAGGCGTTCAGATGAAGCAAGGCCAGACTTTGATCCCGTGCAATAACATATCGAGAGACGTCCTGGAAGACGTGGCTCACACTTTTGTTGTAATCAATCCGCAGTGACGGTTCCTCTGAGGTCGGGTCACCTTCAGTAATCACTGTTGTAGTCATTCCCACGACGCCGTAGATGCGATCACGAGGATCAGAGCACTCGCAGGTCGCAGTCCGCTTGAGAACATTCATGATGTCCTTGCGTTGGGGTTGTAAGTCCAGTAGTAGGGGGTTACGATAGTCTCCTAGGCGGCGAGTCAGGACTTCCTCTTGAGAGGCGACCTCGAGCCCGAGTAGTGATCGTTGCAGGGCCCTGGCAAGTTTCCGCCATTTAAACCCAGGGAATTCACTAGTCATGAGATGCAATCTTTGTAGTGTCGTCCATGGTGCAACGGAGTAGCCGCACAGGAAGGCCAGTTTCCTGGCGGCCCACATCTCCTGTCGTACCCAAGTGCGAGGGAACCATTTTCTTCGCGAGAGGTCCCGTAAACCAAAATATAGCACACGCTGATGCATGTCGCAAATGCTCCACAGTGTCGATTGTTGTTTCAAGATAAAGTCGTTGGCCAATCTAAAAGTCGCTTCAGTTTTTGGGCCATGCTCTCCCAGCCACACAACAACAGTATCAGCATCTTGGAAGAAAAAGAAGATGTTCCGAATGTGCGCCGACTTCTCTTTAGGGTCATGCTGATTGATGCAGATGGCATCGATCCAAACTCGGACTGGCCCGCTGGAGTAGCTGAGGCGAACAAGGGCACGGAACAGATTGCTGGTGATGGGATACATCTCATGGTTGACTTTTAAAACCCGATCGAACCGTGGATCTCCCCAGGTGTAAGACAATGCAAAGTATGGGACCAGCTCATTGCGCTCTTTGATGACCAGTCCGCGGCCTCGAGTTACGGTGGCCACATCGAGAGTGGTGATGAGATTGGGAGAGCCCTCCTCGCGACGCAGGATAAGCAGTCTGGTCTCCCATGGATTGATAGGCGTGTACAGTCTCTTCGCGACGATAGTCTGTTCTTCGACATGACCGGCCAGAGGAAAGTCCGTGTCGAGCACATCTAATTGCCTCGCGTCTAGCTCGCAGCCTCTGCAGGGCAGTTGTATTTCGGCAAGAGATGGAGTGAGCGAGGAGATGAAGGAGTTGGGAGGCGGGAGCGTATCCATGAGATGAGGCAAGACCTGTCCAACACAGTCAATGAATTCGTGGGCAAAACAGCCCGGGTTTCGCGTACCAGGCAGGTGGAGAGGTGTGAGCCGATCATGTGCTTTTGTGTAACACAACACGGGCCACCTGCAGGTAAGGACCTTCACTTCGAGCTCCATGAGACTTGGCTACAACATCATCATTCAGCAGAGTTGTTTACAGCCTCGCCCTCGCCTGGTATTCAATCGCAAACGAAAGCTTGGGATCATGATGCATCTCCCAATACCCATCCCAGATCTTCTTCGTTATCGGTCCAACCCTCCCATCGCTCACCTTCTCCCCATCCAACGACGTAATCGGCATGACACCGCCAGCAGTCGTGCACATGAAAATCTCGTCCGCACGATAACACAGCTCGACAGGAACGACTTCCAGCCGAACTTCATACCCCAGCTTCCTCGCCACTTCTATGACGCTCTTGCGAGTTACGCCTTCGAGGACGCCGCGGTCGGGGGTGTAGAGAATGTTGTACTTGATAAGCACGATGTTGAAGCCGGAGCCTTCCGTCAGGTTACCATCGCCGTCCGTCAAGAACGGATAATGTGCTCCTCTATCTGCCGCTTCGAACATCCCTCGGGTCAAATCGCCCCATTGCAAGTTCTTCACCGTGGGATCGAAAGCTCCCGGTGGTGTGCGCCGTACTGTCCTGGCGATGATGGCTGATCCAGTCCCATTGAGTTGCAGCTCGGGTTGCATGACCCAGATGTAAGGCGTTATGAACAGGTACAGGTTATGCGATGCAGGCGCCGCGCCTTGACTTGCGTTCATCATCTGATCCCTCACGCTCTGCATGCCTCTTGTGCAGATAAGCTCGACAAAAGCATCCCGAATCCCACTCTCGCTGACCATCCTCACCAGGATATTCTTAATCTCTGCCTTGGAGATGGGTAGTTTGAGTCGGATCTTGCCGCAGCTGAGTTCAAATCTATCGAGGTGGTCATCCAGGCGGAAGAAGCGGCCGTCCCAGACTGATGGTACATCGTAGGTGAGATCGCTGTGCAGGAAGCCTTGGTCCATGAGTGGGATCTTCGCTTCTTGGAGTGGAACGAGGTCGCCGGCGACCCAAGCGACGCCTTTTGCGAAGGGGTGGCTGCTCTTGGATAGTTGTGAGCATCTTTGCTGGTAGGCCGAGAAGAGTTGTTGCATTGTCGTCATCTTGGAAAAGCAGGAATGTAGCTGTCTTGTCCTTTGACCGTGGCGTGCGGTTGTTATGGCGTCAAATCAACGGTTGTGCTCGTCTTGAAGCCTTTTTGAAGTCGTAAGATGCGTTGAGAAGTAAGATACGTGAAGACAAGAAGAAGAGCTGGAGCTACAACTGGGATGGAGAACAAGCTCCAATGCGGCCAACTTTTTGCCCGAATGTCATCGTCGGGATTCCAGATCAAGATCTGCCGCCTTTCACGTGTGAGCCACTCTCGCTGTGTATGCCCTATGCCATCTGGTTGCAGAAAGCAGACAGAGATGATACGAAGCAAAAGCTTCAGTGCCGCGCAGGCATTATCGCTTCGAAAGTTGAGCATCTGCTTTCGATGCCATGCCGCACATCACACGCTGCGATTCTTGATGCCAGGTATTTTCGAGTCGCTCATATCATACACATTCCGTCTCATCCTCACCTCCTGCCACCAACCGCCCGATGATTCAGGTTCGCTCTTGCCGCGGTTCCCAGCTTGTGCACGCCCTGCCGCTTCTCCCACACGCTGCTCCTGCCCTCAACCACCGCAATCAACTCTTCCGCCACTTTCTGCGCAAACATGTCATTGCCACTGCCTCTGCTCTTGCGCTTCGCAGCAGCATCCAAAATCCACTCGAATGCCTGTCGTCTCCGCTGTCTCAGGCCCAACGGCACAGGGATCTGCAGAGCCACACCACCGCCGGCTGCTCCCCTTTGCGAGCGAATGCGTAGCAGTGGCGCTACACTGTCTACTGCGAGTGTGAGGTAGAGGGTGGGATTGAGCGGGAGATGACTCGCTGGCGGCGCACCAGGGAGCAACGGTCTGGTCTCGCTGTAGGTTGGCGCTGGAGCAGTGCGCAGGATGGTCAGAATGGTGGCCATGTTGCGCTGAGCCACCGACTTCTTGCCATCCTGCATGAGGAGGTTCGTGACCTGCGTGACTACAGGATCGTAGCGGTGGTCTTTGCGGAGGTTGTTGGGGAGCGGCATGGTGGGGAGAGGGAACTTGTGGCCCTTGGAGTCTTCGGGAGCGGGCTGGAGGTGGGAGGAGGCGTCTAGTGCTGCGTCGTACCGGGCGTGTTGCTGAGCTGTGGGCAGCAGTGATGAGTCTAGGGCAGCATCGCCAGGGGGGGAGGAGGTGGGAGTCACCTCTGCCCGTCGCCGTGCCAGCGTGGAGAAGGGTCTCGTGCCGGGCTTGGGGGCGCTGCCGTCCTGCTTGGCCTGCTCCTTCATCACTTTGGGAGCTTGCTGTCGTGTGTCCTTCTCGTTTTGGAGGATCTGTCGTGTCCAATTAGCCTCACATCCATTTCCTCGTCTCTCTTGTTTCCTTCCGTACCTCGTGCACCGGCGTGCCCTGTCCCTCGATGTCCGGCCCCGATCCGCCCTGGATCTTGGCCATCTTCGCCGCCTCCTCGCTGACGTGCTCCTGCTGCTGCATATTGGGGCCGACCTCACCGCCCTCGGCTTTGGGCAGAGTCTTGGACTTATCGTCGGCAAAGGAGCGTGCTGCTGGTCGCTTGACGCCAATCACGGCGTTGCTGGGCCGCAGGACGGTCGCGCGCGGTCGCAGAGCGCATTGTCGCAGGACGGGGAAGGGGTTGATGGGCGACGGCATCTTCAATGGCGGATCAATCAATTCAGGCGGCGCAATTGATGGGGGAGGGTGGATGGTTGTTCAAGCTGCGCAAGGATCGAGGTGCAGATGCTGCCAAGCCCGGCCTCGGCTGCCCCAAACCTTAAATCCAGACGTCACCTCCCAGATTCCAATGCCTCCCAGACACCCGTTTAATCGACATGCGGCGTCGCTCGGCATCTGTCATATGACAAGCTAATCGAGTGAATGATTAATCCAGAGACTCTCATACTGTGGCGGGGCCCGGCGTTAGTCTACTCCTGAATTTCACCACTTGCGCCATTTGCAATCATCCGGTGTTTCTCCCTGCCTCTTCGATATGGGAATCAGCAAGGTCAAGCAGGCTCAGAGAGCTCGTCGAATACGGGAACAGTCTAACACCACGCTCGAGACTATCTCAGCAGCAGGAGTGCACAGGCCCGTTAGAAGTCGGAGGCGAACACATATATCTCTCCTGGATGCGGATATTACTGACCCCCTCCCTCGCTGCACCGTGAGATGGGCCGACAACACGACTTCTGAGATCCCCTTGACCAAGCTTCTCAAACCCAGCATCTGGCACACAATCAGCGGCCTCCAGCATATAGAGGCGTCAAACTCTCGTCCCACAGCTCAAGCCGTCCAGCCAAGACCAGCCAGCACCGCTCTGGCAGACCTCCGACAAGCCAACGAGGCTCGAGCACGACTCGAAGCTGAGCTGGAAGAGTCCAAGTCGCGGAATCTGGCACCCGTGACCCAGAATGAGATGCTGAAGGAATCCTCTGACCAGGATGCCTGCGCTGTCAAGCTTCTGAAAACGAGAGCGAGGAAAGACATCCTAACCATTGCCAAACTGAAGACGCAGGTGCACCAATTGCGAACCCAGATGCAAAGTCTAGATGCGGAGCGGAAAGCCTTGAAAGTTGGTGAGTACATACAGCTCCAGTAACACCAATAACCCGAAGACATTGACTGATACTGACTCGGACAAGATCTCGCTAGGGTCAGCAATGCTGTCGTGTCGTGGGGCTTTCAGGACGTCGATGCCATCCCTATCATTTGACAAAACAGTGTAGATCTACTGTTTCGAACTAAGAAATGCGCCAGACTCCCCGTTTGACCTTTGCCAGGGCAGCACCTTCAGCTTCCTGCTTACATGGACGCGGAATACTGCTTCCTTGATCCTCTGCTGTTGAAGATTCAGCAATCCACCAAATAAGGAAACTCCATCGCGTCGAAAGTGTTATGATCTTGTGAGCATCTCCTTCGACCCAGCAGCTGCGAATGAAGCCGACAAAGCATACCAAGGCACCCCATTCTGATTATGCAGGGCTTGCTGCGGAACACTGACCCTGCAGTTGGACTGCCACTGGTGCGCATCTTTGACGAGATTGACCCTGCCCGCGTTCGTTGCCCGCTGCGGAGAATTGCCCCTCGAAAAACGCTCGTTCCTGTGGTTCATGCGAGACCACGATCTTCCGGACCCTGAGGCATGTCCGTGGGAGCAGGGTTCCCGGAGTCCGGCTCCCTGCAACCCAAAGGTTTGCTCCGTTGCAGGCCAATGCACTTCGCGACTGCTCCACTGGTACATTGAATTGAATTCGCAACCGTCGCCCTGTCTCGCAGTGGCAGATTCGAACCAGACGCAGAGACAGCCACCAGATTGTCGTCGACGAGGCCAGACTCTGCAAGGACGGCTGCTGGGAACATGTAAAGAGCACGACCACCGCAAGGTGTTGCGACAAAGAAGAATCCCGGGCATCATATAGAACGATGCACAGAAGAACAACGTAGCAGCTAGCGTCTTCCGCGTGAGCTTAGAGAAAACTGCAACTACCTGTTCGGGCTCGAGGGTCTTCTTCTTCCCGCTGGAAGAGGTGGGCAGGAGTCCGTCGTGACATGCACTCCATCGTCGATTCGATTTTTTCCATCGACGATGTGGCCACATACGCCTTCTCTCTCTGCAGACATAAGATGTCTGTGTCTGTATGCGTGGAGCAACCTCCCAACTTCACTCCATCTTTCGAAGAGGCGCTCTACTCTGCTCTACTAGAATTGCGCCTCCACATCATTCAACCAGGCATGGCTTCTCAATTATCTGGTCTTGTATTTGCAGGCTCCAATCTTAGCCCGTCGGTGGGTGAGGACTTCTTCATCCCGCCTTCGAAACAAGGCACTTACCACATGGACTACACTGGTGTGTTTGATGACTTTTCCTGCCGCGGCTCGGCCATTCATCAAGCCACACGACCTGACAATGCCTCAACGACTTCGCTTCCGTACCCGCCGCGCGGCAGTTCAAGACGAGCTAGACGGCGATGGATCTGGACGGTCAAGGGTTTGTTTCTGCGACTGGAGACCATTGTCGAGGAAATATGAAAGAAGCTTTGGTCTTCATCTCGGACAACATTCCATCCTGCAGAAGCCTTCTGCCGTGTCTCATGGCGAATCGGCAACGAGAACATACATGACGCTGCAAGACGTTCCCGTGCAAGCTTGTGGAGCGGGTGTCCGGTCTGGCTTGTGCTGAGTTCAGGCCTAGAGCACAGAGTCTATGCCGAGATGCAAGGTCTTCTCAACACTCCAAGAAAAGTTCCAAAGAGAAGAATGCCCGAGTGGGAGCGGCCGCGTCTGTGACGCCGAATACAGGTGCATGGGAAGTAGGGTGCTCCGGCTTCCATATCCCGTGATCCGGTCCAAGATTGGACCCTGCAGCAGAGCTTCCACGACGTCCAACTACCACGAACTTCACTCGCCGGAGCACGCCAGCCGGCCTTCCGTAACCGCCACGAACATACAACAACACCCCGAGCGAGATGATTATGATGAGTTGATGATGGGTCACGAGCTCCAGTGCATGAACGCTACAATGAGAACTGCAAGATATACGAGAAGAAAAATTGCCTTGTCGCTGCCGGCAGACACGCATCCGATTATGTCTGCACCGACCAGCAGCCACTTGAAGAAGTAAAGATGACGGCTTGTTCTGCGACGGAGCTTGGAAGTGCTGGTCCGTCTGAGACATGGATTTCATCACCGGCGGGAATTGGTGCACGGCGATCAGCACTCCTATGTTGGATGTGAAAAGGAGTCACGAAAGAAAGATGAACGCCGTCCTGCTGCTAGGCACATGCACAACGACCGTTGGAGCTACAAGGAGCAAGAATAGCCCAAGGATGCTGCTATCCCATGCGATTTGCACCGATCTGAACAACAGATCTCGCTGGACTCTCCTAACCAGGTCTCCTCTGCCGTCTCCAAGGGGCTTTCACATGAAGTAGTGTCGATCGCCGTTGACATTAATTGCATCTGGGCCTTTTGCCAGAGGCTCTGAGCGATGCGTACCAACACATGAATATGAAGAGAAGCTCCACCTCCACGAGCTCAATGTTTTGAACGTACCTCTCCACTTTCTTCACCACGTCTTTCCTTGGTCGCTGCTATGGATCACCTCTGCCCACGAGAGTGCCTTGCTGGCGCTGTTTGTCTTGTCTGCTTCTCGAGACCGGATACAGAACTGGACACGTATGTCGGACCAAGGACGGTCGGGACTCCTGGGAAGCGGTCGGCCACTCTGTCTCCCAGCCCCTCGAGGTCAACTCTGAGCCCACTCTTCATCAACGATGGACATCATGCAAGGCCAAGGACAGCTGGCCCTAACCTCACAAGCACGGCTTCAGGCATTTCCCGCCAGCCATCACCACTACCTTCGCCTTCACCATGCCCATCCCGGATGGCCATCAGGGAAAGCACAAGACCCAGCCGCTCCCTCTTCCAACGACTAGTCAGCAAAGTCGGACCTCACATCAAGAAGGCAAGATCTTCGCCGCCAACTTGTCGTCTTCCAAAGACGCCGTCCACACTGTCATTGTCGTCACTTGCATCTTCTCTTCGGCCCAACGACTCTGCCGTGGACCTCTCACAGCTTCGGCTGCGTCCAAGCAAAAGTTCGCTGAGGCATGATGCGAGAATCTCAGCCGAGAGATTGCGATGAATGCAGTGTCACCAATTGAGAGATGGGGAAACGAGCAATCAGTCCGTGGATGGGACAGAGACTACACCAAAGAAATGATTGAGTGTCGATATCATATTACAAAGTCGAGGAGCTCGGACTACGTGAAGATCAAGTCGCCTTCATTTACGCCTTTGCTCTCCCGCCAGACAACAAGAATGCTACGCAAGAAAAGAGTCGTGTCGCTGCACGACGAGATCAGAATAGATCCAGCATTTGTCAAGTTGGAAATGCTGTCACTGTTCGTGGCGAGATCCTAGTGACTTGCCAAGATCAGATTCAGCGTCGACTGGCGAAGAATTTGACTTCAAACCCAAGGTCTGAAGATGTGAAAGAGAGCCAGAAGATGCGCACGATGAGAGGAGGGTGCGGGTGGGAGAACACGTCCGGAGCGGCGTCGGGAGTTTCAGCGCCATCAAGGGCCGTGGAGGTCAAGTTGTAAACTGCGAGGGAGCGAGATAGCAAAGTTCTGTCGAGAATTAAACACCATTCGGTCAATTCCTTCTTCACCGACGTTCGAGAGAGCCTGATATTCTCAATCGCCTGCTTCACGCTGTTCCACCTTCTAACAGCAAGCGCCAATGCCCTCTCCACAATTCCCATCTGTCCCTTGCAGATGACACGTTGCTCCTCCACCTTCGCATGGACCGAACGAGGTCCACACGCAAGGGCCACTTCCACAGTAGCAATACATCTGTCGAATCATTGTCAGTCGAAGGTTACATCCATAGCCTTGGATATGTGACAAAAACTCACCGGCATGGTCTTATCAGTGCTGCATGCCCACTCGGGACTGTCAGGCACGCAAAGCGGCTACTTACTCCCAATCTTTCTCCAGATATCTATATCCTCATGTGTCCGGAGCTCTTCGCTGAACGCCGTCCAAATCTCAATGTTAACTCACCCATCTCGGCGGAGAAGTCAGCGTGGGAGTTTGTGGCTGGCACATTCGTCCACGAATTACTCCACGTTATATCCGATGACTGTAAGTCGGAATCCATCAATTGGGAAACGTGCATTGCTCATGTGCTTGTGCCAGTCAACGATCGTGTGTTTACTGACCCCAATGGAGTGAGAACGCTTCCGCACGGGCCACTAGCAATATTTGCGATCCCGAATCAAATAGGGGCGAGTGGAGGAAAGGTCTGGAAGGCCAACATTGGTGCCGTCACGACTATCAATCAGCCTAGCGGATACCAAATCTTCTCAGAGGAGTGTCAGTATCCCGGTACGAAGTGGTCCGTTGACCAACAACAGTAGGCATGTTCGTTGGAGGTGGGGATGAGACGCAGAGAGTGGACAGAGAGACTGCCAGCTTGTTAGATAGTAAGCTTGTCGTGAGGCTCCAGAGCATAATGATACAACTCCCAGTATACTGAAGCAAGAGCGCACGTCTTGCTCCAGTGCTGAGCCCATCTTGTTCTATAGCATCGATCTCGGCCGTCTGGATGTTTTCCTGGAGACAAAACGAACACTTCAAAGTCAGATGATGGATTTGTTATTGAACAACAGGCAACAGAAGCTGAATGTGTACCTATGTGGACGGCGGTAGCTGCTGCGCTAGCGTAAACTATGATTTCCAGGCTGCCTATTTAAACCGGTCAGCTGCCGCTCTTTTTCAAGCCATTCTCACTCAGACTACTTTTAATTGCTCACGGCCTCCTTCGCCAGCACGATCGCCAATAGATCACTGCTTCATAATGATGGGCTACAAAGGGAAGGCGACGACTAGTGTGACGTCGCTTTGCTCTTTACCCAGAGATATTCTTTTCAGCATCAGCGACATTCTCCAACGCGAAAGCCCAACATCCCTGTCTTCTCTCAGCCTCGTCAATTCGCAGCTTCATCGCCTGGCGCAGTATTGTCAGCACCAGCACGTCAGGATTGAGATTTTGGGCGACACCCTGATCAAGCGATGCGCAATCATTGAATCAAACGGTCTCGAGGCTGCCGTCCGACAGCTCACACTCGTCGATATTCCCGGTGGCAATATGCAACCTTGCTCGAAATACCGTCAGCACATTGACATGATCGGTCGGGTGTTACCAAGATTTACTGGGCTGAAGTCTCTGGATTATCGTGGGAACAGTGTTCCTGCGGCTATTCTGAGCATTCTTGCACCACAAGTCACTCTATCTGCGACGTTCCCTGGCTCTCCGAAAACGAGCCCCGCAGACGAACTACTCATGCGATTGTACAACAACGAGAACCTCTCGACTCTCAATGTCCAGTTCACGTGGATCCACGAGTCGGAGTGCCGACGCATCATGCGTCACTTGAAGGAAGTGATACTCACCTGCCCCAATCTGAAGTCGTTGACTCTGGACGTCTCGCAGCCAACAAGCGGGTGCGTTCCGTCTTCTCAGCCTATCGAGTACGTCGGGCTTGGGTTTGAGTATGGCGAGAAGATAGCACCGCTTGAAGAGCTCATCTTACTTAATTATGGATTTGGGCGGGCATCACGAAGCCCTACTTCCGATGTTCCGAGCGACGTTACTGGCATTGTCGTTGCCAATGAAATTGACTACTGGGTGGAATCTTTCGACTGGTCAAGGTTGAAGAAGCTGAAGACCGGATACGAAAAGTTCGCTCTCAAGGCTGCAAGCCAGTTTACAGCTCTTGAAGAAGTTCACATTTTGAACAGCTGGCGAAACCCGACGATGCATGAGTTTTTGAACCAGGTTGCAAACTCATTGCGGACGATCTCTGCTCCAACTCTGAGACAAGTCTCTCTTGATGGGCTTATGTGCCATGCTGGCACTCTAGAGACACTTCGCCTTCATCGAGCAGAAGACCACCAAGGCACTTGGCAGGGAGACTGTATTGATCTCGACAGCCTGGGCCAGCTTCAGTCCGGTTTACCATGTCTGCGGGAGCTAAGTGTGGATATCGCTCGCTCTGGGCGTTGGCCACTTACCGTTTTTGACGCCTTTGCTGGCTTCAATCGACTTCGAATATTGGATATTTGGTTTGAGCTTGGCCTTCAAGACTTCGAGCACCCGGTCGAGCCTCAGCTCACATTTGATACTGCCAGAGACGTCTGCGAGTACCTAAGGTCCCGGTGTCCTAAGCTACAGAGGATGCACCTTCACTCTGGTCACGCTCCACCCATTGGTTTCGGCTTTCCCTCTGTTCAAGCCTTCTGGCCGGAACAAAACAGCACATCATTTGTTTGCGAGCGGTCTGAACGAGATGATGCAGTTGCGAATGATCGTTTCATTATTACATGTCCTAGACTGGAGCAGCGAGAGAAGAGTCTTCGTCGGGAGGAAGAACGAGAAAGGGGTAATCGGAAGCCAATCGGTGCTCAGCTCCGGAACCATCTACATAAGACGTTCAAACCTACGTCCTACCGCCGGAGAAAGACAGCCGAGGATGCTTTTTCTACGATTGGTAGATCACGACGTCTACGGAATGAAGCATCTCTAGTTGCACAGCAAGGACCAACACCTGTGAGTCTTTGGGAAGGCCATTACTGGTAGACCAATGTTATAAGCCGACGGACCACGCTGGCAAAGTCCGAGACTGCGCCGGCATGCCTTCCTATAGATCGCCAATGTTGCAACAGTACTGGTCATTTTCTCGGAATCAAAAACCCTTTGAAGTATTTCTCAACCGGATCAAATTCTTCCAGCCCGCCTTGGTGCGCCACATAACCGTCTGGCCTCAACAGTGCTAGTCGCCCCTTGTGACGATCCACCCCATACTTCTCATACGCTGAACCGATGCGGTGCCCGAATCTATTGGTGATGTCCTCATCGTAGAAGACCTTGTCGTAGTTGTAGCCCAGCTCAGGATGGAACGGATGGAAGATGTCGGGTAGATCGAGGAGGTCGACCGTCAATGAACTTGTGGTGTGTACAAGGATATTATCAAAGGTCGAGTCTGCTTGACAGCCTGGCAATGAATACTGCTCCATCAGAGTACGGATCCACTTGGCAAGGGCTCTGAGTCGCTCCAAGTGCGCTGAGTCGGACACATCTCCGGCAAATACCACAAATCGAAATCGGCCGTCACTGCGGAACGACTTGCCAAGATACTCGATGGCGGCATCGGCATGCTTACGGACTTGATAAGACGGCATTCTCATGCCAACTGTGATACCTGATGGCAGTTTGCCCTGATCCATGACAGAAGACGCGGCTTCAATCGTATCTGGCGATGAGAGGGTAATGCTGCTTGGTGGGTAGATGACCTGCAGTCCGTGGATCAGGGGTACAAACTTGTGGGTGATTATACTTTCCCAGGTGACCCTAAAAGTCTTAATGCCAGGCGGTGGTTTGGGAGGCTCGTTGCCGGAGATGATAGCAGCCCACTGTCGGTCGAAATCGACGAGTTGTTGGCCAAGGACAAGTCTTTCCGAATGATACGTTTCCAGCAGATCTGGTTTAGCCAGGCCTTTCACCACCAGGTTGATCTTCCATAATAAGTTGTAAGTATCTGCCATACTGACATTCAACCCTTGCCCAGCCTGAGGCGAATGAGTGTGTACAGCGTCACCCGCAAGGAATATGCGGTCAGATTCATGAGTGTTATGGGTTGCAACACGCTGGCCGACCCGGTATGCTGCCCACCATTCACACTTCTTGTAGGTGAGCGTGTACGGATGCAACATTTTCTGTGCTGCTGCCAGAATCGTGTCTGGGGTTACGCTTGACTGGATAAATTTCCCGTGCTCATTGCTCTTCGCCGAGCCCACGACAGTGTAGACACGGATCATGCCACGTTCTCGCGCAATCCACATGAGACCAGTGCCTCGTCCTTGGATGATGCTGTTCGTTCTAGCGCTCGCTGCGACCTGCGTTAGCACTATAAGATCGATAAGTTCAGATTTGACCGCCACTGACGAAAATCTGTCAAGGGATGAATGTCCATGACTCCCCAGATGACATCCATATCGTCGCCAATCATTGGAATCTGGAGATTTCGGCGGATCCAGCTGTGAGCACCGTCGCACGCAACGACGTATCTGGCTTTTATGATCTCGTCTTGGACACCCGGTCTGCCCGTCGTCGCAAGCAGCTCCTCGTCGTTATCAACTCGAATGTCATTGTCGGCAGTGAAGCTCGCCATCCCGCCATTTGTGGATATGTTGCGAACTGTGACTCTCACAGGGTACTCACTACCCTGCTGAACCGATATACTTTCCGTCATGAGTCCCCTCTCAACTTCGATGTCGGAATGCTGGCGGACATAGTCTAGGAGTATGTGTGCCATCTTGGCTTGGGTCAGCCCCACTGAGGTGAATGGGGATGGCGGCTCCCATGTGCGAGAGGAGGCAGCCTGCCGCGTGACTCTTCCGTCAGAACCTTGAACCCAGCTGTGGGTCATGGTAAATTCGTTGCCATGCTGTAGCACTGCATCAGCCAGACCAAAGGTGTCTAAGATCTCCATCATTCTGGCATGAAGACCGTCGCCATGACCAGCCGCGAGTTTTTGTGGACGCTTGTCTATGATGCGGGCATTAAGCCCGTAAGCTGCGGCGCACGCAGCGGCCATCGTTCCTGCTGCTCCTGCTCCAACGATGAGTACATCCGTGAAGGACTGTTTCTGGTCCATTTCTGCTCTCATTCGGCTCGAGTGGGTCTATACTACGAACTAAAAATATATATAGTGACCTGGAGAAAGGTTGCAGTGGGGCCCACTAGCACTCGAAGATTGGAGACCGCACGTTCAAGGAACTGGTCGTCGCTCAGCTCTTTTAAAGACATATTTGCTCATCCTACAATCCAGTGTAAGCCCTAGCCCTTAACAAGGGTTGCTTACTTGGTTGACTAGGAGCGAAATGTTTGCGAAGGATTCGCTCGAGGTTCCTGCATTTCTGTGCGGACATAGACGACGGATAGCCTGATTTGTTGCGGTGCCAACATACATCGGGCCAGGTGGCAGCTGCTTGTACGTTGGTAGGAAACCAGATTCAAATTCGTCGTTCTCACAGATCTTAACAACGACCTTTGCCTCCTCCGAACAACGTACCCTCTCCTGATGGCGGGTTCCACGACGAAGGTTGGGAAATATCTGCATGAATTAGGGACCGAAAGGTCGAATACTTCTAGAAGTCTTGTCATTTTGAGAAGAGCACTTGAGGTTGTTTGGCGTAGAAGTTGAGAACTGCATCCAGTGCATTAGCAATCCCCAGTTTCTTACTCGCTTCGTGGAATTGCGATAAAGTGCAAGTTATGATGTTATCAATCCGACGAAATAAAACAAGCTTGAAGACTGATGTGACCAGTCTTCCCTCGATGTTCCACTCAAAACGGAAAATTGGTTGCCGTTACTGCTAAACCATCCAAGTAGCTTGGAGTACAGTCGGCAACACCGTTGTTTGTGGAACGACGAGGAGATCGCAAGTCCCTACGTTTCACTTGACGAAAGCCCAGGCAGGATTTCAGGCATTTAAGCATGGTCGTGTGGACGGGAATTCGAAAGCCCGAAAGTTCACTGACCAGTATTCGGTGATGCAGGAGCCTCATGCTTACCAACCGTATGGCGATTGTCCCCTGTTGATTGGACGCTTGCATCGAGTGTGTGGATAGTCGGCCGCAGCGCTCTCTAGACGCTGTGTGAGAATACGGGCGTTTCCTCTGGTGAGGCTGCAGAGGTATTGACGGCCTTGGCTCCGGTGCTCATGTTACCTCAGCAGCCCAAGGCTGTATCGACGGGCCAAATTTCCTCCGCTTCTGTTAGCCAAGGGGCTATAGCACCTATCATTATCTCAGACCTTTCACGTTGCTTTGAAATACAATAACCGGACAGAATGTAGCATAAAAGTAGCACGCTCCCAGTGGGACATTTGAAAGTCAAGTCGTCCTCGTCTAAACCACATGTCTAAACTCATTGTTGTCACAGGGGTCACCGGCACCCAGGTGAGCTTGAAGGCTAGGCTACAACGGAACTGATTCTAACATGACAGAACAGGGATCCTCAGTTGCGGAGACCTTTCTCAGCCTGCCCGGCTGGCGAGTTCGTGGTATCACACGCAATCCATCTGGCAAGGCTGCCACAGCGTTGGCGGAAAGTGGCGTTGAGATTGTCGAAGGCGACCTCGATGATCTGACTTCGCTTCAATTAGCGTTTGCTGACGCTAATGTGGTGTTCTGCAACACCGACTTCTTCGGCCATCTCTTCCAAGCCGTCGGTACTGGCCATCCGCAACCCCTGAAGCATGCATACGATAGGGAAGTCCAACAGGGAGTCAATATCGCCCAGGCTGCGGCTACATCCAAGACTTTGAAGACTCTCGAGCTTTTCGTATTCTCTGCTCTGCCAGACGGAAAGAAATGGAGTAATGGAAAGTACACCCACTTCTACCACTTCGACTCTAAAGTCGATGTCGTCAAAGCCATCAACGATCACTTTCCAGACTTGGCCGAGCACATGAGTTTGCTGCACATCGGTCACTACGTTGAGAATTGGAAGTCATCGCCCTTGATGGCTCCAGGGAAAGATGAAAACGGCACTTATGTGTTCAAAAGAACGTTCTCCCCGGACTTTGCCATGCCATTCATTGTGGCCAGCAAGGATACTGGACCTTACGTCAAGGCGCTCGTCGGTCTCCCACCCGGCCAAAACATCTTTGCGGTATCTGAGTACATGAAGTTACCAGATTGGGTGAGGCAGTGGGGCGATGTCTTGGGTGTGAAGGCCAAGTATCAACAAGTCTCGGATGATGAGTTCTTCGAAGGTGCACCACCAGCTTTCAAGCAAGAATTCGTGGACAATTTTCACTACGTGGAGGATTTCGGCTATACTGGAGGTGATCCGGACATCAAAACGCTTGATCAGGTACGTCGTAAAGTATGCAGTGGTAGCACGTTGACCGCTAATGTGTCGCAGATTGGTGTTGGTGTTTCAGTGACTTCTATGAAAGATTACTTCAAGGGAGAGGACTGGTCGTCGGTCCTTTGATGCTACGGCTTTACCACCACGGTCTTACCAACGCCTGCATTTTCAACGGCAGCGTCCCACGCTTCGTGCCATTTGTCAAGTGGATAAGATCCTACAATCTCGGTCCCACTGGGGTTTCCGAGCTTCAATATCCCGTTCTGCACCATATCAATGAGCTCCACCACAGCCTTAGGCTCGTACATGTACCTGCCATGTAGAGAAATGTTCTTCGCCCTGCGGGTAATTGTTAGCAGATGAAGGTCTCAGCTTCGAATTGACCTTCGCAACGTACACGATAAGCCCATGCGGGATGGCAAAATCCTCTCGGTAGCCTCCCATGAAACTGACTTGGCCACCGGGGTTAGAGAGCTTGGAGACAAGACTTGATCTGTGTGCTGTTGTGAGCCTGCATCGGACCAATGTCCAGGTATACGTCGATTTTCCCAGCCTTTTTCAACTCATTGGCATCTGCTTGCATATCTCCAGTAATCGGAACAGTCTGGAGGCGTTCGGCGTACGGAACGTTTCGTCTCAATTCAGCCAGCTTGCTCGTGTCGCGTCCCATTGCAATCACTCTGGCTCCCATAGCGAGGGTGAGGAGGACTCAGCACCGCCGAAAGGCCCATTTGCCGGTGCAATGATGACTGTCTGTCCTGGTTTCAGGCCATTATCTCGAAGACCGCTGAACGGTACCAGAGCCGTGGTTATGAAGTTCAGTTCCTCAATCTTGTATCCCAGCCCACCTGAGGATGGTTCGCCCAGCAGCCGATCTGCGTTCAAAAGTGTCAGATTCTCCAATGGAGCAAGGCAGTACTCCGCATATGTCCAATCTCGGTATCCTTCGGCCATGAGCTTCTTGGACCCAGACGAGAAGCCATCGTTGACCCCCGCCAGGCAAGCGTCGCTTTGGTTGTCCCTGGATCGGAGTATCATGTCGATAAACACCACATCTCCCCACTTCAGCTTTGTCGCATCTGGACCCGGCTCAACTATGCGGCCAATAGCTGATGTACCAATCGTCAAGGGCATGGGCAGAGAGATGGGCCGTTTCCCGAGGTACATGTCTCGCACGAAATGAAGTACTGTAGCACTCAGAACTCGAACAACCGCTGCTCCTCGAGCGGCTTTTGGTGTAGGAACAGTCTCGATATTTGGTCCATCGGATGGCGACCGGATAACCAACGCCTTCATCGTTTCGGGCAGACTGAATTCGTTTGACATGGTTTGCAATGCTTCTTGGCTGTAGAGCAACGCAGAAAAAGCGCAATGTCATATCATGACTCTATCTTCTATTTGGTCATCAAATACACTGAGGCTAGCTATGGACTTCAGCAAGGCTGACCTGCTGTATACCGCTTTCGTCAATTAACCCTAGCTGGGTCCATGCAAGGGGCCAAGAGGCTCATACATTTGCTGCGGTGATAGCGGCGATAAGCCTTGCTGTCACGGGCTTCCGTCAAAATTAGCGAGTCTGGTTTGTCAATCCATCCCATTTCACGAGATACGTTGACGAATTCGTCGAAGTAGGCGAGGTAAGGTGCTCATTCGTGAAACAGAAAGAGTTGCGAGCATCGGCAGACTTTAGAATGATCTGTGCCGAAGGGCTCGTGTTCAGTACGCAAACTTGCTCCAACTCCTGATTTTCTTCCCGTACAGGTAGAAGAGGATGGGAAACGGCGTCAACGCGATAGCCAAAAAGCCTAACAGACTTGTTGCCCACGGCACACCGAGGTTTGTGTACATCTGAGTCGCGAACAAGGGAAAGCCGGCAGCGAGAGCGCTCCTCGCAATGGTATTGGCAGCCAAAGCACTATTCGCGTTCGCCAGGTAACATTCCAGGAGATATGTCTGACAGGCTGTGAATAGCAGGAAGATACCCGCCCCGATAAACCCCCCTGCCAAGACCTGGGGCACCCAAGTTATGCTGGGAAATGATGTCCATGCGAACCAGAAGAGGCTAGATTATCACATGGTTAGCCTGGACCAACTATCCGTTCCTTATAAGCTACACCCGACTCACCCAATTATGAAGAGAAAGCTGCCGATGATCATGGGGGGAAGCTGGTCTTCAGGCTCGCGCGGCCGGCCTTGTGCTTTGGCCCGGTTGCTGGTGAGACGTCCGATCGTGTAGAATGCTGCGAAGCCCAGGTCGAAGCCCACAGCCAGAGACAAGAAGGGGAGCGAAGATACACCGCTCTCCCAGCCACGGACTGTGCCAAAGGCGTACGGGTAGGCTTCGAAGGTGAGGTACATGACGGCATAGATGAAGGCGTTGTATGCGGTCACGGCCGCGAGGATGGGCTCCTGGAACAACATTTGCATTGGCTTCACGCCATAGGTTCGGATGAGATGTTGGATTTCCACAGGGCTTTCGTCCAACTTGGCATGTAGTGACCAGTTGTTGGTTTCATAGCGTACTTTTGCAGCCTTGCGCTTGAGTAGCAATGGACCCCAAGACTCCGGAATGAAGAGAGATAGAACCAGGAATGGAGAAGATATGATCAACGTGAGCCTAGATTTGGTCAGCACAAGATTCATAAAAGCCGTTCTTCAAACACTGGTCTCATACCACATGGTCCACCTCCAACCGAGGCTGTCGTTCTTGACAGTAAAGCTGCCTATCACTGGGGCGATCTAGCAGCAGGTGTCAGCGGGTGGAGAGCAGAACATCCCAACCTCGTAATGACAACTTACTCCCGGGCCCAGAATGATCGTGACAGCCCAAGACATCATCGCAACAGTTCTTGGGCCTGCGCTCCACATATCAACTAGCATCCCCGGAACAACCGTTACCGTAGCGACTCCCCAAGCGCCCTGCATGAATCGACAAATCATTATTGTGTAGAGGTTCTGAGCCGTAGCAACGCCGATGGTGAAGCACATGAAACCGACGAATCCTATCAAGAATGGTCGAATCCGTCCAATGACCTCACTCAGAGGTGCCCATGCTAACGGCCCTACGAAGCTGTCAGAGACGTAAGAGTCTTCTTACTTATGGATCGTGAACGTACCGGCTGCGAAGCCCAGAACATAAAGTGCTATCGTGAGACCGATCACGGTCGGACTGACACCATAATCTTGGGAGAGAATCACAGTTGCGGATGATAGAACGCTGCTGCCAAACGTGACGACGAATGTGCACGAGGCGACGACGAGGGTCACGTAGAGCTTTTTGGCCAGCCTCCAGTTCTGCGGATTGTGAGAGTCGTTTGGCCCATCCCAAACAACAAGACTGTCCACATTGTGAGTATCTTTTGGTGTGTGCTTCTCCTCGTCTGGTATTTCCATATTGTTCTCCTTGCTCTTTATGGAACTGTCGTCTCCTTCGACGGTCTGCATGTCGGATTCTTGGGGCGCTGGTGATGCCTCAAACTCAAGGCTTGTCGGGGGAAATGGCAGTCTTTTGAGGAGCGAAAGTGATGGTTCGTAAGCGCTGCGGTATCAAGTCTGCATACTTTGTCATTGATGAGATCGCCGTCCCTTTTTCTGCGGCCGTAGACATGTCTCTAGCCTCGGGGCCGGATGTAGATATCAACGAGCAACCAATACTGATCACCAATTTGTATCCATCGGATCTATCGGGTAGTCGCAAAATACCGTATGTCCAGCAGGGATTTGAGATATCCTCCTTGGACACACTTCTCGCAGCCCGTCGCCAAATGTGGTATGTGTGCTTCACTGATCGCTCAATGCGGCATGTGTTCGACGGCAAGTCACATGGCTTTCAGTACGCCATGATGATGTTCCAGGAAGAGGATCCCCTCCTGAACACACTCTTCTAATGCAATGAGATAGGTATTGAGGACTGTAAACACTTTCTGATTGCGGAGACTATATTGTTTCAACAAACGAAATTGCATGTAACTAAATTTCGTCTCCTTCATACCTATCCATCGTTCCAATCTGTTCCTATTCCACCACTAACCTGTGAAACAGGTAGCGATTTTGACCAATTCCGCACATGGTACGATCATGGCGCGCCCGGGTATGCTCCAGTGTCGTACTTGGGATTGGCTGGGTCCGTCAAATCAAAGACAACAGTAGAGTGCGGCCTGGCGCCGCCGCGGTTCGAAAAGACCTGTGGGAAGTTGATGGAGCGGTTGAAGCTGAGGCGGCCGTCGTCGAGAATATCGATGTACTGAGCGACGTAGTCCGAGGGAGTGTTGAGGATGCCAATGTCGCCAGTCTGAACAAAGTAATCGGTAATGACAACATTTTTCTGGTCTGGAGTGATCTTCAGGTAATGAGGACCGACAATCGGCTGAACCTCACTGTCGGAATCCAGTCGTTTGACGTTGTCGAGATCGGAGATGTCGAGCTGGTAGACGTGGTTGGCAGTCGTGGCGGTGACATACATGTATTTGCCGTCGCTGGTAATGGCGGAGAAAATGGCGACGGTGTTGCGAGCCTTCTCCCCCAGATCGAAGAGAAGCTCTGCCACACCAGGCTTGCCAGAGACGGGGTCGGTGCGCTTTGGGTAGATGATCCAGATCTGACCGAGTCCCACCGCAGTCGCTACCGCAGCACCCTCCTTATTTCCTGGGATGAGCTTGACATCCTGAATCCCACCGCCGTTCGGGATCTGAACGCTATTGAGAATAGTCCGGGTGTTGAGGTCCCACAGGCGGACACTGTGTCCTCCAACGATGCCGGCACTTGGCTTCAGAACGGTGATTGGAATGACGAAGTCAGAAGTATAGATGTAGCCGTTATCATAGTCGACGGCGAGGCCGTGGGGCGAGAACTGGCTGTCGAGCACACTCAGCACGCCGGGGACATCTTCTGGCCACTGGTGGATGATGTTGTAATCTGCGTCGGTCTCAATGAGGCGACCTGGAGAAGTTCCGACTGCAGAGCCCATATAGGTGAAGAAGAAACCCCCGTCAGGCTTTGCAACCACATCGTCGGAGATAGAGGCGAGGAGAGCTCGATCACTCTTCAAAAACTTTGGCTCGTCTGCGAGAAGTGGCCAAGTCAGCTGATATCTCGATCATGAAGCAGAGGGGCGAATGCTCTTCGGAGGACGTACATGGGTTGCTGACGTCGAAATAGAATCCGGTGTCTTGGGTCTTTAGGAGCGACAGGAGACCGCCAGCCCAGAGCGTCTTTCCATCAGAAGAGACACCTGCAGGGTAGTTAGTGATGATAATTGCGCGAACTTGTGGTTTGTTGGCAACGTACCGAGATGATGCGGGCTGTTGCCAGACGTTGGCACCGAAACTAGACGCAGCAGAGTGCCAAAGGTGTCATCGTCCAAGCTGAACGAGGCGAGAAAGTCGGCGTGCTGGTTGTCTCCCGAGCCCGTCCAGAAGTAGCCGATCTTTTTTGGCTTGATGTTGCTTGGAGTGTAGGGCACTTCAGGGAGCGGCGGGGTAGGCAGTTGGAGGATGGGGAGAGGGGGAGCATTGCTGGAAAGGGGCTCCGTCACACCGGGAATAGAAGGAATGAGAGGGGGCAGCGAGATCTGCCGCTTGGTTGGGGTGTCTTTTGGTGCAGCGGTAGCCAAAGCCAGAAGGCTGGCGAGGGCGAGCTTGGAGAAGACCATGGCGAGCTATGAGATGCAGGGACACGGGGAGGCTGTTTGGAGATTGAGTTATTATGAGCAAGTTTGAGGCATACGCCGTCCCGGTGCCAGTATTTATATTCCGCCGTCGTCTACGTTCACACTTCAAGCCTCTCGTTGTGATGCTAACCCTTTTCACTATCACCTCCGTTGAGATGCGCTCCAGGATGCAATGCAGCATTGTGTGTCGATCCGCGTGATGCTAGGACAGACGTTAGATGCTGGAGTGCTGACGACTGAGACGCCTCAAATCACGAACATCGCTGTCGAAACCAATGGTGGGAGCGAAAAGTCCCAAGTGGAGTTGCTTTCGACTTTGTTCTTCGGTGGATATCCTGAGGCCGCAGCTCTCGGCCGTCCCAGCGCCAACATGGATCGACCTACGACTGCCTGGACGAGACGACAAGAACGACTTCGACCTCTGGATGAGGAAAGACGCAGCGCTAGTCAGTGGAGGCACATGAAGGAGGGCGCCACAGAGCTAACGGCGGCAGCAAGTGCGATCGAGCAAGGACTGATGTTGGTCGGGGCGGACAGCCGATTCGACACATGAGGCAAGCGGCGACATTGAGAAGTCACAGTCGAGGATGGCGGCTGTCTCTTCGTTAGCCTTGGCGCCTTCATCGCCGTCGAATATGGCGACATGGCTGGGCGTACGCAGTGGCTTTCACTTTTCAGGCTTGAGCGAGACGAGATCCTGCGGACCGACCATCTCCTGCAGTCACGAGCCTTGCAAATAGTGCATGTGGCCGATCATATGGAAACTTCGGCTCTGGGAGCAAGTCTCCTCCTCACGGACCTTCTCCTGCAAGCCAATGTAAGGCTAGCATTCGTTGATGAACGCCAACAAGGCGTCTTCAATGACCACAAGACCTTCGACTTTGATGAACATCAGATACATCTCCGCATTGTCGTGAAGATGGCCTCCTGTGCTGAGTTGTTTGGGTCATGCCGCCAAGTACATCTCGAGCTTACTTGAATCTCGAACAGTTGCTTCCAGTCTAGCATGTGCTTCAGCTAGTGACTGCGAGCATGACTGAAGGAACGCTGCATTTGTAATTGCGGCCTGTCCCAGGATGCTACGTACGATATTGGATGGAGATGCAGTGATCAACAGCTTTGCAGCCTGGGCATGTGCAACAGCATCAACGGCGGCTTTCAGCCTGCATCGCACCTGGCCAGTAGGGCGGCTCTAACGACAACACTCCCCTCTCTTTCGAGCGTTGCCCCAGACGCTAACGAGCTCTTCGCGGCGACGAGGGTTGACTTTTGGAAACGCTTCCAAGGTTCGGAAATGTGGAAAACGCACAGCAACTGCCACGGCCCTGATTCCACGACGGCATTGAAGTTCCATGCTACAAGGGGAGCAGCATCTCGGAGCATGGTGCAGTGATGTGAGATATTTGGCAAGACAAGACATCAGACGGGTTTTCAGGGATGGCGTGCTCTATCGACATCGATTGCAGCTCTAGTTCCAACGCCGCATGACGCCCCTATTTAGGATGTAAGGTTCACATTAAGCATGCCTGACAAGCGGAAACCTACCACGATCCTGCTGCTTCTGGAGTATCGGGATCCTGCCGATGGATGTCGAGTTTCCCGGTTACATCGACTGCAGGAAGATGCCATCGGAGGCAGAAATTGTTCGGCTTAGGTGCATACATTACTTACCGGCGGTAATGGCGCAGTACCCTGTCCCTGCCAGGCCATGGGTGCCAGACGTATTGGCTCTGCGGTCTGGAACAGCGAGGCGTGCGACCAGAGCTCATCTAATCAGATCATCTGCTGTCTTGGTACCTTTCGTCCGCCGCTTGCCGTAAAAGAAAAGTTTGGTGGAGCTTCAGGCGCCGGCTATGAGCCGCGGTCGGTATAGAGTATCTCATGATGGGGAGTAAACTGAACACCGGCTCGAGGGCCTCGCTCTGCTGGCAGCTTTCCTGGTCGAGACGGAAGAAGTAGGGAAGGTCATTCAAGAATCGCTCGAACTCCCTGTCCAGGGCGAGGATTTGGTCATAAGAATCCTGGTTGACATTGTGAGAATGACCTCGAGTGGGGATAGCCGCTCGACGAGATATTGCAGCCAGCTTCATCCTGGCTAGAAGATACGTGACCGCTGTTGGTCGCTGTAGAACATCATTGCCGTCTTTGTGGTTGGAGATGCGACCGCTGTCGGAGAAGTCGCTCGGCCATCGCATAGGTGTATGCTCAAAGTCCATGATTGTGGCTGTGTTTGATGGGAAAGAAGCGTAGTTGAGCCTGGCACAACATCATTAGCTGTTATACCAGCCGTTGGAAGCAGCCAACCTTACCCTTCTATGGATGCCAGATGCCAGAACACTCGCCGCTTGAGCTCCTTCGTCACAGCGTCGTCTTGATGTTTGCTAACATTGCTGTACGAATCACTACCGTCCATGCTCGGTAGACATAGCTCACTAGCGATAAAAGTAGCTGTCGATAGAAGATGTCGATATCGCGACGAAGGACCATCGCGATGGTAAATGAAGTACGACATCAAGATTGCAGCCTGTGCGGCGCAAAGATTGATCCGACTAGATCGGATTGTTTGTTCCAATAAATTGCTGGCGGCGTCATGCATGTAGGATGCTATCTTGATATTGTCCGTCTCGGAGATGCCCCATTTCAGAAGGTCCATTGGCCGGCAAAAGAATATGCTCAAGGACATTGTAGAGAGCATCATGGCAGTGTGTTGCGTTTCAGTTTCCTCATACTTCGCAATGCCAATATAGAAAGTGTCCAGTTCCGCCCTCGTGGTCTGCGGATGTGTGATGCAGCAGATGGGATCAATGTACAGTTCGAAGAGTCGAAGCAGCTGGAGAGACACCTGATATGGTGGCACCAGGAGAGTAGACTCGCCCCATCCATGGTTTGCATCATGTCCACTATTGAGCATAGTGAGGATCTCGGAGAGGCTATGCACAGCGATTGGTTGGCCTTTGACAAATTTTGACTGCGCCGTTGTCAGCTTCGTCCAGGGCACCATGTTCTGGAAAGATTACCGGGCCATTCAAGTCGGCGTTGAAAAGAGCGGTGAGTAAGCCTTCGCCATCGGTGGAATTGTTGACCTCGTACTTGGGCGATAAACCCGTGCTACTGCCACGTTCAAGATCCGCCTGGCCAGCATTGTTGTCCTTCGTTAGGATCAATCGTTCCAATCTCTCGACCCTTGCCAGCAGCCGTGACTCGTCCCTCGCTACACTAGCAGTTGGATTATCATGCGCTGTTGCGATAAAACGACAGGCGAGACCTCTCTGCGTGCAGTTCGAGCATGGCTGCGTTCGGCTACAACGGAGCTTTCGGGCACGACAGGACTGGCACGACGTCTGCTCGACGCTTGCCCGCTTTTTCGAGACTCCGGAGCTGAGACTTATCGCAAGGTCCGTCTTTGCGGGCTTGCGGTGTATGAAGGAGAAGAGATGAGTTGGAAGGCGTTGACGGACGTCCGAAGCTGGCTTACGAATGCCCAACGGACGTCCGCGGAGAGCTGCCGTGGGAAGTTCAAGCTCAGATATATGGGAAAGAGACAGCAAGAAAAGAAGCACATGAGTAAAGAGAAGAGACAAGAGTCCTACGCCGAGGATCATCAGCATGCCCACACAAGCCATCATTTCTCCCTCGCTCGAGGTCGTTCATTTCATCGATACACCTATCCCAACTCCAGCAGAGCAAGAACTCGTCATCAAGGTAATTGTGAGCGGGAGCAATCCCAAAGACTGGAAGTACCCGCTCTGGTATGTCTCCGTGAGATCAACCTTACTTGACATACTAATGAAGGCATCCAGGAAGAACAAAGCCTTCAACAGCGGCGACAACATCGCCGGTGTCGTGCACTCGATTGGGTCCAAGGTGTATGAATTCAAACCTGGCGATCGTGTGGCAGCCTACCACGAGCCCCAGAAAGATAACGGAAGCTTTGCAGAGTATGCTGTTGCGTACGATTGGGTCTCGTTCCACATCCCAAACGATGTGTCGTTTGAAGAGGCTGCGACGATGCCCGTTGCAGCTATTACAGCCGGACTTGGAATCTGGGCAGATCTCGACATATCCCCACCCTGGCATATCAATGCATCTGCGAATGCCCAGAAGCCGCTGGTGATCTACGGCATCACCTCCGCGGTTGGGGCTTTCGCTGCCAAGATGGCAAGGCTGTCAGGGGTAAAGCGTATCATCGGCATCGCCGGGCGGAATGCCGAATTCGCAGGCACACTGGCCGACTTTGTTGTGGATTATCGGCTGGGCGAAGACGCTTTGGTCGATCGCATTGAAGAAATCCTGACCACGGAAGGATTTGGCTCTAAAGCACCTCTTGTATTCGACGCAATAAGCGAAGGAGGAACGGTAGAGACGGCACTTCGTTTCGTCAATCATAGCGGAGGAGTAGTGAGTACGGTACTACCACCGACACTGTTCGCCCAGGATCCCAAGTCCTTCGAGTATCCCACTAGTGTGACAGCCATCAACACAGCATCGCCTTTCGTGCTTTGGCATAGGAAAGACTTCGGGTATGTCTTGTGCCGCAACTTTGGAAGATTGTTGGCAGACGGACGGTTGAATGCGCATCCTTTCGAGATCATTCCCGGGGGCTTACACGGAGTGTTGGAGGGGTTGAGAGAACTCAAGAGAGGTGAAAACAGTGGACTGAAGTATGTGTTCCGCATTGAAGAGACAGGGCCAGTGCAGTACTCCGAGCCACCGCAACTTAGTGCAAGCACGCATAGGCTACGCAACTTCCCCTTTCCAGCATGAGATAGTGTGGATAGGAAAAAAGTATTGGTAATGGACTTGTGTACTTTTGAAACACTCAGCGGCCGTCTTATCTCGCTCCACGATAACTCTTCATGCTCTCTCTCTCTGCTCCGGACAAGATTGAAATTCTCTGGACAGGCTGACGATTGTTCGCCCTTCATTGCTCAAGTCGTTGTTGTTCTCGCGGTGTTAAGAGAAGAAAGGAGACGCTCGAGGTTGTACCCAATAGAAAGAAGATCACAGCTTGGATGAGGACGGTAGCGTTTGTGAAGACGAGGCTCGCATCTGCGGATAAATGTTCCTCTTGGACGCTGTTTGATCACGGGGATCCCTTTCTCGCTTGTCCTTTGGTAAGCCGAGTAAGCAGTCGAATCGGCAGCGCAACCTTAGCCAGCAACATGTAAGCTGACATGATAAGCTCATATATCGGTCCATCTAGGGACCTTAAGCAATCTCCTCTCGCCATTATCTACGCCAAGTTCCATCAACTCCTGCTTCAATATGGAACTCATTCTCGCTTCAGTCTTGACCCCTTTACAAGGGCTCACCGCAGCGTTCACATTACTCTTGATCTACCTCATTGTCAACGAAATCTTCCGTTGGAGAGCTGAAAACCCAGGGTTCAATGGTCCTCGAGGACTACCGATCGCAGGAAACCTGCTTCAACTCCAAGTAAATGCCCCCGAGATTTTGCGCCGATGGTCTGAGAAGTATGGCGATGTCTACCAGATCCAGCTCGGAAACACGCCAGTCTTGGTGGTGAACACTGCCGCTGCTGCTAAAGAACTCTTCGCTCACCAAGGCCATGCATTGAACTCAAGACCAACATTTTACACTTTCTACAAGATTGTAGGCAAGACGTCGGGTATCACTATCGGCACCTCTCCCATTTCGCCTGAGCTCAAGCAACGTCGTCGTGCTGCAGCTTCGGCCTTGAACAAGCGTGCAGTCTCCGGCTACTCTCCGCTTTTGCACTTGGAGACAAACCTCCTGGTCAAAGACATACTCGATGCCGGCGGATCTGGCAGCCGTCAAATCAACCCGATGCCGTTGGTGAGACGATTCGCACTCTCGGTCATTCTCACCATCAACTGGGGCACTAGTATCACATCCGATGACAAGTCCTTGTTTGAAGAGATTACCGAAGTCGAGGCTGGCATCGTGAGCACAAGGAGTGTAATGGAGAATCTGCAAGACTTCATTCCCATCTTGAGACTGAATCTTTTTTCGGTTCGATCCCACCAAGCACAACGTTGGCGAGAAAGGCGAGATGTCTATCTAAACAGGCTCGACTCCGATCTTCGACAGAAGATTGAAAAGAAAGTACACAGGCCTTGCATTCAATCCAATACGATTTTTGACGAGGCGGAGAAGTTGGCCCCAAAGGATCTACGCATTATCTCAACGTCTATGATCCAAGGTGGAACAGGAACGATTTCTGGGACACTCTCTTGGGCTTTGCTCTTTCTTTCACAGAACCTCGAAGCCCAGACGAAGGTGCAAAGAGAGATAGCGGCTCAGTTCTCAAATCCCGTGGAAGTGCTCCGCGAGTCGGCCACCGCAGGTCTTGACATATCTGGGAGTCTATATCTCCACGCCTTGGGCATGGAGTGCCTTCGGTACTTTACGGTACTTCGCCTCTCTCTCCCACGAGAATCTAGCGGCGACTGTACCTACCAGGGCCGCCACATACCGGCTGGCTCTGTTGTCTTCCTCAATGCATGGGCTTGCAACAGGGACGCAGCCGTGTGGGAAGACCCTGACGAGTTCCGCCCAGAGCGCTGGCAGGAGCAGCCAGAAGCGCCCTTGTTCACATACGGAATGGGATACAGGATGTGTGCGGGAACAGCCCTGGCCAATCGCGAGCTTGAGTTGGTACTTCTCAAGATTCTGGCATGCTTCGATATTCTACCCGGAACTGGCCAGAAGCCTGACGCCAGCCCACTCACGGGCAGCTCGAATGTCAAAGAAAGCGGCCGATTCCCGAGGGCTTACGAGGTCTTGTTCAAAGTCCATGATTTGGAAGGCATGAATTCAGTCTTTGTGTGAAATAGGGCTCAGAGTGGTGCGCCATAGTTTACGCTGTCTTCGCTGTCTTTACGCCTGACACCTCAGTCTCTGGGCCCATCGTAATAGCATCAGCCATGAGCAGAGAATGGCAGCAAAGCTGAGAAGTGCTACCCAACGGAAACTTTGCGTCGTGGAAAAGACCATTAACATGCACCATCGTGCCAGCTCCGCCATATCGAAAAGTGCCGTCTCTACGCTTGAGAATGCGACACGGTCCGACGGGTCAACTTTGACCTGAACAATCTGTTGCTCCACCAATGAGTATGCAAAGGGTCCAAGACGTGACAGTACAAGACCGCCGAAGATAATTGCGATGATCGGGCGGTGATGGGTCTCCGTATCAGAACCATCGAGGGACGGGAACGCGATAAATGTGGCGGTTACAGGGAGGAGGCAAAGCAATTGCCATGAAAGTCCGATGACGCCGACTTTGACCAAAGCAGGAAGAGCGCCGGCAGCCTTGTTTTTGGATCGATTCATTGCGCAAGATACCATGAGAGGCGTGAGGACCGTTGATGCGATATCTATGGCGGTGCTGGCGCTTCTTGCGAGGGTTATTTCGGACAAGGAGAAGTTGGCGGCAAGCAGGTAGGCTGTCATGCTACCTGCCAGGGTCAAAACCGACAGTGGCTCTAGAGCATATGCCAAAGACGGGAGAGCCGCGCGATGTCGAAGGTAAGACGCAAAGCTGCTGTACCACGCTTGAATACCGCTAATGCATGAACTGCTCATGATAGCGATGATCCAAGTCAGGCCACGGCTCTCGTTCGTGGCAACCACGCTCGAGCCAACCTCACTCTCCTCGGGACGTCTCTGCCCGGCTAGTGGGGAAGCCATTGTGCGGTTACCCACTGTGTGGTCACATATATAATGCCGCCATATCAAATCAGTAAGATATAACTCCACGCCACCGGAGAATGGCTGTAGTAAGGCCAAGATGAGACCGGTAGCATGTAGGCTGTTGGTATGAATGGCTAAGCGACTCACTGCAAGAGGTGCAACGAGTTTAGTGGCCAGATCAATCCGTTTCATCGCTGCGTTGAGAACGTGGAGATTCGACGGGGTTTCGTGCTGAGTAGGCGTAGCCCTGGTTGCGCCATCATGTTGAACTAGTGCAGCCTCGTATAGCGTCGATAGAGAAGGTAACCATTCGCGCTCCACAATCACGAGATTTCCCACTGCTGACAGCCTTTCCAGCATGCCTAAGAGGATCAAGATCGCTAACAATACCGGTTTCCATACCCCATCGACCTGCTTATCGTTGCCCCCATCGACGGATATTGGCATGAGCGATGTCCATCCGAAGCTGGCCAATGTTATTGAGATGCGTTGGACGACGATACAGCCCTGCACTGGCCAGCGTGCTATAGCGTGGCGACTGAGCCAGCGGCCGATGACTGGTGCAAACATGAACGATGCCAAATGTGCACCCAGAGCCCGGATCGATGCTTCGACCAAGGTGTGCGGAAACGCCGATGCCGTGAACAAAACGGCGGCAAACTCGTAGCAGCGGTTGTTCCACATGAAGAGGCCGTGGCTAAGGTAGAGCGCAATTAGGTGGCGGGTGGTGATGCCATCGCTAGGAGATGCCGCTGTCGTTTGGGTATCCTCGCGAAGGCAGGAGGAAAAGCTAGCGCACTCATCAATGATCGCGTCCTGTACTTTGAGATGCGCAGACGAGTCAATAGTGCCGTAGTTGGGCATTGCCGCTGCAACACATACGCTTCGATTGAGTATAGGCGTAGAACTTGAAGACCATGGTATGCGATAAGAGAAGCAAGTGGTCACGCGAGCCGAGGGCATAGAGGGCGGGGAGGTGAGCTCCTGAAACGCAATGCCTTGACAGCGCATCGATCGCAGGATGGGCTTGGCCGGGCAACGCCGCAGCGGCCTTATCGTAGGTACTTTCACCGAACATGCAGACGGAATAAGGCACATGGTGTACGCCCGTCGCTGTCTGCATGTAGCGTCATTGGCAAAGGGTGAGGATGGAACGCAGTCTCCATCAATCGCGAAAGAAAGGCATCCATTGAACCTGTAGAGATGTGGCAACATCGACGAGTCCAGGTTGATTGTCCTCCATCCTAAGCATCGGGATCTGCGTTTCATGCGTATGGCACGATCCTGGTCTATTTCGGGACAATCTGATTCTCGAGGTGCAACAATCAGGAAGATCGAATTGGCGTACATCTTGAACCTGTAGATCGGGGTGCTGTCCTTGAAACCAACGGCGTCGAATTCCTTGGTAAGGAGATGCTTCGCAGAAGAGGGTGATGGTTTCGTGCCATTACGCTGATTCATTTGGAACAAACCAGAAGAGGAATGTCAATCCTGGCTCCAGAGGCTCCAGATGGTGATTCTACAGCCCTGCTCCAGCTCTTGCGCTGACTGTGCGAGATCACTTCATTCGAGGCTGTTTACTTCCAGAGAAAGGGTCAACTAGCGCGGACTGTCCACGGCAACCCAAAGATGGCAACCTTTCCTCAGCCGTAATGCTCTTTGTTAGATTTGGCGATAGCGTAAGAACAGCCTTGCGGCCTTCTCGCTCGGCTCCAAACTTCGACTTCGAAAAAGCGGTACAAGACATTGAGGATTGGTGAGATGAGACAGAATGCCTTGTGTTGGCCGTACCGACCGCCTCGTGCTCGCAGTTAGAATTTTTGCAATCTTTTGGTCGAGTTCGTATTGCTTCGGTTAGAACGATTGCGTTTTTTCGTAAATTGGCGAGCCATGCCGGACGCTGCTCAAGCTGACACATTCTAGGCGATGAGAAGGTGAGGAGCCCAGGCACCTTAACCTGCCAGCGTTAGTTTCAACATGTTGCGACGAGAAGCACCTAAAAGACATGCATGGCCATGAAAGCGGGATACTACAGAGCCTAGGACAGAAGCATTTGCATGGCCTCGAGATATGCAAGTACTAGGACAACATTATTATGCCGTATGTGCACCTCTTTCTGGGCCACACCGCCTTTATGCTTGTCACTAGCCGCCTGAAAAGGAGGCTCTTGCTTTTGAATGCGAAGTTATGCATACAAAGGGTGAGAGTATGCGATCATTGCCGAAAAATCGCAATTCCGTCCGCTCTTCCAGGCTTGCTGCCTGAGGCATTTATAATCCGCTCACCCAATACGCCCCCGAGCATGCAGGTGGTGTACACAGCAATGACTTCTCTTCTGTGAGCAGTGGAACACAACATATCCACCCTACAGATGCTTGGAACCGACAATGTATCCAACACAAGGCAGGCAATACTCTGTTCGCAAGCCACCCGAAGAAGCTGCTCGGAATTACTTTTCCTCCTTAGTCCTCGAGAACGTACCCATTCCTGCAGTCGGAGACAACGATGTGCTCGTTCGTATCCACTCAGTCAGCCTCAACTTCCGCGACATCATGATTGGCACTGGCACCTACATCTGGAGCATGCGAGATGGCGTGGTTCCATGCTCTGATGGTGCAGGCGAGGTCGTTCGCATCGGAAAGAAAGTCGTTCGCTTCTCGCCCGGTGACACAGTCGCTGCAATATTCAACCAAACACATATCAGTGGGTCTCTGAAGCCATCAGATACCAGCAACGCTCTGGGCGCGGAGGTGGATGGCATGCTCCGGGAGTACGCCGTCTTCAACGAGCAAGGTCTCGTCTCAATTCCTGACAACCTGTCCATGGAGGAGGCCAGCACGCTCCCCTGCGCAGGTGTCACTGCATGGAACGCTGTCAATGGTGGAGGTAGAGGCATTCGAGCTGGAGATACTGTTCTGACCCAAGGCACGGGAGCTGTTAGTCTCTTCGCGGCACAGTTCGCAGTCGCCGCCGGCGCTCAAGTGATCTCGACAACAAGTTCACAGCGCAAGGAGATGATGCTAAAGAAGCTCGGTGCAAAGTGGACTATCAACTACAGCGAGAATCCAAAGTGGGGATCCCAGGCGAAGGTCGTCAGTCCAGGAGGTCTCGGCGTGGACTACGTAATTGAGATCGGCGGGCCTGAAACGATAGAGCAGTCACTCAAAGCTGTCAAGATGAAGGGCATTGTTGCAACGATTGGCCAACGGAGTAAGCAAGCTGGAGCGAAAAGTGACAAGGAGGTGCTCATAACGGATGCCTTCAAATATCCTTGCACGATGCGCAGAATCATGGTTGGCAGCCGGGATCAATTCGAGGAGATGAACAAGTCAATCGCAGCCAACAACATTCGGCCGGTGATTGATGAAAGGGTTTTCGCTTTCGAAGAGGCGCCGATGGCTTTCAAGCATTTGTGGGAACAGCATCATACGGGGAATGTCGTGATCAGAGTTGGGCGGTAGACGAAGTTCGCAGCTCGACTTGCATAGGAGCTTCCTGTGCCACAGCGAGCGAAGATGTGTCCATGGCTGACCGATTGCAGTCGTGTCTTGATCGAAAGTGCACGATGCGTCGGCTGAGGGAAAAGAAAAGCTCCAGTCCACATGTCAGGCTGCACCACGAATCTCGCCAGGCAACAACCGTGCATCCATGTCTACTGCTGATTCTTGTTTGAAGTTGGAGAGTGGGCATCCTCATCGTTGAACTTGTGACAGACCTGTCCCGACTGTCCACTCGGCAACTCAACGCCTTGGTTGTACCCTGAAAGCGTGGGGAGCGTCTGATTGCAAGCCTATTGAAGACCGCACTCGAAATCTGCCGGTCCGTCCAGCGACATCCCCCATGATCAGAAACACAGGACGTAGAACAGAAGAAGTCGTAGCCGTCAAATCCCAAAGAGCGCCATTGTTCGTTTGAAGATTGATCACCAGACATCACACAACATTCTCTTCTTGTATGAACTCGAAGCTGGTTCTAGTCGGCTGCCTGCCGTGGTCCACGATGAAGGTGGTTTGCCGCTGGCTTGCGCAAGGACTGTTCCTGCTCCTCCATCCATTCTACCCCTCGCAAATTCTTCCCAATTTCGGGCTCTGCTTCAACAAAGGAGTGATCAACACCTCTCCTGTCGGCTCCACCAGCTCTGACACCACGCCTCCGCTACTGCTGACGTCACAATTAAGACTAGCAAGATTTCACAGGCCACAATTGGCGAAAGCAGGATCAAAGGTCGTAGTCCGCGATTGTGATGGCTTTGCTGTTGTTACCGCCAATTCCTCATGGCCCAGCAATCCCAGCTCATCGTCTGCTATCTGGGGACCAACCAATTTCTTGAACCGCCAAAACGATGAAGCCAACCGCACGATCGGTAGTTGTTGTCCTTCTGGGAGCAGCTACAGGTCAACAAGACTGGTCACAATACGTTCAACCATTCATTGGATCAGAAGGCAGCATTCCTGGTACTGGTGCAGGCGGCGGCGACATTTGGGTTGGAGCGAGCTTGCCGTTTGGCAGCGTTAAGTTTGGCATCGATACCACTGCTGCGAATGCCAGTCAGGCAGTACTGAACGGCGGCTGGACTCCAGATGGGAATGTAACAGCAATTACTGGCTTGCATGTTCACGGTACTGGAGGTGCTCCGAAGTACGGAGTTGGAGGACCTCAAATGCCACTGACCAGTATTAAATCACCGATTAATCTCCTGGACAACTCGACATACAGCCAGCCTCGTATAGGCCACGACGAGGCGAGCGTTGGATACTTTAAGTCCCAGCTGCAAAATGGCGTGACGATCGAGTTGTCTGGGTCTCGTCATGTCGGACATATGGAGTACTCGTTTCCAGCATCCACTGAAAAGCACATTCTCGTCGACGTCTCTCACTACCTCCCTGCTCCGCCTGGTGGACCATCTGACCAGAAGTATGTTGGTGGTGAGATCCATCTTCAGCCTGGCGGAAAGTTATACACCGGATTTGGCACGTACATCGGAGGCTGGAATATTGGCCCTCCCATGACAGTCTACTTCTGTGGAAACTTCGACTCGCCTGCAGACAAGTACAGTACTTGTCGTGGCTACAACACCGATCCCGTGTCGCGATATCAAACGTATAGCAACGGCCCTATTCCACAAGCGACGTTCAATCTCGTAGGCTTGGATGAGGTCTCGGGTCCAATGAACGACCGCATTGGTGCTCTTTTCTCATGGAACTCGTCGGCGTCTTCGAGCAAGATTGGCTCAAAGGTCGGCATCAGCTGGATCAGCGAAGCAAAAGCGTGCGCTTTCATCAACGCGGAGGTGCCGCATTGGGATCTTAATACTACCAGGCAAATGGCTGTCGACGAGTGGAATAGAGATGTCTTCAGTAAGATACAAGTTCCGACTGGGCCAGAAGCAAACGAAACCAAGCTTCAGATGCTGTACTCGAACCTCTATCAAACCCATCTGATGCCGAGTGATCGAATCGGCGAAAACCCGTTGTGGGAGACCGAGGAGCCGTGGTTCGATGACTTCTATACACTGTGAGTACGAGCGTGCTAATAGAAATGTTTCTGACCGAGACTTGTAACTGGGACATCTTCAGGTGCACTGTGAGCTTGTACCACCTCTTGCAACCCTCGTACTACGAAGGCATGATTCGAGCTTTGATTGAGATGTGGAGGCGCCAGGTTTGAAAAATGCTCCCATGGTGCTGCAGTGTCAATGCTGAAGATTCTGCCAGGGCTACATGCCGGACGGCCGCAGTGGGAACTACAATGGATATACCCAGGGAGGGTCGAACGCAGACAATGTGCTCGCAGACGCTTACGTCAAGAGGCTTCGGGGTGGCATCAATTGGACGGACGGCTATGCAGCTATGGTCAAGGACGCCGAAGTGCTGCCTTTCAACAACTTCGATCCATCCGACATGACCGGATCGACCATGCAAGGACGTGGAGCGCTTGAAGACTGGCTGAAGCTGGGATGGCTGGCGGAGGACGTCGATACGAGATGCGTCAGTCGGACGGTCGAATACAGCGCCAACGATTTCGCCTTGAGTCAGGTCGCCAGAGGAGAAGCTGGAGATCCAACTGATGCCGCCAAATACCTTAACCGGTCTGCTGGCTGGCAATACATCTGGCTTTCCAATGTCACAAGCCTTGGCTTCTCAGGCTTCATGGCGCCGAGACTGTCGAACGGAATGTTCAATACCACAGACTATGACCCGGTGAGTGAGCAGAGCGGCTTGAATTGCGTACGAACTGATGAATCTTGCTCCCTTGCAGCTCGGCTGTGGTAGCTGCGAGGGATTATCTATCACTAACGAGGGTGTTCCTTGGGAGTACTCGTTCACCGTCGCCCACGACATGCAGTCGCTCATCGCAAAGATGGGCGGCCCAGAGACGTTCGAGAAGAGGTTAGACAAGATGTTTGAACCTAACGCAGCCCAGCAAAGCCTGGGAGTCAACGGAGCAGGCATTACGACCATCTTCAACATTGGAAACGAGCCAGACTTTGCCACGCCATACTTGTACAACTACATCAACAAGTCTTGGAAGAGCGTGCAGAACTCCCGAGAGCAGGCGAATCTGCATTTCAACACATCTTACAATGGCCTGCCTGGAAATTCCGACGCTGGTGCACTCAATAGCTGGTTGGTATGGCAGATGATTGGACTCTTCCCTGTGGTTACGCAGCCTGTGTACCTGCTGCATTCACCCTGGTTTGAGAGCATCAGCATCTCTGTGGGTTTGAACGCCACACTGCGAATCACTGCTCCCGGGTTGAGTGATACAAACTTCTGGGTGCAAGGAGTGAAGCTCAACGGGGAGCAGTGGGATCGTAACTGGTTCAATCACGACGAGCTAATGGTCAATGGCGGTACTTTGGAGTTTGCGGTGGGCGACGAGCCGAAGCAGTGGGAGACAGGGCCTTTGCCGCCGAGTCCAGGACATGTGGATCTTGGGGATCTTGGCTTTTGAGAGCGTGGAGAAGTATGGCTGAGTGATCGTTTCGTCTAGTCGTGTGGCACATATCACATACTGGAAACAATTCTTTCACAAGAGCCAAGGGTCATCACAATCTTATCTTCGACGTTTGAAAACATGCCGAATGCCATCACTGGATGGGAAGACCAGATTGAAAGCCAGATTGCCGGGACGATTGGGTGTATCAGACAGCGCGGTCCCATGGTTGATGTCAACATGGCTATTGCTCGGGTCATGGAAGATGCCGCAGTTGATACCATCTCAGTCGGAGGCGGAATGATCACAGACGCTGCCAGGGCCATATGTTTCCGTGCTTCCGAGGAACACAGAACGCCTCCGAATCACATCGCCATCACCACGAGCTTCATTGAGGCCGAATGCACAGCTTGCGATGGGTACTCCGAGGGCAAAAATATCGGATCTCGTGCCCAAGAGGTGGGTATTGGAGTGTTTTGGTACCAAACCGATTCTGCGGCGCACACGCGGAGGTAAATATGGTTCGACACGATCGTGCAAGCTTTGTCCCAAGGGTTGAGTAGATGCACCATCCATCTGTGGTCAGGACAGTAGCCTTGAAAGGCTGTTTCGAGATGAGCGGTGGGTAATCTTTACAGTGAGTTCCAAGTTGCCTGAGACTTCCAGCCGTACGATGAAGTTACCACGACGACGCCCATGCCCGCAGCGTGTGCCATATCAGGACTGACATGTCCGGATTGGAGGCGTGGCATGGGATTTCTTGACATCTTCGGCTACGCCTTGGATAGTCCCATACTCGATGCCTTGTAGCATCACTTCTTGCACTTCATGCTTGACACTTGCAACAGTGGCTAAGCGGAAAGCCAGACAGCCGACAGAGAATATCTCACCTCCTTGACCCCGTCCGAGGGCAATGTCTTGTAGATGCCGCAGTCGACATTGTCGAAGTGGCCCATCCAATTGACACTCTGGTACAACACCTTGGACTGAATGTCCGAACTCCATGGAGACGGAGAGCGCATGAGACAGAGATGCAAAGTGGGAAAAGCCTTTCAGGTTCTCAAGAGAGACAAGCTGTACAGCGATGTTGGGGATGAATAGCCCGTGAATGGTATCCTCGTTAATGACATCTGTATCACCAAAGGCTGTATGGGCAGGTGGTTGCTTTGAGCGCTTCGCCCATCGCTTGCAGAGGCAGATTCAGCGGAAATACTCAAATAGAGTGACCGAAGGCCAGTTGCTCGTGATCTCAAGCAAGGTGCTGAGTTCTGGAGCCCATCATGGCGACTGGTGCTGGCAAGATACTTTGTCCGGGGAGCTTTTGGGAGATCAATCATCTCAGCAAGACGGTCATGGTTGCAGATGGCTCTGCGTCGGCAGCTGTCTTCTTGTATGTGGATAGTGCAGTTGGCAACAAACGCTCGAAGATCTGTCGCCACACAGGTGGCGTGTCGACTCTGCGATGTGCGCAAAGGGTGCTTAGGGTAACGAAAGCGTCCGATACGTTGGTCAATGAGCAATCATCTTCAGTGGACGGAGATGTAGCCACGAGGCTGAAGAAATGCTCAATGCAGTCGGTTGGAGCCAACTGCGAATCGAGCTGAGGTTTGTTTGAACATTCCACGATTCGGGGTTCGAGCGAGCTGAGATTTCAGGCATCGTATAGTCTCCAACGAGCCCAAGGCGCTGCGGCTGTTTGTGATGTACTTGCTGGGTCCCGGAGGTGGTTGCGGATGTACCATTGAGCGGTTGCTGAGATCACCAGGCTATGCTGCGCTTCGAGGATCGATCCCAATCAGCGGAGGCGCCCATGTCGCTTGACACCGGGATTGCTTTCGCCTTCTATCTGCACACTGAAGCCTACTCTGCAACTCCTAATCGCAGCATCATCGCTACCGAACTGCATCGCCGCCCGTTGCATCATGTCAGCTTCTCGATCGCACACTTGGCTTCATCCCTGCTGGATCTTGCTGGAACCTCGACGCTCCGCTTCCGTTCAACATCGATGTTCGGATCTGGCTGCTGACCAGTTGAGATCTTTTGTCCTGTTCGGCTGCGTGGAGACGCCGTTCCCGTTAGTAATGGGTGTGGCTGCTGCAGAGCCGTTGGTACACTCCTGGGCGGAACTCTTTACCCAAAACATATGGTACACTGCAGTCCGCCGATACCAACTGAGGTCTCCAACACCGACGAGGGCAAACGCTGAGTGGCAGCTTGCTTGTTACATGCCATGAGACCCGGCGTACGCACCAGCTGGTAGCAATCCTTTCTGCTGAACTCTGAACATGTCCTCACATTAGCTGTTGGAACTGTCACGCAGTCGCAAGACCGGGCGACAAATCCGCTCAGAACGGGCTGGCCATGGAAGTGGGGAACCCAATGGCATGCCCTTGCCATCACGCTTGTTCCCCAGGGAGCGTTACCGGCCCCTCCGCCGTTGGGTGAGCGTGCCTGGGAGGTGGCGGAGTCTGCGCCGCAGGAATTCAACCCTCGCAGGACTGCAAATGGACTGGAGCAGGTGCGGTTGAGGAAGCCCTTGGACAACATAGCTACAAAGGCTGGACGTACCGGCGGGTCGCTGCCTTGCGGATCGCTACCTTGCAGGCGTCTCAATCTCCTCGTCGTTGGTGCTACCTCGAGGTTCGCTGTTGCGGGTCCGCCGCCGCTGCAGGTCCGCCGCCGCTGTAGGTTTGTTGTCGCTGCAGATTCCTCTTATCGTTGCTGCAAGTTTGTCGCTGCTCGAGCCTTGTCGTCGTTCGAGGCCCGTCGTCGCTCGAGGCCCGTCGTCGCTCGAGGCCCGTCGTCGCTCGAGGCCCGTCGTCGCTCGAGGCCCGTCGTCGCTCGAGGCCCG